GGGCCGACACCTCTGCGGACAATCTGTCCCACCAGCGGGCACCACTGACTGCCTCCAGCCTGTCCTCCACCTCATCCCCCGGCATGCCGTCCTGCACATCTTCCTCTGGTGCCATGGTGTCACCGGCACCCAGGCAGATATTGTGCAGGACGGCACAAGCGGTGATGACCTGAATTTTAGAGGAATATTTATATGAACATAAAGTATATAGACCTTTAATAAATAAAAAAATATAACAATATAAGTATAATAATATATAATAAGTTTTCGTGTTTTTATTTATTTAATTGATTAATTAATATATATTCAAGTATAACAAAAATATTGTGTGCAGGGATGACGTACCTGTGGCACGAAGGTGTGGCGGATCTCCAGCGCTTTTAAAAAGATGGCACGAAATCGGGTCTTCATCATGCCAAAGGCACGCTCAATTATAGAGCGTGCCCTGGCATGATGCCCGTTAAAGCGCTGGGCCGCCACACCTCGCACCTGCAGCCTGTAGGGAGTGATGAGGGGGAGTGGGTGCTGGAGGCACGGGTACCCGCTGTCTGCCAGAATGAAATGCCCTGGAGGAGGGTAGATGTTCTGCCTGTACAGTGGGCTGTGCCGGAGTACCCTTGCGTCATGCACAGACCCCGGCCAGCCCACGTAGGTGTCAATAAAGCGGCCCTGATGGTCACAGACTGCTTGCATGATGATTGATGCAAACAGTTTTCTGTTGATGTAGCAGTGACCATCAGGAGCGCTTGGTGGCTTAATTCTGACATGGCAGCCGTCGATTGCACCGGCAGCTTTGAGAAAAGCGCAGTGCCTAGCCAGCCCTGTAAAACCCCCGAGTTACGGCCGCCAGGTCGTCAGCGGACCTTGGGAGGTAGATGACTCTGTGGCGAATGGCCACTACCTCCTCCATAACTCGGTGGACGATACAGTGGAAGGTGGAGCGGGGCATCTCAAACACCCTTGAGACCACCCGGTATGATGTCCCACTGGCCAGCCAAAAGAGGAGAACCAAAGTCTCTATTGTGGCGCCCCATCCATGCCTCTGGTCCTGATGGAGGAGGTCCAGCAGCACTGCCAGGGACTCTCTGCTCAGCCTTAAGTCCTCCCTGGTGTCGTCGCCGGCGAAAAACCGTTGGAGGACCGGAACCCCCGTATGTAGCCTGCAGTTCAGGGGTCCGGTCTGCATGCGTTAGGAACAAAGCAGGAGAAAGAACGGTCATGGCATGGATGTCGCTTGCAATGATTGTGAATTGTGCAGGTTAATGTCTCATGTACTAACAGCCAATGTTAGCTTTTCAGGTGATGTTAGTAAACGAAATAATATTTTTTGACACCTATGAAGATTTCCATGACATGCACTGTTGTGAATTAAAGGGGGAATTCACGTGATACACAGGGAGTGACAATGACTATCGTGTGGCTGATGAATGCCAGATAAAATAACAGGTTTACCTCTCCACTTTCGGCACGCATTCTCAAGAAAAAGTACACAAGGCGCCTCCGTCGCCGCCTTGCTCGGCGGCGCAGCGTCACATCTTGATTTAAGGCAAAAGCCATTTGCCACATGGTTGCGACTTCCATTGTTGTCACCTGTGCTTGTTTACACCTGCACCTGCTGCGATCGGCGGCTTTTATTCAAGTCAGCCGTGACCCGGGCCTGCGGGCGGGGACATTTGGCGACCCAACCAGAGGGGTGAGATGGTCCGTCAGGCTCCCTGAGTATTTTTGAGTGGCTATGCCGAGGGGGTTAATGCGTGTTATAGGAAATGGTGAATTAATGATCGGACCTATCATAAAACCTTTTCTAACCTCCTTCTCTAGTAGAGTGTCGACTATCTCTGGCTCCTTTTAAAGCAGATTGTAAGTTATAACACACATGAGACACATTAGGTAACCATGCCAGACCGGCCAAAAAACCTTGAATGAGTACAGTTATTAAGTAATTGACAAAGCATCGGTTGGGGTGCTTTTGCAAAGCCTTCTTTAAGGCACGTTGATAGGGGTTGATGGTTTTATTGTTTCTTCACAAGGGGGGATCGTCTTGGGCATACAGATCTGGGGTGCCCCACCCCGCAAAAGCTGCAAGCGTGGATATATTTACAATTAGTATATTTGCACACGTTTTCATTGAAATCAATACAGATAGGGGCTATGCTGGGTTTCACCTTGATCTCGTATCCAAGGTCTCTAGGTGGTTTTACAATAGCCACGGATTTCGGGCATAATTACTTAAATTGTAACTACAGTACACAAGAGTTCTTGATTCTATGAAGAGGTCATGAGAGAATAAATTATGAAATGTACATCAGATAACAACATAGACAGTCTAAAAGTGGAATACAAACTTCTCAGTGAAGATCAGTACAATAACTCCAGATGTTTGAACGGTAAAATGAATAAATTCAAGTACAAGCACAATGGATAATTTCCAATATAAAGAAATGATTAGAAGTGATTGATGATGATGATGATGATGATGATGATGATGATGATGATGATGATAATAATAATAATAATAATATCTTACATTTGTATAGCGCCTTTCAAGATACCCAAAGCACTTAACACACAAAAAACCTAACTAGATACCAAAAGCCTGAATAAACAAGTGTCGCTTCAGAGCAGACTTGAAAGAGTCAAGAGTCTGTGCTTGGCGAATCTCAGAGGGGAGAGAGTTCCAGAGAGGAGGGGCGGCCACACTGAAGGCTCTGTCACTGAGGGATCGCCTTTTCCCATAACGGACAGTGAGGAGCCCAAGGTCCGCAGACCGCAGAGTACGCGCCGGGACGTAGTCCTTGAGGAGGTCAGACAGATAGTGTGGGGCTAGGGCATGGAGAGCTTTGTAGGTGAGCAGGAGGAGTTTGTAGATAATGCAATATCTGATGGGAAGCCAGTGGAGGCGTTTGAGGGTGGGGGTGATGTGCTGCCAAGGTTTGGTCCGGGTGAGCACTCTGGCAGCTGAGTTTTGGACATACTGTAGACGATCTAGGTCTTTTTTAGGAAGTCCCAACAGGACACCGTTGCAGTAGTCTAAGCAGGAGGATACAAAGGCATGGATGAGGGTTTCTGCGACAGAGTCTGAGAGTGACGAGCGGAGTCTGGAGATGGTCTTAAGGTGGAGAAACTTGGACTTTGCCCTTTCATTCCAAACCCACATTAAACCCGTAACCAAGATGACGCCCAGGTTGCGCACCTCGGAGGATGGGGAGATGATATCAAATTAAATTATGTAAAAGTACTTATTTTTACAAAAAAGCTGAGAAATAATTAAAAAGTAACAACTGATGGTACATGTGTAGTGTGTTCTGCATTTCTTTTTGGGTGGAGGCATAATGAGCTGATTCTTGGAGTAGTGGGGGGCTGAGTGGTTGGTCACAGGTTGTCGAGAACACATAATTAACAGTTACATGTTCACACAATGAGAATTAAGCAGATGTTTTATAACTATATGTTGATTAACATGCATCAGTCTGTGGCTGGAGTTAACAGTGGCTGATATCTCCTGTGATGGTGTTTTCATGGGATAAATGTATCGCTACATGTTGTGAAGAAGACATGACATATTAGTTACATATTCACACTGATAGAATTCATTGTAATTACAAATATAATACCAGTGTTGCATGCATCCCTCCTCTGGCAGAGTTGTCACGGCCTGATCCTTCTTCTGATGTAATCATTGCTGGTTAAAGAGGTGGTTGCACGTTTTGGAGAAAACATGACACAATGATCACATGTTCACATCATGAAAAGTCCTTACAATAGGGATATGACTCACCAGTGCTTTGTGCATCCTTCCAATCAATCAACTTTATTTCTAAAGCACATTTAAAAGAACCACAAGGGTAGCCAAAGTGCTGTACAATGACAAATAAAACAATCAAAGAACAAGATAAAGCGAGCAGAAATACATTAATGCAAAAGAATAAATAAGTATATAAATAAGCAGGCTCATGACAAGTGCTAAAATGATAAAAAACAAAACAACACTACAATGTATCAAAAGCCAAGGAGTAAAAGTGTGTTTAAAACACTGTTGGAGTTGTCATGGGCTGAACTGAGGAGAGACACATTGTGTGATACACAAATAGTATAATGTATGAATGAAAATTGTTAAGTATAAATTGAAATTGAAACATAACATTTTTTTATAGTTCCATCAATCCTCCAGGGTCTCATCTCACCAAAGGGGGAGTCATAATGTGCTGGTCAGTCCTCAGCTGGAGTAATCATAAGATGTACGGTATATTTGTTGACACATTGAGGAGAGGAGAGATCACATCAGTTACATGCTTACAAATTAAGAAGTCATCATATTGGAGAAATATTAACCAGGCACATTGCAAATTTTTTCATTAGTTGTAGTCAAATTGTCATGGTCAGAATAATTGCAAATGTAAATTTAGTGGAGAGGTTATATGACACGTTATGTGCGCATACAACCACCATAAATGTCCATTTAAATCATTACTTACGATGTCCTGAATTGTTCACTCGTCTTTGACATCATGGCTTGTCCAGGCGTTGTAAACTGATCCATCTGTCAGCTGTTTGGGAACCTGCTAAAACACTCTCAAATCTACTTTCCTATGAAAAGCATTAATAACATCAACAACAGCAGTGCACATGATTAATCACAAACTTTAAAGCTGCAGTAAATACCTTCATGATCGCTAAAATATGAAGGCATTACTTCAGCTTGTGTGTGGAAAATGCCCCCTCTCACATAAGCATGATCAGTCAAAGTGCCTCGCTCTGTGGTAGGCTAGGTGATCAGCTGATCATATCCTCTGTCTTTGAAAAATTTGCAAATTGACGATGACTTCAATATGTCATCGTTGAAATCTCCCATGATAATGATGTTTCTGCCAATTTGTTCCAGCCATTGGAGTAGTGTGATAACATTTTGTTTGAATAGTGCCATGGGGTAGGTTGGAGGCCGATATATGACTGCGAGGAAAATGTTGAGGTTGATGCAGTGGTATACCAAACATTCCACATTGAAACAAGGCACCTTGATGATTGCAAACTGCATAATTCCACCACAATACATTGCAACTCCCCCATGTTCTTTTGCCTGCAAAGAGGCAAAGAGGGCAGTGTGACCATCATATGCCAGAGCTCGTGGACAACTATGCAGAGAGTAGTTGGCTATCTCGAGTGTCTCTGAGGAACAACCTGGATGCAACCACATCTCAGTCACAGCAATGCACTCTGGCTAAAAATGCTGTGTGTGCTGAGCCAAGTCAGACACATGGCGTCTCAAACCCTGAACATTCATGAGGAACACTGTCAAAGTGTCCTCCACTTTGCCTAGCCAGGTGACAGGCTCCAGGAAAGGAGCCATCTCTGAAGTGGCCTGTGCAATTTCTGGCCGACAATAGATTGTCTTTGGATTGAAATCTTGAATGATCAATCCCATTAGAGTCCTGACACCACTCAAAGCCACATAAACCTGTCCAGCAGAAAACACCTTCTTCATACTAACTACAGCTGTGTCAACCACGAGGCCTTGTACTTTGTGTACAGTACAGGCCCAGGCGAGTCGAAGCGGAAATTGACGGCGGATACCTTCCTTCTTTGTGACTCTTTCTTCTTCTGGCGCGATAGCCGTTGAACCAACAAGGTGATCTGAAACCCTTCCTGACTGTTTCCTCCTCTCAACACCAACTACTTCATCATCAAATTTCACAAAAATACACTGAGGAAACTTTTCATTCTCAACACAAACTACATCTGTTACTGTGCCACATGCACCATTAACCAAGCCGTCAGCCAAATCTAAGTTTTTCGTCAACATTACACGCGAACCACTACCCAACAACAATTCTTCATCTAAACATGTGTTATACGTAAGTGTATGATATCCTTTCTTCAATTCAAGCCTGCCTGTTTTTGAGCTGTTTACATAATCCTGAGCCTGTATGACATGATAATCTGGACATGTTCTCTGTAGCTGCTCAAAGTTGTGCTCATTTACCTGACTATTTGTGGCAAATATATGCAAACCTGAGCACTCTTCGCCAGTTTCTCGTTGTTTCAAAGTAATGATATCACTTTGCAACATCTCTGAGTCTTTCGGCTGCATACCAACCCGATTCAGTAGTCTGGCAAAATCATCATCCGTCTGCCGAATTACTTTTGTCAACTTGACAACCTTAAAATGAGTGCTCCAAAGATCAACTCCAAGTGGTTCCATGTATAACGGTTTGCCTTTCACCAGAGGCAACTGATAAAAATCCCCTACTGCAATGACGCTCACATTTCCAAATGGAGTGTGAGTGCCTGTCTGTTTAATTTGGCGTAGTCGTCCGTGCACATAAGTCAGCATATTATGATTCATCATAGAAATTTCATCAATTATCAAAATTTGGAGATCACAATATTTCATTCTCAATGTGTTTAACTTCTCTTCCCCTATTGGCACGTAAGGAAGGCGAACATCTTTCCCTATGCTAAATGTACTGTGCAGGGTGGTTGCATGCAGATTATATGCAGCAATCCCTGTCGGTGCAGTCAACAAAACACTTATATTCTCAGGTTGTCAACACATTGGTGACAACAACCTTGTGGCCTCGTACTGAATCGCTTTGATTAAATGCGATTTTCCAACGCCAGCACCACCTGTCACAAACACATGAAAGGGATCTGGGTTTCTACCTGCTGCTTTATCAACACACCACTGATGGACCTTGTTAAAAACAGGCATCTGGTCATCATTCAAAGACCTGCACAATGCCAATCCCTCACTTCTACTTAAATTGTTGCACTTAGTCACCTTAGCCTGCTCTACACTCCCAGCCAGATCAGGAATATGTTCCACTGGGTCTTTGTCTACCTCTACCTGCTCTGCTGTTTCCTGAATTGACTCCAGCCGTTCAATCTCTTGCTGTGGGGACAACTGCCCCCACGCATCTTCTACAGGACCATCAAAATTCACAGAATCAAAAATGTCATCTAACTCATCCGCATCTATCTCATAATTGCAGCGATTTGAGTCCACATCTGACTTCACTGAATGTAGCTGTCCATCAGCAATGATGACACGACCAGTTTTGTAGAAGTCTTCGAAAGTGACAAATCCTTCAGGCTTCAGCTGTTCTTCTATCCGATACGGAAGGAACAGCTGCAAAATGCTCTGGTGAAATAACTCTGGACTTTTAGTCTCAGAGAATCTTGCATACCTTACAGCAGCAGGCTGCATTCGGGTTCTTCTCAAAACAAACCCGCAGCCGTTATCAAGTTGAATTCGGTTTTTTGATTTTTCCCCTTTGCTGAGCACACGATACTCTGCAGCAAAATGGACAAGGCACATTCCTTCAAATACATTATCTCTGGATCTGTTCTTATATCAGTCAACAAAATTGATCATCCACATCTTTTCTGTGGATACATCAGCCATGTGTTTCAACACAGTCAATGGCTTGCTGATCCTGACAACATTGTCACCTGTTGGTACAAAAACCACCTTCCGAGAGCACTCTTTCAAGTGCATGTTGCTGAGCTTGTAGACCGCCTCCTGAGCTCCAACATCTCAGTTGTGAAGGTAAACGGTGCCAAGCTTCTTCAAAGCCTGCTTGGCACTGAGGTTGTCCTCCTTGGATGCTTCCCGCTGTGCATTTGCCAACATCAATCCCATCTGTCTTTCTGCCTTAGAGATGTAGGAAATTATGTAAACTACACAAGCATAAGCATCGGTCACATACTGGATGTCCATGTTTGCATTCCAAGCTTTCAACAGAGTCTTGGAATGTGGGTGGATCCATGTATCACAAACCTGGCGTTGCATAATCACTTCTGTCTTTTTCCCTAACCTCCTGTATGCTGCCTCAAATGTCTCCTGTTGTATCCCTACACTGTCAAATAACTCTTCTGCAGTTTGTATTGTGCAGTTCTCGTCTGACAACACTTTAGCTATTGTTTCAAAAACCTTAACATCGAATTGCCCTTCCTGCCTGTGCTTCTTCTCATTTTCTTCCTTGCCACAAGTGCACTGTTCTACCACGTTATGGACGTTGCGCTGACACACGCACTCCATCTCAACCTCCTTATACGCCCTGGAAATGAAAGTTCTAGCAGACACCGGTTTTGGGAAATTGAAGCGGCATACTTTCCCACCTTTTTTACAAGTTTTGGAGTGTCGCTTTGAATGCTGCTGCACTGAAGACACAATCTCACGTAAATCATCAGTGTCATTAGGTAGTTCACATGACACATATTCATCAATAAACTGAACCACCTCATCATCTGTGTTCATGTCAATTACAGGGGCATTCTCAATCCAAAACAGACAATGAACGTGTGGAGAGCCACGCTGCTGGAACTCCACCCTGTAGAAGTAGTCGATGATTTTGCCAATCGGATTCAATGGAGACATCAACACCTCTTTCAAAAACAGATGCCAGCGATAATCAAACATGCGAGCGGCGAGTACAGGATTACGACGCAACAGATCGCACTTGCCTGCCCACTCCAGGTCCTCAAATGTTCCTTCCACCTCAAATCCGCTGCAGAAAACGAACAAAACCATGCAGGCTTGCCAAGCTGTCGCAAGCATGCCAACAAATCCTTCTGAATTCCCTGCCAAAACGCTGGAGTACCCCTTACAGGTTTTAAAACCCAGTACCCATCGTCATGATTTAAAAGCTGACGCAGGCTCTCGACATTTTTCAATACATCACTAACCTTTGTCCCACGCTTATCTGCTTTCCCTTTCCTCAACGCAATCGACACACTGGACATGATTTGATCTAACTCAAGCATGTAACAAGCATAGAAAATAAACTCAATATTCTGCGTGAATCTACCATCAGCATTAAATAGCCTGTTACTCAAATAGCGGAACAGAGTCAGAGACGAATCTCTGTTTTCAAAAAATGTTCCACGACCTTTTGGAAACAACACGGGGAAACACTTGGCCTCATTCTCCTTTGTTGACAAAACCTTTACAGGATTCTATCCATCAGCTGGAGCCAAGTTCAAAACACCATCAAAATATTGGTCCAGCGCTTCCTGGCCAATATCAACAGGCATTGAGCATGTGTCTTGAAACATGCAATGCTGCTGCTGATCATGCAGAAGTTCTTCCTCAGCTGCAGCTGCCTTGACTGCAGATGCCTCAGAGCTCTCTGCATTTGACTCTCCCTGTTCAACAACAACGCTTTGCTGCTCTTTGTCAGCACTCTCATCCCTGCAGAACTCATTGATCCAGTCATCATTGAACTGCACATCTTTGTAGAAGGGATTGTTCTCTTTCAGATATTGCAGTGCTTTCCTGATTTGCAAAGGTTCGACATACTCGTACGCATAATGCGCTTTATAAGTAAGCTTGCGCTTCAGTTTAACCGGAATAACTGAACCCTCCATGTCTGAACATGGCAACGCGTTACTGGTTTGGACAATGTTGGCCGGAACACACGCAATCGGCCCATGAACACCATTTTGACCCCCTCTAGGAAGAGCTACCATCTTCAAAAAGGGGATGTGGAGTGCAATCAAATGCGATTCTAAACAATTTAAACAAGCCAACTCAGGTGGGATCGGATCAAGGGTCAGATTGTTGATTGCGCTCTCAGCTGGCACCTGACCTTTACTGACCTTGCCATTAAATGAATGGCAAATCCACAAACTACCACGAGGGGACGCTTTCAAAAGACATGGTACGGCACAAGTAGACACACATTTATGCACAAACACATCTTGACTACATCTAGCTGCGACAAGAGCTGCATTCTTATTCCTGCTGTAAGTGTCTATATTACAACAGAAAACCTGGTGTTTAAACAACAGTCTATGGCACACACTACACACAAAGGCTGGCCCATCTTTGATTTTTTCCAAAAACTGCTCAATTACCAAGTCCATCTGCTCTAGCTTTGCCTTCCTTTCTTATATTCTAAGTTTCTTAGATGCAAGGAACTGTTTCCTATTCTGGTGGCATTGTTTCCTTTGTAACTCTAATTTTATCTGCCAATATGCATTATTTTCATATTCAACCTTACTTTTTTCCCTGCTCTTGTGTTTTACTTTTTGTATATGTCATCTTCGCCTGTTTATTTATTTGTATGTAACAGAACAGAGTCGCCAAACACAACGGCAATCGTTTTTAACAAAGACAAAAGTTGCTGAGGATCGGTAAAGTCTCTGGAGCAGTTAAGAACAACGGAATGAATAACTTGGAAAATGCTTTGGTAGATGTTTTATTCTTAAAGGACGCTGATTTGCTTGTTTAGCTGTCAATCAAAAAAGGATTTCGCCTCAGACAGCTCATCCAATCATGGATGCAGAAGCTCGGAGTCCGGGAGAAAGTCGGGACCGCCCTCTCGCCATAGAACTCCAGAGAAGCTCAGCGTCCGATGGGCGGGACAAAGCCCAGCATTTATCCAATGAGCGTCTAGTTCAGTGTTGTTTTTGGCAGGCATTTTAGATTTAGTTTTAGTCTTAGTCATTTTGACGAAATGCTTCTTCGTTTTAGTCCCATTTTAGTCATTTCTATCCTTGATAGTTTTCGTCTAGTTTTAGTCCGACGAAAACTCAAAAGGTTTTAGTCTAGTTTTAGTCGACGAAAAGGTGCCTTTTGAGGTTCGTGGTGTTCTTTCCCGACAGTTTGAAGCCGCAGCATGAGGAAGCTGTGGCTCCACAACTGTCGTCTGTCTCGTCTCCTCGTCCCCGTACAAGACATTGTGTTTTGTTGTCATTTGGACTGTATCTGAAGTAGGACCATAAATCATCCCTCTTTTTTCGGCCACCGGGTACCGGTACTGTGCCTGCCGCCACGGTGTGTGTGCGCGCGCCTTGTCCACCTGCCGCTCTGTGCATGTGTATGAGTGTGTGCGCGCAACTGTGCGCGCAGCTGTCCGCGAGCGAGGCTTTTGGTGCGTGTGTGATGGGGGCGTGACTGTTAGGACAAAAAAAAAGCATGTTTTGAAACTTTGTTCGTCCACCTGATAACAATTTAGTCTCGTCTCGTTCTCGTCTGACGAAAATCAATACAATTTTCGTCACATTTTAGTCTTTACAGAGCTTTGGTGACGTTCGTCTTAGTCTCATTTTCGTCAAGGAAAAAAGGGGTCTGACATCGTCGTTTAAGTTTTCGTCCTGCCTGACGAAAACAACACTGGTCTAGTTTCACTGCTGGAACAACCCACTTTTGAGCTTCCACATTGAAGTCAGCAGAAGCTGGGCGTCCGGCTGTGTAAAGCGCTGAGGCGCTGCCAGGATGAATGAGAACAAAGTTGTGCAGAATCAGCTTCTTATCACACTGTGATAAGAAGCTGATTCTGAACAAAAGATGAAGGCTTTCTAGGGCATATTAAGTTAATGAAATGTACACACAGCAGTACGTATTTCACCACTTTTTTGGGGGGGTGACATTTTAAGGGAAGCTGAGCTTCCCTTGCAGTCTTAGAGCGATTGCCACTGATCTATTCCTAACAACAGATTATGCTTATATCTATTCCTAACATTTTGGTTACGTCTGTTATAATCCAAGAAGTCTTTGTGGTAGTTAATTTTCATTTGCAAAAACTTCTTTTTAAGATATTTTGACAACCTTTTTTCTTTATCTAAAGGATTTAAAATCTGATGACTCTGTTGTTTGAAGTCCTGATATCCTGTCCTGAGGTTATAGGGCGCAGTTTTGCTCACCTGTGTCAAACCGTAGTCAGTACTATGTGCAACACCACCTTCACACAAATCACAGCAACCACAGTCCACATTAGGTTGTCGAACACAGATGACAGTCTCATAATGGATGTTATTGCAGTTCTCCAAATACACTGCCTGTTCCGATTCCCGTTGACCTTGACAGCTGTATTCAAACCATCGACCATGAATGTAGGTAAAAATGCTTACCCCCAAACAAACTGCTGCAGCCTGAATCTCCACCTCTGTGGCCCAACTACCCACATATCGCATTCTGGACATGTTGAGATATTCTTTGACAGAGGTAAATTCACGTCTCAGAATACACTCATATGATCCAGGATGACATTCAATATGTTTACAAACCGCCAACCTGACTTTCCTGTGAAACCTCTCACTACCAGACAAAACATGACTCACAAATCTGAAGAAGCAATTGCCGTCGCCGACAATAGGCTGCTTCTTGCATGGAGGTCCTAATATGCCAGCTACAAATCCTTCCACAGCAACTTTCTCACATTCTATTCCTAAAGTTGTGCACAAAACTTTTGCAACATCTAACTGAAGGGGGTGAAACACTAAATCTTGTTGGTCTTCATTACCAACACACACCACATCATCGTCAGTCTGCTTTTGCATAATCAATGCACACAACATCATTGTTATCTCCACTCTCGTTGTTTGCGTCTTCAACAATGAATACATCAACACCAAAATTGTTGGTCTTTGCTCTCTTGGCAGCAGGAGCGTGCACAAAGCGTTGATGTTTTGAGCCCTGCGTCTTGTGTACTGATGTACTGGATGAACACCTCTGCTTGGAGTGCGGCACTTCCTGATGTACATCTGCATAGACACTCTTCATGTGCAGTCCCGCCACAACATTGTCAGTATTTAGTGTTGAGCTGGATGGCAAACACATACTTTGAATTGTTGACATTCTGGGGATCGCACGCACACCAGCAACTTCAAAGCCTGGTTGCTCACACGCTGTGATGCAGCCAAGGTCAATGCATGTGTATACAGTTCTTGCAAGTTATGGAAATACACAACAACACTTCTGCCATTAGGATCCACCAGGCCTGAAGCGTTTCGAGCATGAGAATCAACAACAGCGAACACACCATTCTCACGAATGACAACACATGTGCTGCAATGCAATGTCAAAAAGCATGCGTCATATTTGGCAAACACAATTTGTGGACCATGCAGCAATGTTGTCAACCCAGGTGCAATGGGTGACCCATCAGTCTGGTTGATGAGTCCGGACACGTAATCACCATACTCAAAGTCAAACTCCATGCCATCAATTGTGTGTGAAGCAGGCAAATCAGGAATACACAAAAAATCACTCCCGCCACTGATTTTGTCGTTATCTCGCAGATATGTGTACAGTTGATCCCCACAGAGCAAAGCTGTGTCGAGATTGTCCATGAGATTCCATGAGAAAACGCTTTTGACACTGTCTTTGGCAACGCCGGCCAGCCCAATTGCCATACACTGTTGTCCGGGATTACTCAAGAGGTCACTCGCCTGGTGAAATGATCCCAGGACACTGTGTCTTACCCAACCTGGGTCAGACATCTCACCCTCAATCTGAGTGCACAGAAACTGTACTGCCTCGGTTTTCACACTGCTAACCTGCACAGGTGAGCGATCAAAATCACCAAACACAAGAGGGGGGGAAAGAGGACGTTTATGCGCACTTACCTGTTCCACCCGGGTGCCTCCATCTGGCTGGGGTGCTGACAAGGTGGCAGTGTTCACTGTCACCACGCCTGGGGTCGTCTGGAGCTCCGCCACCTTCTCCAGGGCCACTTCAGGTGAAGTGACTTCTGTAGCAGGAGGCACCTCAGTCGTCTTGGGCTCAGCTGGGCTCTGCACACACAAAGCCCTTCCCTGCACACAAAAGTTTGTGCATAAATATATTGTCATTGATACAAAGGGCGAATTGTTAAAAAGTGTACTTTTATAGTTGAAGATAAGACGCATTTTGATTAATGCAGCCCATCAACTGATAATACTAAGATCTCATTTGTGTATGAATAAAGAAAATCTTTTGAAATAAAGGGCCAAGTAAAATTTCTCTGTTATTATTTCAGTTCAGTATGATAAACTTGGTTTTGATGCAAACCTAGTTCTGTGCGCTTGCATATTAATAAACCATGTGTGCTAATGAAGAAACAATCCTGCTTCCTGGCAGGGATCCTCTGAGATGCAACCACAGTCCTGCGTGGTTCCACAGGTGGCATCTGAATGAAAAAATATTTTTTATAAGCATTGTTGTTGTGTAACACAAAACGTTTTATGAATGAACAGTAAAAGTGCAACTGTAGTTCAACTTTTCACTGACCTCATCATCGTGTAGAACAGGGTTGGGAAGCTGGGATGGCGAAATCTTCTCCATGGCATCCAGCAGGTGTTCACTGAAATGGAGAGGGTTGAGACGCACAAAACACTCCCGCAACCCAACTGCTGACAACTAGGATGAGAAGGAGAGAGAAAAAAAATAAAGTAATACTTTAGAAGAGGGTTTCTCTTCAAAGAAAATGTGTGCAATCCACACAGAAACTCTGATGATAGTGCTTTTGTATGATAGGTGCGTTCATACAAAGGATGACAAACCTGCTGCGTGCATGGAGCAGAGTCCTCCACCTCGTCGCCAGAGAGCTTCTGCTGTGATAAGTAAGTTGAGAATTAACAGTACTGTATTAGTTACATGTACTACACGTAACACACAGGAATTATATGGTCTGCCCGAGACACTGCCCCAGAATAGGCGACCCACCGTCTTAACTGAGATGGACCTACAAAGAAGACAAGACAATTTTAATGATCACAAATATGCCCGATGCAAAAATTTGTGCATTTATTATGAAGTCCATATGAAACATAAGATGAGTAGGGATTGTACTAACAGAATCCCTGCACCACAGCTTGCGGCGTCTCAGGGGGAAGTCGTCAGCAGCAGGGCAAACATATCGAATGCCTGTTAATGTAAAGTGAGACAAAATGAAGCATAAGTACAGATGTGCGTATTTTACTCAAAACAGAAAAGACAATTATTCTTTCACCTTCTCCATAAAATGTACAGAGTTGTGATGTATTCTAAAAGATACGTAATTTGTAAGTGTTTTTTGTAGATGTTTTATGTGATTGGTTTTATGATGACATTATTGTCATTGAGAATTTTGTTATGAAGGCACATTTAAAGTGTTGTAAAACTTACCCATACGTGCTGCAACTCGACGGAATTCCTGCCGCAGGAGCTCCTGGTGGTCCAAAGGGTGGTTCAGCCGAGGTGGAAAATCATACACAATTACCTATAAAAATAGCACAAGCACACCAGAAGGACAAGGAATACAAAAGTTATTATAGAGAATAACTACCAATGTAGATACTACAAAATATGTTAATGAAATCATAGCCCCACCTTGAACCACCTCCCAAGGGCAGTTGAGAGAAGTTTCGCAAAATCTGTTGAAGACACCCTTGGATAGCTAGGTTGTTGCTAGGAGCCATGATGAACATGATGAACCAAGTCAGGATTGCAAGGTACAGCAGCATGCACCATCTCAATCGTCAGTTCGTCAGCACAGGCCCCTGGCGTGGACATGAAGCCAAACAACATCCGTCCTTCAGGCAATGGCACAACCCCATTGACAAACGGTCGGAGGTGGGAGGAACCGACAATAAGAATGAACTAGGATGAGAAAGGGAGAAGTACTAATTAAATACTGTATCAGCTGAAATATGTTTTGTGAGGGTAAAAAACAATGTCAGTATCATACCTTCTTGTCGGGAACCTCAGGAGGAATGACCAATTTGTGTTGCTGGCCAGTCAACACAGATATTGGCCACTGGATAATGCAATGGCGATAACCAGTCCCGACAGTGCCTATTTAAACAGACAACATTGACATGTATCATTGTAAAAGTGAAACAGTAAACCTGATTTGGATGTGTGTTTTCCCAGACAGAGAGGAATAAGAAACTGTTACTAATATAGTTACGTAAGACAAAATGATACATTTCAAAGAAAAAGGTTACACACCCGTAGGCACGTCACCATTGTGGTCTTGCGGACCGAAAATCAGGAACTCGCGCTGAGCGTGTCACCTGGTTGCAGCCTGTGACCGACGCGAACCCTTCAGCTTCGGCATTTGAAAGTATAATAAATGTTATATCCATTATTTTTGTAAAACTTCATATCAACATCAAACATTTGTGTTATGTTATATAAGCACAAGAAATACAAGAAGAATTTGCTAAATACTAAGGGTAACAAATTTTTGTCCTGTGACCTAATTTGACAATCACATTTGTGATGACCACAGACATACAAAAAAGAATCATTTCTCTCTCAAATGTATGTGCTTTTTTCTTGTAGTGAAGGTGATGTAAAGGGAGAGAGGAGCCCTATTCTGTGGAAAAGAAGTGAAACAGCAGCCTCAGGGGACAGGGGAGAGCTATAACAGAGGAAAATGACCCTTTCCAGTGAGGAGGAAGCCCCGCTGGACAACCAACTTGAAGTTGACATATAAGGTACTCAGTAGGTCTACTGTTTTTTACTGTTTTTAAACTGTTGGGTTTATTTTGTAGCAGCTTTAGAAGAGCGCTATCATGCAAACGTGTAGAAATAACTTCGACGTCGCCTGAACTGCACTATACAAAGCAAACATCACGTGACTCGAGGTCCTCGAGTAGTTGCATCATCGTGACGCATGCTCGGCCAGCTGATGAGACGGGCGCTCATAAAAAAAAATAATAAGCGCCCGGCGTGCTCTCCGCGGTGGATAAAAGTAAATAACTGGCTTTGATCAGATGATTTGGCAGGCCGAACTAGTGCCGAATCATCTAAAAAATATATATTGTGTTCATCTAGGTGTAGATGGACGGGGATGTGGTCTATAAAGTGCTAATAATAAAAATACTACAGTTTTTGAATGGGGTTTCACGAGGTGCAGTTGCGGGTACGTGCATCAGCTGATCAAACGAAAGTTACGCATGTAACTACGGTTCTATGAATCCCGAATGACCGCCAGAGGCGGTGCTTTAAGCACTGAATGACTTATACCAGCAAAATCACGAGGAATCCTGATTGCAAACCTTGAATCAAGAGGACTCCAGGAAGAAGACCACACCCAACGGATGGGGAGTGGCAACGTTTACCCTGTAGAACCTGGAGAACGTGCTTGATGAGGCCCACGAGGCAGCTGAGCAGATGTCCTCGAGGGGTACTCCTCTTAGGGCTGCCCATGAGGTGGAGACACTCCTGGTTGAGTGGGATCGGACCCCGGGTGGCATGGGGCGGTTATTCGCCTTATAGGCGTGGCTGATTGTGTCCACCACCCAGTGGGACAGCCACTGCTTTGACAAGGCCCGGCCCATACTAGGGCCGCTGTGACACACAAAGAGCTATTCGGCTCGTCTTACACGTGCAGTGGCTCCGATGTAGGCTCTCAAGGCCCGCACCAGGCACAATAGCTTAAGCTGGTCAGCCCCGTCCCCTGGTGGAGGATCGAACCGGGCCAGTGTAATAGGCCAGTTGATATTTGCTGCTGACGGCACCTTTGGCAGGAAGTCCATATTGGGCCATAGGGTTATGCCCGACTGGTCTGGGTTCCACCGTAGACAGGATTCACTGACTGACAGGGCGTGCAGCTCCCCTACACGCTTGGCTGATGTAATGGCCAGGAGGAGGACTGTCTTATAGGACAGCCACTTGAGCTCCGTCCGTTCCAGGGGCTCAAAGGGAGCCCTGCATAGGATAGTTACCAGGCTTTGGAGGAATTCGAGGACGACTGTCACTGGACAGTGTACTGGGTCCTCAGCTCTACTTTTGCACCAGCTGGAGAACAGCTTCCACCTGTTGGCGTACTGGAGCCTGGTGGACGACGCCCTCGCGTTCAAGATTGTGTGTCGGACTGCGTCCGAGCAGCTGCCTAGCAGCGGATCGGGCCCTTCAGCGGCCAAAGCACAGCTGGAGGCGTTGTGGGTTGGGATGCCAGATTCCTCCCCTCAGCTGCGAGAGTAGGTCTCTCCTGTCGGGGAGGCGCCACGGCGTCCCTCGACACAGTTGGTGGAGCAGTCTGAATCACACCCTGCCTGGCCAGAAAGGGGCCACCAGGAGAATGGTGTGATCCTCCTGAGCCACTCTCTAGAGCACTAGAGGAATCAGAGGAAGTGGGGGAAAAGCATATAGGAGAACCCCTGGCCAGGGGTCGGACAGCGCATCCTGGCCTAGGGGGCTGGTTATCCCCGCTAGGGAGAACCACTTCGGGCAGTGGGTCAACACTGCCGAAGCGAACAGATACACTTCTGCACCGCCGAAGCAGTTCTAGATCATACTGACCACGTCTGGGTGGAGGTGCCACTCTCCTGATGGAGGTTTCTGGCAGGAGAGGAAATCTGCGATGTGATTCTTCTCTCCTGGTATATACACTGCCCGCAGGCTCATCAGACGGGGGGCCGCCCACGTCAGCAGGTTTGTGGAGACCTACAGCAGCCGTGCTGACTTGGTCCCTCCCTGGTGGTTTAAATGGTAGACAGTCGAGGTATTGTCTGACCTGACCAATACATGCTTGCCTTGCAGGTGAGGCATGAAATGGATGAGAGCCATGTACACTGCTTTTAGTTCGAGCACATTGATGTGATTGGTGCAGTCTGCTGGAGACCACTGCCCACGAGCTGTCCTGCCTTGCCACACCGCACCCCAGCCCGAAGGGGAGGCGTTGGTGGCAACGGTTTCCCTGCGGGACGGAATAGACCCCATAGGGACACCCCTCAAGATGAAAGCCCTGTCCCTCCACGGGACTAGGGTGAGGAGACACTGTCTGGACACGGCAATCTTCCTGTGCCTGTGTCGCTCGGCATCTAGATGAAGGCCGTTTAGCCACCTCTGCAGGGGGTGTAGGGACAGCAAGCCCAGTGGCACAACAGCCGCAACGGATGTTAGTGTGCCCACGAGGCGGAGGAACTTTATATATGGCAGGCGGCTTCCTCTCCTGAAATCCGACAGCAGCATCATAATACCATTCACCCGGCGGGTGGAAGGATGGGCCGTCATAGCAACTGTGTCTAGGGCTAGGCCAATATACACTCACCGGCCACTTTATTAGGTACACCGTCCAACTGCTCGTTAACACTTAATTTCTAATCAGCCAATCACATGGCGGAAACTTAGTGCATTTAGGCATATAGACATGGTCAAGACAATCTCCTGCAGTTCAAACCGAGCATCAGTATGGGGAAGAAAGGTGATTTGAGTGACTTTGAACGTGGCATGGTTGTTGGTGCCAGAAGGGCTGGTCTGAGTATTTCAGAAACTGCTGATCTACTGGGATTTTCACGCACAACCATCTCTAGGGTTTACAGAGAATGGTCCGAAAAAGAAAAAATATCCAGTGAGCGGCAGTTCTGTGGGCGGAAATGCCTTGTTGATGCCAGAGGTAAGAGGAGAATGGCCAGACTGGTTCGAGCTGATAGAAAGGCAACAGTGACTCAAATAACCACCCGTTACAACCAAGGTAGGCAGAAGAGCATCTCTGAACGCACAGTACGTCGAACTTTGAGGCAGATGGGCTACAGCAGCAGAAGACCACGCCGGGTGCCACTCCTTTCAGCTAAGAACAGGAAACTGAGGCTACAATTTGCACAAGCTCATCGACATTGGACAATAGAAGATTGGAAAAACGTTGCCTGGTCTGATGAGTCTCGATTTCTGCTGCGACATTCGGATGGTAGGGTCAGAATTTGGCGTCAACAACATGAAAGTATGGATCCATCCTGCCTTGTATCAACGGTTCAGGCTGGTGGTGGTGGTGTCATGGTGTGGGGAATATTTTCTTGGCACTCTTTGGGCCCCTTGGTACCAATTGAGCATCGTTGCAACGCCACAGCCTACCTGAGTATTGTTGCTGACCATGTCCATCCCTTTATGACCACAATGTACCCAACTTCTGATGGCTACTTTCAGCAGGATAATGCGCCATGTCATAAAGCTGGAATCATCTCAGACTGGTTTCTTGAACATAACAATGAGTTCACTGTACTCAAATGGCCTCCACAGTCACCAGATCTCAATCCAATAGAGCATCTTTGGGATGTGGTGGAACGGGAGATTCGCATCATGGATGTGCAACCGACAAATCTGCGGCAACTGTGTGATGCCATCATGTCAATATGGACCAAGCTCTCTGAGGAATGCTTCCAGCACCTTGTTGAATCTATGCCACGAAGAATTGAGGCAGTTCTGAAGGCAAAAGGGGGTCCAACCCGTTACTTGCATGGTGTACCTAATAAAGTGGCCGGTGAGTGTATGTTGTGTTCTGAGATGGTGTCAGGCAGCATTTGTCTATATTTACTTTTATTCCCAGGCGGGCCACGTGGGCTAGGAGCCGTGATGTGTCGTCTACTGCCTGCACCCAGGATGGTGTGCAGATCAGCCTATCGTCCAGGTAGGGAAGCACCTTCATGCCCTGGGCCTGGAGAGGTTGGAGCGCTGCAGCGGCGAACCTTGTGAAGACCCTCGGGGACAGGGAGAGGCCAAAAAGGAACTGCCAGTGGCGGTCTCTGTAGGCGAACCGGAGGAACTGCCGGTGTTGCCTGGCAATGGGGACATGGAAATAAGCGTCTCTCAAATCCACTGTCGTGAACCACTCGTTTGGGGCCACGGACTGGAGTACAGCTGCCCTGGTTAACATATGGAAAGGTATGGTCTTTAAGTACCTGTTTAGGCCTCTCAGGTCCAAAACGGGGCGGAATCCACCGGTCTTTTTTTCTACCAGAAAATAGGTTGAGTAGAACCCCCTGGGGTGCTGCAGAGGGTCTACTGGCTCGATGGCACCCTTGGCCAGGAGGGTAGACAGCTCCTGGTCTAGGGCGAGGGCCTTTGCCGGGTCGCCAGTGATGGTGGTTTTGACCCGGCTGGCTGCAGGGGGCCGGCGTCGGAACTGGAGCTTGTACCTGTGGGTCAAGGTGGTAAGCACCCACGGGTCCACAGCTTGAGCAGCCCAGTAACTGAGCTGCTGGTGTGTGAAAGTTTCAATGGCCGGCCCCGTTGCCTCAGTGTTTAGCCCCTTGGCCCCTAGGGGCCTGTTGGGGGGTCCAACGGGGCCCGGGGGCCAAAATGGCCTAGATTGTGCACGACCGATGCCCCGCCCACGGGCTTGCCCCTGCGCAAAGCTTGGGTCGCTAAAGTGGGCTGGTGGTGGGTGGATTCTGGGAGCGGCCAAGTGGCCTCTGCCCCTGGCCCTGCCCCTGCCAGGGGGAGGCACGCGGTGCAGGCACAGCAGCTGCTGCCTAGTCTGTCCCACCTGAATGGTTCTGTCAAGTGCCTCCTGTGCAGCTGGGCCAAACACTGTTCCTGGCACCACCGGGAGGCCCTGGAGGGTCTTCCTAGCCTTGTCCGTCAGCCGTGATTGGGAGAGCCAAACCTGGCGGTGAGCCTGGATCATGATGGACATCATCCTACCCAACTCCCGGGCCATGAGGGCAAACGCCTCCAGTGATGCGTCACAGAAGGTGGTAGCATCTGTGTTTGCATTGCCATCCTGCAGGGATGATAAAGTGCCAGTTGGAGGTGTGACAGGGAGTTGCCAATCCTCCCAGCTTTTGACCCTGCGTCATAGCCCCTAATCAGCAGGTCATCAGTTAGTCTGCACTGGGGGCGAGGACACCTGGTGTCCCGGCTCAAAGCCTCATCTGGGGGAACCACAAGAGATGCGACCACTGGCTCGATTGATGGCATGCGGTCCAAGCCAACGCCTGCGGTCCAAGCCAACGCCTGCCGAGCCATGCATCGCTGCCAGCGCACGACCGTCGCTGGTTAGACGGGAGCAAGCTTTGGAGTCCGCCCAGCAGACCTGTAGCTCCCTCAAATAGTCCTCTGCATGTGGGACCGAAAATGCGTTGGAGGCTGGCTTACGCCGGAAGAACCTGCTTGTAGGAGCTGACCCTGCTTGGTCTGGTATGGCCACCTTTAATTTCTCCAGGGCCATTCGCAGGATGGCCCGCATCGAGTTGTCCTCGCTCTCGGACAGCTCAGTCTGGGCTGAGGAGCGGGAGCCCTCATCTGAAGCCTGAGAGGCCCCCTCATAAACCTCCCCTTCCTCATATTCATGAAAGTAGGAGGCTGATGCCGCTAAAGAAAGCGCATCCTCCTCTGGCTCTTGGGACTCCTGGGTCAGGTGTGGCATTTCAGGAGTAGGCACACGGGCTTCCTCTGAAGGACATTCCAGTGGTTGATGGACCAGGAGCATGGCCCTCATGCGATCTAGCTCCGCAGACAACTGATCCACCCTAGATGACAGTCGAGAGCGGTCAGTCTTGGGCCTAGTCCTAGACTTCTTTCTAGAAGGTGGGGTGCCTGCACTAGCAGGTGTGTCGGCGCCCCGCTTCAAGCGACCATGTTTCGCTGTGGGCACCTGGCCTGATGGGGGAAGGTTGTCCTGCAGTGGATTCACCCCCGCTAGCCTGGCCAGCTTAGCTGCCATTGGCATATAGCTACAATTCATACAATTATTATTTACCAGGGCCTCCTTGAGGTGCTCAAGGCCCAGGCATGATGGACACAAATCGTGTCCATCATCAGGTTGGAGGGGGGCCTGATAGGAAGTACAGCAGTGGGAGACATCCATTGTGGACGCACCACTAGATGGAGAATTGACCTCTTATGCTGGAGGGAGGAAGCAGAAGTGCTCTTTTGCCAGCAATTAGAACTAGGAGAATAAGGGCTGCTTATGCTGGAGGGAGGAAACGGACGCACTCCCTTGCCCAAAAAATAGAGATAGAACAATATAAATCAAATAATTACAACAATAATGGACCTGAAGCAACTCAGGTCACTGGCGGCGCGAGCTGGGGGGAGGGGGCGTGAACACCGCCTGCACCAGCGTAGGCTATCGCCAACTAGGACGTTTAATCTTACTGTAGGTAGGAAGCGTGACCGCTACCTATGACAGCAAATGGAAGAAAAAAGGATGAAGCCACTCAGGCAACCAGAGCGTTAATGCTACTGTTAACGTTAAGAACTTAAGACAAAGCTATGCAACAGAAACAGGTTATCAAAGCCCAACCAAAAATGTCACCACTACATGTACGCTACATATAGCGATCGCTATGAAACTAGCCAAAGCGACACTAAACCAAACAACAAAAGTGTTATCTTTACAACTTTTTTTCTCGCTTGGTCGCCGCCGAGTGGCCTGTGCAGTGCCCAACAGCCGGGTTGTCTGTCCGCGTGTACACGTTGCTTTAGCCGCCGTCGGGGGCCGGAGCCGCGCTGCGGCGTTGTTTTAGCTGCGGCGTTAACAAAACGGTGCTACAGTAAAGTCGTTTATCAGCTAAAAATGCCGAAGCACGCGAGCGTTACTGTTCGTAGCATGCAACCATTATGTCGGAGGGAGGCGGTGAGAACACAGCCTTTCACAACAGGTTAAAGTAAATATATATACGCTAAATCAACAACCTACCTGTTCCAAAGGAGAGGGGAACGAGTCCCGTCCTCACCGGTGAATGACGGATGTCGCGGCGTCCAATGAGATGAAAACTCCTCTCAGTAGGAGATCCAAGTTATAATATTAGTATGGATTTAAACAAGTTACAGTTCCTGGAGGGCTATCATTCGCTACTCCGACCGAAACGGCCGCTGAACTACTGGTAACTTTTTCGACTTAACAGTGCGGTAGGTTTTGAAATTCTGCAGCTTGCTTGTTTGCAACATGCACGCGCGAGAAAGAATAAGGGACTGAACCATCGCTGACCGATGGAAGAAATAACCTCTCCCAGGTCATCATGGGGTAACAAGTGACATTGTTGGTATAAACACTCGAACTGCGCATGCGCGAAGGGAGTCATTCAGTGCTTAAAGCACCGCCTCTGGCGGTCAGAAGGGATGAAATAGAACAGCTGTTCACCGCAACACGCACACAGGCACAAACAGACCACAAAGCCCATGGATGTTTACCACAATTTACAAGCACGTTTCACAAAGCCCATGGATGTTTACCACAATTTACAAGCACGTTTCCCAAAGACGTTTCAAGTTTTTACGAGTTTATGTTTTATTCAGTTGGGCATATTTGGTGAAAAAAAAAAACTCGGAAAAAATAGGTGAGTCAAGGTAGAGAACAATATACTTTCGGGACAGCAAATATTCTGAATCAGAGGGCTATTGTTTTTGGCTAATCTGAATAACCTGAATGAAATCATTAAAGGCACACGCTTTTGAATCCGTCCAACAGTAAGGATAACTTAGATTATTTCGCCTTGTTATGTATTTTCAACCACGCTCTCGTCAGGGGGGCATACTACGGCAGGGGTGCATTCTACGGCACAACACTGGCGTAGATAAGTCCTGCTTCTCGCAGCTTTGCAATGCTACCACTGGCTCTCCAAGTACTCCAAGTACTCCAAGTACACGTGAAGAGTGTGTGCCTGATTGGAATAATGGAACGTAGTTTGGCTTATGATTGGTTCTCGTCAGCGAAGCAGCCAGGAGGATTTGCTGACCGTCCAAGTGTCATTTAAAGGGCCGATTTCTGAAGTGCTCAGTTTACGTATTAATCAATCACATGATAATTAAAAATAAAAAAAATAAATCTCCCGACCCCGACCCCCCCCCCCCCCCCCCCCCAAAAAAAAAAAAAAAGATTTCTCCTCAGATTTAAACGATTCATGTAGGTCACCCTATTTGACTTCAAAACGGCAAATTTTGCTGAAAGGTGAGAGATTTTCATGCCTGCTGCTAACAAAGTAGCACACTAGCTACTTTGTTAGCAGGCCTGTTTAAACACAAAGCTAGCACGCTTATTTTAGCCACAACGGCAGTTTTGTTAGCATGCATGTTTAAGCAGAAGTTTTCACTCAACAACAGCAACAAACCACAAATAAGCGTAAAAACACATGACTCACCGTACTAAAGCTTTAGGAGAGGAGAAGAGCAGCCGCTCCGTGAATTGGTGTAGCAAAATAAAGTGAAACTCAGCCGAGTTTTGACCGTGAAAATGTGTGTTAAATCTGTGAAATTGTGGTGCAAGATGTGTGTTGTGTAAATCTGTATCAGTAAAGTGTCTAATAAATCCTCAAAAGCAAAATTGGTCGTGAAAATCGCTCTCTCGCAAAGGTAGTCTGTTGTCCTCAAGAGTTCAATCAGACTGAATGAGTAACGAAAATTGTCGGAAATAAACAGGAGCTCGACCAATCAGAGAGCTGGATTTGATGAAGTAAGGATGAGGTTACAGTCAAAGCCGTGAAAGAATTTATAACCGTGTAAGAGCCAAACATAGAAATACACAAAAAACAGAATTCAACCTGTCAGATGCTGTTGTAGGGGCATTTCGTGATGAAGCTAATTTATATATATTTAAATATACATATATATATATAAATATATATATATGTGTGTGTGTGTGTGTGTGTGTGTGTGTGTGTGTGTGTGTGTGTGTGTGTGTGTATATATATATATATATGTATATATATATGTGTGTGTGTGTTTTGGTGCTGGGGGAGTGTGTGGCATTGTCACGTGTTCATCAGCACAATGTGTGATTGGCTGAGGTGCATGGTCAAGAGTTCAGTGTCTTTAAAAGACAATCTGGGAAACTGCGTGAGTACAGAGAGTTGTAGCCTCAAACAGCGTATCCCCCCCGGGAGAGCTACGCAATCCCTGAATGCCCATAGGCTGTACCAGGTGTCAATCTTAGAAATCATGAACCCCCTAATAACTTTTAAAAACGGAGCTGTACAGAAAAAAAAGGACTTGGGCACAAACCAGTCTTACAATAACTACATGTCAACATCACAACCAGGGGGGAGAAAAATTTATGTTCTGTGTAATAAATTTCTAAAGTTTGTCCACAGTCACATAAGCTCTGCTGGCGGAGGCGGGATTTATGACCTGTACTGCAGCCTACCATCAGAGGGTGCTGTTCTCGGAGTGGCTTCACCCAGCGAGGAGGCAGTCTCTGTCCATCTTATATACTGTCTATGGTAAATGCAGAGCGCAAGCTATTTATGTGGTTTGTACTTTAAAGTTAGACAAGTTGGATTTAAATTGTTTGGATTGGATTGTGGTTGATGGGGTTCTTATGCAAACTTTGTGTTTGGCAATGAAGAGGGTAATTATGGTTTTGTCTTAAGTAGTGTATTAGGTGTGCGTTATGTATTTACATGGGCGAAAGTGTTTTTTTTTGTAAAAAGTGTTTGTGTGTGTGTGTGTGTGTGTGTGTGTGTGTGTGTGTGTGGTTGTAGTTTGGTCTGATCATTGGTGTCATGTTTTTTGTTCAGCGCTTGAGTTTGAACAGGTTTTGCAGTTGGCTGTACGGGATCTGATGTGACGGCTATCACGTGTTGTGGTGTATATGTACTGGCATTGAGATTGTTTTATAGGGAGGAGATTTTTGTATATGTAATAGTGGTAGATACTGTGTTGTTAAGGACATGGTACAGAAGAATGTTTTTGTGTTAACAGAGTACAGCAAAATGTCTGTTGTTATTAAGTAGGTAGCAGCTGCATTTGTCACATGTAGACATGTATGTGTACTGTAGAGCACACACTGTAGATGGAGGAGTGAAATTACATGAATTGCATGTTAATTGTGTGTGTGTTGTTGTTCTTATTAAAGTGAGGTAAAGATTAGTGGTAAAATGTGTGTGTTGTTATGGAGAATCTTGACGACTTAAAAATAGGCAACTGGCCTGTGTAGAGTTGAGAAGTGGACAAAGGGGACAGACAATGACAGGGAGGGGTTGGGTTGTACAAAACCATCTCCGGGTGTGTCCCCTCCTAAGTCGTTAACCTGAAAGGGTTAACGACTTAGGGGGTGCCCCTGTGATGTGACCACACCTGGGTCAAATGGTCCCAGGTGTGAGTGTGAATATTGATGTCCAAAAGTGGGTTTTAGGTTGAAATGAGCATAATTTATGTTTTTAATGATGTTTTTGTGTTTAATTATTCCTGTCCTTTTTATGTTTCAGTATGCGATAAAGGACCAAACCCTGGACAAGGGGGCCCTCTTTAATGAGAGCATGGCGTGCCATACCTTTGTGATAAATACCACAACAAGGATGGCACGCTGCATGAAGGCAGCAGAGGAACGCTCTGCATGTTTGGAGAGAGTGCAAAAGACTCGTAATGAAGATATTGCAAGGTTAAAGCAGGCCAACCTCACTCTAACAAAACAGTTAGAGGTGGCCCAAGTGAGTCTTGAGAGCTTGTGTAAGTATTGTATGGGTCATGTGGGTGTTTGTATTGGTGAAAATTATAATGTGTTATTCAACAAGTTGAATTAATGTAATATGTAGTTCTCTATCGCATGAGAATATCTCTCCACTACATATAGAATATATGTTATGGGATTTACTGACATTTTAGCAGCTGACGTGAATACCTCTTTAAGACACACAAGTTTCTATGATGATGCAGTGTCCAGCCATCAACACATTTGTGAAGGAATTTTTTCTCCCCAAAAGGGCACCATGAAGCGTGATGAAGGTTGAGACCCCACTATGTCATCATCAAATCAAGACGGGCCGAGCCCTTGCATAGGCAGCATCTCCACCCCCAGTGCAGCTGCTGCCCTACTAATAAGGCCTCGCAGGAGGGGAGACCGTCTCCCGTCCAGCTCCCCCTCCTCTTGCTGGTCTGCAGCGACCACATCCTCCTCCTCAGAAGGAAAAAGGGCTCCTCCACATCTAAGAGAGGGGATGCGGGGCGGTCCTCATATGAGGGACCTGGAGGAGAATGCACCACCTCGGCTGGGCCAGACCTGGACACAGACCGCAAAAAGAGGATAGAAGTTGGTAATGTGAAGCCAACAATAAGGTTATGTTTTTGTGTTCATCTTCTCGTGGGAATATTCCATGTCCCGTTTTTATGTAGACTGAAAGTAATATTGTAAAACATTATTAACATTGATTTGAATCATGTGTAGGTGTACCACCAGTAAAGGCAGCTGACAAGCCTACCACATCAGCTGGGGAAGTAGTGGCTGGTGTCCTCGAAGGCATAGAGGAGGGGGGGACTTTACACAATGCCTCTAACTCAGAAGGAGTTGTGGAAATGTCTGTGTCTTGAGAAGCGTTGTAGTTGGATGTATATTTATGTGTGCTTTAATGTTTGTTGTGTGTGGTTGTTGTTTTGTATTATAGTTGGTAAATTTATTAGAAGTGCAGTTTTTGTGTTTGTGGCTGTTGCCTCCTGTTTTTTACAGTATTATTATTTATGTAAATAAAGGCTTGTAATGAAAACTAAATGAATGTTTACTTAAATGTGTTTTATGCGCACACTGGTGCCACATTGTGTGGTCAAGCGAGAGCATTTGTGATGGAGCAGTTATGTGTCACACATCTGTGTTGCTAAACAAGTTTCCACGTAAATTGTTAGCATAACAACAAAGTGATTATCACATCCACATCCAACCATTAACTATGGTGTTGATCGTTGAAGGTAAGCCTCATGTATTTGCGTTTGAAAGAAGGCTTACATCCTGAGTCAAGTGTTGGGCCTTCAGCAATAACAGTCTTCTGCACTGATGATGTCTACAATGAGATGTACTATATACACTGTGTGCAGAATTATTAGGCAAGTTGTATTTTTGAGGATAAACTTTATTTTTGAACAACTGCAGTGCTCTTGGTCAATCCAAAATGTTAATAAACCTCAAACCTGAATATTTAAGGGAGTAAAAGTGAGGTTTTGGCTTCTTAAGGAGAATGCCTATGTGTGCACAATTATAGAGGGCAGCTATCTCCCTCACGCTCCGGTCCACTCTGACGAGATGAAATCCATCCAAAGTTACAAGTGGGTCTGGAGTGATTTTGCTCAGCCATGACTCCGTGAACATCATGATGCTGCATTCCCGGTTCTCCCACTGCAGCCTAGTCAGCGCTGTGAGCTCCTCCATCTTGTTGGGGAGAGACCTCACGTTTCCCATGATGACGGACGGGACAGTTGGTTTATAACGTCTCCGCTTTGCCCGATGCTGAACTCCAGCTCTGCATCCCCTTCTTCTCCTGCGGAGCTTGGCGGGGATGTTGGGTTTCTCCCACGAAGGTGGCCGGGCTTGGCGCAGCGCCAACAGCTGTTCACGGCTGTAAACAATAGAGCTGATGAACGGGTCCCCAGATGCGGACTTAAAAACTCCAAAAAGTAAAAGAAAACAAAGTGCTAGAGTCATGAAATGCACATCCATGGTTGGAATATGCAAAACACAACACTGCTAAATAAAAAGAAAGACAAATGAAGTGCAAAAAATAACAATAAAAAGGCAAAAACGTAAACTCTGTGAGGAGCTGCTGTGACTTGCTGCCACTCTCAGGGCGCTTAGTCACAAGAGGCCATTAGGGCCAGATCTACAACAGACCAGTCTACTCTTTGGTTAAATCTCTGGATGAACATGGCAGCCTTGGCAGAAAACGATGACGTCCGTATAAATGCTAAAAGCCACTGTGAATTCTGCTAGAGTCAAAAAACAAGTACAAACTGTACAAAAAAAAGTCATAAGTAGACTTTATTAATTTTATTAAACACTATTTATTGGCAGGGATTAAAGGGAAAGGAAGAAAAACTAACCCACGTTTTTCGATGGTTGCACACACATTTTTGATGGGGTGTTTTTAAATAAACAATCCAGGTGCAAAATGAGGATAAATTGAAATAACTGTTTTAAACTTTGTCTTATACCAGTCAATCTCATCATGTTTTATCAAAGTTATATCCATAAGGGAATAGTGGATTAAGCAGTCTTTTTGTTCATTCATTCTCAGTTTTATTATGTAGACCTGATAGTGAGTAAGGGGAAAAATGCAGAGGATGGCATAATATAACAAAAATACAAGAGCTCTATTGTAATTTTCCCTTTAGGAATAAATAAATAAATAAATAAATAAAGTATTTTTGCTACATTATGCCATCGTTCTTAAAGATGTAAATGACATCAAATTAATTTTAGATGAAAATAAAATGACAGTACTTGTTCTTTTGGACCATAGCTCTGCGTTTGACACTGTCAGTCACAACATTTTAATCAACAGACTCACAAAGTGCAGGCCTCTGGTAGTGTTTTACCCTGCTTCAGTTCATATTTTTTTAACAGACCATTTTTTTTATCAGCCTCTGTGCCCATGTGTCAGACACATTAAATATGGTGCCGCTCAGGAATGCATTCCTGGATCTATTTAATTTTCACATGCTTCCACACGGAAATATTATTGCACATCAGCTATCATTTTTGTGCTGATGACAGTCAACTTTACATATCTGTTTCAGTGCCCTTCAGTCTCTTTTGTCCTTAGTGAGTACAGTGAAAAATGCAGAGGATGGCATAATATGACAAAAATACAAGCGCTTTATTGATTCCCAACAGGAAATTCATAACAGATGACTTAAGAAGAAAAGGATGGCTTGTGTTTTATTGTTTGCATTTTGCTTTGATTGTAACACTGATTGTGAACAACCTAAGTTTTTATTGTAAAATAAAGAGTGAAAACTGATGTTGAACCATTACTATAGGAACTGTAAAACTTTCCCTTTGAGAATAAATAAATAAATAAATCAATTAAGTATTTTTGCTACATTACACCATCCTCTCCATTTGTCCCTGTACTTAATATCAGGTCTACATCCTTTCCTTTCTCTCACAAAGTCTTCTGCTCCAGGGCTTGTAAACGTGATGCCAGTGCTGACAGTATCTTGCGCAGCTTCTCCTGGTGCTGGGGGAACTCCTGACACACACGATGCAAGATGGCATTGGTCGTGTGCAGACGCTCCATCTGTTTCTGCAGGCAGGATTCAACGGATTCAGGGGTGGACATGGCTCGGTAGCTGCCCTTACTCACCTCCTGCAGCCTCTTGCTCCTACTCTGCAGAGTCACCAAGTGGGACAGGTTCTATAGGTAAAGAAAAGGTAGATAATGAGTGTTGATGTGTTGTCACTTTTCTGAAAATTTCCAACAGTGCCCCAGAGGGTGAACAAACGACAGGCAGCTATTCCTGCCATTCGAGGTGTGTGGTTGTGGCTGTCATGGGTGGAAACAGTGATGCACACATCAATAAATCAACAACATGATGTACGTTATAAAATAAACATTCTCAGCACACCTTTGTTAGCGCTTTATCATGTCTACAGACAGAGGCCGGGTTGACAGTGTTTATGTCTTAGACTGGCTGACTCGTTACTAGCAAACAGCTATGTTGACAGTGTTAAGAAGAATTGCTGTGGAAATGGTCAAAACATGTAATTAATTCATATACTTGACAAAATGAATATCATTTCTAATCCATCTGTGTAACTGACAGTGCAAATATAATACTATTCGTAATCCAGTGGTACAAACCAACCAAGTGATTTAATTTTGATTGAGACATTTCTGCGACAGAATATTTTTAGGCTGTTAGTCCTATCTGACTTTTTATTTCTACTTTTCTACATAAATACTGGTCTCTTTACTGGTCATCTTTGCACTCAATAACCAAAAAAGGACCATGTTGGATTTAAGTATTACAAAACCTTTCCAAAAACCTTTCCTCCTTCATTTACAGGAGAAATTATGAAAAATATCAAATAATGACCACAAATTTCAATGCAGTTTCTGTGGAAATAACAGGTATGACTGCACATGTGTAGAAAAAAGGAAACTGCATGACTATTAGATAAGTGAATTTCCTCTCAGGGATAAATAAATTCTTCCTATCATAACTTACCTTATCATATTTTATCTTATCTAATCTAATGAGTTTGTTGGTATGATTGTTTTGTGGTTAATTTAAAGATGCAGATGCAGATATATTTCTCTGAAATGACACATGTGATTTATTCCACAACTGTTCTCTTTTGGTTGCTCAATTTGGACCCTTTGTTTTGTTTTTTAAGCAATAAGGCTGATTTACACAAAGAGAGATGTGATTTGATCTGGTTGAGAAATAAGTAACTAAATTGACGCTAACATCATCGGCAAACTCTTTGTGTTTTCTGAATAATGCAATGTCTTTTTAGCTGGAGTTTGACAATAACTTTGTGTAAAATATGAACAGTTATTATTCTGAATCTGGCAGAATTTGATTTAGGAGCCTGCTTCTAATCAAAGCTTGTTTCATATAAAGGCCTGGTACCTGAGGCAGTAAAAACGAATAAAAGACCTATATTAAAAGACCTATAGGCCTAAGAGGCCTGTATTTGAGAATTTACGGTGGACTAAGGCTATGCCAAAGCCTAAAAAAAATACACACAGTCACTAAGAGCATTTAAGACGACTGATATAGACATCTACGTGGCAGTAAAAATGTTTGTGTTGTAATGCAGTGCACAATACTGGAAGTGCTTCTTACGCTGTCTTTGGTGTCCCGGAGATTTACAATTTCATGGTCCAGCATGGAGTTGGTGCTGCGGAGATCTATCAGTCGTTGCTCTTGCTGCAGAAGCCTGTCCTTGAGACTGACCTGGCTCTCCTGTAGGTCCCTGATCATTTCCTCACACTTGGCTTCACGCTGCAATTATACAAACTGCTAATCAGATAATTTTGCCATAATTTTGCCCCATCTATGAAAGCAGAAACAGAATTCCAGTGTCATACTTTGTGTGCGTCCTTGATTTTGCGCTGCAGGCGCTGATTGACAAGGGGGTTGCTGTTTCTGGTCGTTTTTTTGGGACTGTTGGACATGGCCTTACAGCGCTCCATCAGGGCTGCCCTCCTTTCTACCAGTGCTTCACTCTCTCTGACAAGCTGCCCCTGCCGCTTTGTCAGCTGGTTGATTCGCAGCTGCACAAAAACACACACTCTAAATAAAGTCAATGTATTTTTAAAAAAGCTCCGAAACAAAAAGAAAAGCACAAAGACCAGACTTTAATGTCTAACGAATAAAACTTTCAACAGAAAATTTTTCAACAGAGGTTAAACCATTCGGTTTGGTCACACTATGCCACTGAGTAGGTTATCAAGAGACTCTAAGACTGCCAATGAGTAAATTTTTTTTACTGTGTAATTTGTTACTGTGGCTTTCAAAAAAGTGTTATGTCTACATTTAAGACGTCAAGAAATTCTAACCAGTGTCTTGATTTGAGAATCCAATCAATAATCCAATATTGTCTGAATCCTCCTTTGGCCACGGCTGCCAACACAAACAAGAAAACCAAGTGGGTGATAACTGGCACTTAAAATGGAGGTAGACCGGACAAGTGCAAAAAAGCCAGGTCAACATCAATGAAGCATCAACGATGGGGGAAGCTGCAGGATCTTACGGACTCTGTAACCTTTCTGCTGAACAGGTAAACCACAAACACTGTGTTTGACTGGGCCCCATTTGTAATTATCTGAAGTATTTATCTGCATTATATCTGAATTTAATTGGAAAGATACGAGCGAACAGGAGCATCTGTTTGTGGGCAGGGCTTGCTGGAGCAGAGAGGGAGGGGAGAGGAGGAGCTGAAGGGAAAACTGGTTGGAAGGGGTAGTGTTTACATTCAAGATTTCCTCCAAAAACTGGCACTTCCTCAGATCCTGCCTAACCCACCTTTAAAAGATCCTGGGCAAAAGGATAAATAAAGTTGTATCTAATCTCATCTCCATCTAATCTTTAAGTTTCATTACTTAAAGACATGCTGCACTCCTACTCTACTGTGGTCTTGAACATGACAGCCCCAAAGTGTTTGACCCACAGCACAAAAAAGTGCTTTGCTGGCTTTTGTTGATGCAGTTGCTAACAGACATTTGACTGAAAAGCTGCATATATATTCTTAACTCCTTGATGGTAAGTTTTCCAGTGATATATTAATACGATTTGACATAATGTGTAAATGACATTTGACGTGTCATCAGACCAGTTTGGGACTTTTTTGAAGTGAGATATTCAAAAATGCAGTGGGGTAAGAAGATGCTACAGCGGCTGAACTATGGTGTGTGGAAAGGGGCAAAATAGTACTAAATAATAACAATATTGTGTTAATATTTTCCCGAAGTCCCAGTGTGATTACACTGACATCACGTATATCAGAAAATTTGGTCTAAAATGCAAAAAGAATTTTTTTTTGAACTTTTCTTTTTATTGTGATGTTAATGCAATCTGTCAATACTCTAATTTAAAAAAAAAAAAAACTTTTGATGTAGTATCCTTCTGAGAGTATGTCTACGGTACAAAACCTTTCCTCCATGTAAAAAAGTCGTAAATATGTCATATAAGTTTATGCAAAGTGGAGAGGTTTGGGCATTTGTACTGAAATAAAACTGGTTTTGTTTTCACAACAGCATAAATACAGAGAAGAACAATGTGCTTCTATTTACAATGCACAAATAATTTCTAGTTTTTTTAAGCTTTAGGGTTTTTATTTACGTACATGGCTTCTTAAAATTTGACTTCCGCTCTAAAATTATTTGGCACATTTAAAAGGAAATATTGTTAATAAAACAACGAAATATAACAGTTTACTGGCATCATTTGAAGCATTATGTGTTAAAGGTTTTACCTTCTTTTGGCGTATCTCAGCCTTCATCGTACGGATGTCTCCGTGGTACATCTCTGAGTCCACAACAGAACGAGTCTCTTTAAGAAGCTGGATCTTCCTCTCCCACAGCATGATCTGCTGACTGTCAACCACACACACAGAACAAAGAGTGCTAGTAAAAATCAGAACCAAAGTATTAGCCAATCCTAACTTTACAAATTCACTATTTATCTGTCTACATTTGAAGTATTGTGGTGTAGCTGCTTTCGAGTCAGTTACCTAAAAATAACCACAAGCCTTAATATGACAAAAATCTGTGAACAATTGATTGCCATACAACATAAAATGAGGATAAAATAAAAAACAAAAATATAAATGTGACCTACTCAGCCTCAAGCAGACAGCTGAGGAGTCTCTCCTTTTCCTTCAGGATCCTCTCGTGTTTCATCTGCATCTCTGCGGACTCCTGCTCAGCCTCCTGAAGGCATTTTTACCACATTTAAAATGACTTTCAAAAGCATTGTGCAAAAAAAAGAGAGAAAAACGAAGATCATTGGGCTACGACATGCCTTGAGTCTTCTCATGAAGTCTTTCTCTGTTAGTGCATTCTCCTGCTTCAGTGCCTTGCTGAGTCGTTCATTCTCGAACAGCTGTGTGTCAAGCTTCAGCAGGTCTCTTCTCAGCAGCTCTGTATTTTTCTCCAGTTCAGTCTCATCGTGCCGCTCTGCTTCTGTCTGACCTGGAGGGATTTGAGATGGTTCAACATCAACCTCACAGAATTTGGACATGCTTGCCTTTTGAAAAATGTCCTCGTTTTGAAAATTCAAATTTCAGACTTCTCTTAATATTATTTGTACACACCAAAGGGAAATCAGCAACATTTATTTTTGGGGAAAAAAAGATGTTAAAATCCAGAAGAAACAGGAGGTAATCTGGCTGAAGTGCGTGTTTAGATATTTACATTCAACTGCCAATCTTAACTTCCAGCCTTGCTCACTCAACCACATAATTTGCACTGCTAATACAATCTTTTAATCTCTGCAGAAATGATAAAGAGAAAAGAGAGCAGGTGGAGTAGCCCAGAAACATTTCATATCTGCAATAATCCCATGCCTGGGAGTTAGCCTACTAGAATCAATGTCATGTTTGCCTGTACCACGTAGAAACCCAGGGTTGGTGTAGGATGAAGAAGGCAAAGTGACAGCACATCTTTATGGTATAACTCTGAATGTCATTTGGATGTCAGGCTAAAATGATTGAATATCAAGAACATGCTTTTAACATGTGTACCTTTCAGTGCATTTGTTTGTTTCTTTGTAAATAGTGGTGTATCACTCACTCTCAAGGTAAATTGTCTTCTGCTGAATGTCTATGAACTCTATCTGCAGTTTGGCTATATCTCTGCTGTTTGCTTCTTTTTCCTTGTTCAGTATTACTACTGTCCCCATCCGTGTCAAAAGGAGCTGCTGGACACTCTGGATTTTTGCTGCCACCTCCTCAGTCTCAGCCATTAGTGCCCTTATCTTGATCTCCATGGGACTGAGGTCTCCATGCTGTGAATGAATACAAACAAATCAAACAGAGAGCATGTGATGTGTAATCAAATGCAAATAAATCCATATTTCACACTAACAACTGCAAACAGGGAATGCTTCTTCTTGAGATTCACTCACCCCAGTCCTGGCTGTGATTTGATGGATCTGTTTATAATAGTTAGCTTTGATAGTGCCCTGTCGCTCAATGAGTGTGAAAAAAGAAGAACGCTTTCTTTCATTGGCTGCCAGTAACTTGGTCTTCTCGGAGATCTGGTCATCAAAGTCCTTCTGGATGACGGCCAAGCTGCCCAGATGTTGGCTGACCTTGTTGTTCTCCAGTTCCACTGCCCCTATGTTCCTCTCCAGCTGCCACAACTGAGAGATCTGAGGAAAAAATGCAACTGTCTTCTTTATCCTTATCATACAGTACATATGTATTTTGTGCCGCTGAGCATGCTCCTCCTCACTCATTCAGGCGTCATGAGGTCTCTCAACATAAATGACAGGAAAAAATACCCTCAAACAGTTCATGAGAAATGACTCTGAATCAGACTGATATGTGTCTATAGTTCCTGTCTCCTCTTGGCTGTATCAATAGCAACATTGACGACACTGAGAACCTGGATTTGCTCTTTCTTTTCAAGGGCATTATATTAAGACAGAGTCACAGTCACTAATACTATTCTCAGCCTAAGTCAATCCTTAAGTGTGTGTACTAAATGAACTTCTTTGAATGTTCTTTTCCCAGTATTTAGCATGTTAGGGCAGAAGCACCCCAAATGACATATTCATGAAAGCAAAGGCTATTGTAGTGTTATTTTGCACATTTGAAATACACAACCCTCACTGCCCGCTCTCCATAGATCAGCTTGTGTGTTTGTGTGTGGATGCTTTGAAGTTAATTCTACAGGTCATTTAGATCTGGAATTCTTGTCAAGTTCACTGTGAATTTTTATGAAGACATTCCCGTTGAATATTGCTGCACAGTTACCACCAATTTGCATTAGACAGTTAAAATTTTACTCTCACTGCATGCTGCAATGAGGACCTAGAGCCTGTGAGTTAGATTTTTTTTTTTAAATGAAGCTTATTTCCATAAAAAGGAGACAATAACAACTCTTTGGGTGTTCATACTCTGAGTGTTTTTTAAGTACCTTTTCCTTCTTTAGTGCAGTCATCTTGATGGTGAGTCTTTGGGATTCTTTTGCAGCTTTGTTATGGGTAAGCTCCTGCATCATATACTTCTTTATCTTGTCCTCTAACTCCAGACGCACAGCTCTCTCTTTCTCTAACTGCTTCCTCTGATCATCCACCTGAGCCTGATAAGTGCTGCTTTCCTAAAACGAAGAAGAAGGAAAAAAAAAAAACAGTGTGTAATAGTTGCAGAGGACACCCCTCTGGGAAATTTTGTTGCAGAGCTGTTGAAACAAAAAGCCAGTGTCCTATGGCTACCTCAGACAGCACAGCAAGAGTGTGTTCAGTATCCCCCAGGCTGCGACTGCAGGTAGTGTAGTGTTGATGTAGGGCCTCTTGCTGGGCCTGCCTCTGACTGATCTGCTTTTCAGAGGTGGTAACTTTCGTCTGAGTCCAGTTAAGCTGCGTGATGAGTGTCTCGTTTCGCTCACGTTCTTTAGAGATAGATTTCTTGTACCCTTCAATCTCTCTGTCCAGCAAGACCTCCTGGGCTGTGACAGTCCTGTGAAAACAAAAAAAGACTGAGCCAACATTCATTGTTTTTGATATGCTTATCTACCTCTCTATAAAAAGTGCTCTATACCCATCACTACGTCAATGTTGCCTTAATATGGAGGCCTGAGCCGCATTAACTAAATATTATCTCCATTTTTTGCTTTGTTCTCAATTCGACAAACCAAGACTCTCTCATTCAGAAAGCCATCATAGTTATGATGATGATGTTCATCAAGGATTTCTTTAGCAGTATCAGTTACATTTATTCAAGGGGAAACGCTTTGACCAAAATGATGGAAATCAAATGGAGGTATAGTCAGCCTTTCTTTGGAACATTCTTACCCCATGGCCCCTTGCATTGCAGAGTAGGCTTCCTCTCGTTTTCTCAGGCCTGTCAGACTGCTGTTACACTGCTGCAGCAGCTCCTTACGAGTCATCGCCAGAGACTCAATTTGCATCTCAGCCTGCACACAGACAGAAACTCCAGATCATATATTTTGAGACTGATGTGTAGCTACTTCTTCAACAAGTATATGTACAACCCCAATTCCAAATATGTACAGATTTGATGGTTCGCCAATCATCACAATAAATAACGGAAAATAGTGCAATGAAAACGTATTAAATGTTCAAACTGTCATTTTTTTGTTTGTTTGTTTTCTGAAAAATATATGCTTATTTATGTAGTTGTAGTAGTAGCAGTAAAGAAGACCACTCTATGAGAGACTGGATGAACAAATTGTTTAACAATTTCAGAGTAATCCCACTTCAGTATGAAACTGCAAAGAATTTAGGGACACTATCATCTCAAGTGCATAAAATCATTTGAAAAAACAGAGATTTTTTTTTTAATTCTGTCTGCATGAGCCCATGCAAACATATTCCAAAACCAGGGGTGACTTCTGTGGGCTCAAACCCTTTTAAGATGGACTGAGACAATGGAGTAAAGTAGGAAAATTGTCTTGTGGCCTAATGAATCAAAATCAGACATTCCTTTCAGAAATCATGGACTTTTAGCCCTCCGCTATTCATGTTAGAGCAACCACTTCACTTGTTTTCATTTCCAAAAGCATAATCTGTGATGGTACAAGGTGTGAACAAGGTTACACATCTGTGAAAGCCCCATTCTTACTGAATAACAGGCAGGTTTCTGCCATCCAGACAGTGTCTCTTTAGGGTTAGACTCTGCATATTTTAGTCAGATAATGCCAGTCCACGTCAGCATGGCTCCACAGTCAATAAAGCTAGGTGTTTAAGTGGTCTTTATGCAGCCACGATTTCTCACCCATTGAAAACATATGGGGCATCGTAAATTGAAAAATACATCAAAGGCGACAAATCCTGTATCAGATAACATTGTTACATTCATTTTCAAAACTCTGGAAAGGAGTCTTCTCATTCCCCAAATATATAAATAGCGTTGTTCAAAGAAGAGGTGATGCAGAACAATGGAAAACATACCCCAGTCTGAATTCCTCTGGAACTTGTTGCTGGCATTAGTTGTAACAAGCATATATTCTTCATAACATACCACATTTCTCAGTTCCAATGATTGGTGTGCTTTCTTTGAACAATTTTCCATCACATATTAAGTGGTGTTCAAACATTTTTCAAAGAAGTGGTGCAGCGTCCCAACTCTTCTGGAATTGGTTTTGTATTTGTAGTTCCTGCTTGGTAATGACAGTACTTGCAGGCTTGCAGGTCTTCTGGGCAACTCTAAAATTACCTCAGAGAGTGCCTGTTTGATCGTCTCTTTCTTCTCCACTTGAGCAGTGGCCTGGGCCTCATACATGGCTGACTGCTGTTTCACCTTCTCCAGGTCCTTTGTCAGACGCTCCACATACATATCCTGATAAAGACAAACATGTTCAGCAGATAAAAGCTCGATAATCCATGATAATGCCTTATGGTTCAAAACAAGCTGTTTTGGATGTGAACTGTCTATCCACCTGCTGTAGTTTCTGCTCTTCAGCTTGGTTCTTCCTATGTCCCGCTTTTTTCCTGGCATTCTTCTTAACTTTCACATCACTGCGCAAATCCTTACTCACTCCTTTTATGAAGGTGACCTGTTTCATCAGTTTGTCCAACTCAGCCTCTAGCTGAGCCACTATGGAAATAAAAAACACTCATCAATTTTATCCTGGGCCTTTGCAGTCACTGTCTTGTTATTGCTGAAACATTGTTTTATAGTTATCAGGACTAAACCGACGGATATGTCCTTTAAGTCTCTTCAACTGAGTTTAACTGTTGGTTTTTCATAAAAAGCATAAAAATCTGAATCTTAAACCTAAATTGCAATTCAAACCAAATCCTTGGCAATAAAGTAACAATCCTGGTGCTGCAGTCCACACTGCCTCAAAAAGATACTTGCATTCTGAAATTCAGCGCAATTTCAGGGGTTGAACAGCCAACAAAAACAGATCAGACATAGTTCTCCATTAAATTACATGACATAAATAGAGTTGCTCTGACTTCCTAAAAGCCCTTTTGTGTTAGGCTTGTTTGTCTATATTTTCTCTCCTGGGTGGATGTGGATAACAGATGTAACTGTGTGAGAGGCACAGGATTATAGTTTCTGAATATGACCAAAAAAAAAAAAAACATTATAATGAACTGTTTTAAAAAAAAATACAACTCCAGCCTATCCTCTAAAACTTGCTGCTGTACTTTCTGATATGCTGTCAATCATGAGAATTGTTACAAATTATTTCTATAACGTTAAATTCCTAAATAAAGATAAAGACAGATGGATCAAAAATCCTGGGGGAAAGAGGATACAGTTAGCCTCACCTTTGGCTTTCTTTTCGTCGTGTCTCCTTTTAGTTCTGGTAAACTCTCTCCTCGCATCCTCCAGTTTTGCCTGTGACTGCCGGCGTTTGGCTTCTGATTCTGACTTGGCTTTACAATCCTCCTCCAGCCCAGCCTTAGATATAGCAAGCTGCTTCTTGAGCATGTCTAGCTCAACACTCTGTTCCTGGAGTTTTTTGTCCCTTGCTTTCGAATATGCACACTGGGAAAATAGCAGAGAGATAAAGAGATCATCAAACTACTCTACTGGCTATTCAGATAATCCTTCTATACTTTCTTCTGTTTGAAACTTGAGTTTTCCTTTGGGGATCAATCAAGTTCTTCTTATCTTTTCTTTCATACTTAAATGTTTCTCCTTTTTTTCATGATTTTTTTATTGTTGAAGACATGATTTATCTGTAGGACAGCAACTCAAAATAAACAAAAAAGGTTCGCTTCAATTTCTCTACAGGTCAACAGCACCATCTTCTGGACATACAGGGACCAAACACGTAAAATCAAGGGAGTGTTGTGTTTTTATTTTGGTCTATGTGTGTATGTAAGGGAGAGTTAACAAAATCAAAAAATAAGTTTTTGACGTTCAGTGACATTAGCCCACCTTTTCCTCCAGACTCTTGTTGACACTCTCCAGCTCCTTGAGCAGCTTTTCGCGAACAGCTGCTTGATACTGTATGACCAAGGGCTGCCGACAGATGAAACAAAACACAACAGTCATGAAAGAAGGCAACAGAAATATCAACCAACTAAATATGAAACAACTGCTTTTGGTGTAAATATAATTCTTAAAGCCCAAGCTAAGTCTTAAGGATCAATTGTGCACCTAACATACCAGGCAGAAAAACAGGCAAAAAGCCCCTTTCAAACAAAAACTCCAGGCATTTTCTAGACCCTAAATGACCCTGGGCATTTGAAGTTACACGTGATCTTTAAAACACAAGTTTTTTTCCTATCAGACACACTCTCATAATTCAGTATATTCCTTTGTTTTTGGTGAACGGAGAAGGCAGGTGGAACATTTTTACAAAGGTAGCTGTTTCTGTGGTTATAATATTACATTGTGTATAAGCACAGGAAACAACATTAGAAAACATTATAGTGACCACTGAGGAAAGCAGCGCTGAGTGCAAATAAGAGAGACTCCGCTCAACCTGATTGTCATCACTCTGCCCACTCGCTCATAGTGAATTCTTGTGCCTTTTCCAACAGCATTCACACATTGGTTTACATAAATCTCTTGTGTACATTTTAAAGAAGGACTGGCAGGAAGAAATGTGGATTGCAGTGGGTGAAAATTCTGCCAATTGCATTCACAAACAACCAATAAAGTCAGGAAATACCCTGGAGTCTTGTGCATGCGTGAAAAGGGCCATTGATGGCATTATTAGAATTTAGGAGCATTAACATTCAATCGATAAAAAGATACAGACATGCTCAGGGTCAAGAGTAGGTAAGTTTCCCCCCTCCTCCTCCTCTGGCAGTGGATTATGATCCTCCATGTCTTCAGATCGCTGAAGGTCTGAGGTACAAGGTATGTAAGGCGACGCCTGAAAAACATCCTCCTGCACTGAAATGCAAAAGTAGATAGCATGTAAGGTATGTAAGGCAGCGCCTTGATGCAGACAAAAAGGGGGGAAAAAAGAAAACCAATGCAGAGTTAAAAAGTACTTGTGGGTATTTAACTGAAAGTGCTTTAAGTATTTTATATTATTTTATTGTCTTTTTCTGACTATTTTCTGAAGTAATGGCTCTTAACCTTGGGGTCCCAACTCCTGTTGAGGTTTCAAAATATTTTGGTCATCATGTAAGAAAATGATTCCATTTACACAATGCTGATTAATGACTGCATTATCTTTTCATGGAGAGTTATCAAAGATGCCAGCAAGAGGTGGACAAGGGACTATATTCAGCCAAGAAGTGTCACAGACAAAGTAATGATATTGATGGAGTCATAACTCAAGAAGGTTGAGGACCACTGCTTTATAGTATTTGTTTTTTTTGTTCTTACCACTTTGATCAGAGCGAGGCTGGGCACTTGAGGCATCCAGCTCTGGTCCTGGCTGATCCTGAGAGGGCTGGAAGGACACAGACATGCAGCTTATACATAAGTTTGTGACACTTATACTGATCTGAATTTTTCCACTTAAATATATGTTGCAGGTCTGCATTTTAGACTTCATGGAATTAGTTAATTTCATTTTTAAAGGACAAACATATTATACAATACCACGCTTGGATATCCTGTATATTTGTACTTTACAAACTTTGTAGTTAAGACCAACAATGCAACATCACAGTATCCCAACAAATCCTGGAACGATATCTAAATGTATTCATATGGCGTTATGAAAGGAATAATATCCCCTGGACAAAAATGATGGAATATTCTTCTGTGACAAAGCAGTTTACCTGAGGAGTGACTGTTGCTCCACTGTTCCCTGAGGCCTTATCACTTTCCATCCCGTCTGTCTCTCTGCCTGTGTCTGTGTTGTCTCTTTCTTTCTTTCTCTTTCTTTAGCCTTGATATATATGAGAGAGAGAGAGAGAGAGAGAGACTCTCTTGTCATGGTTTAACGGTGGTCAGGCGATAAGCTGTTTTTTCAATTGTGACTGGGAAACCAAATAACACTTATCTTGTTTATTTTTTCTGTTTGTTTGTTTTATTGTTTTCTCAACTCTCTTTTCTCTGTTTTGGCTGTTTCGAACAGAAAGTTTGAGCACTAAATGAAAACGCCATCCTAGCCGTTAACGTTAGTTTGCTTTCCCTTGTAAGCCCGACCTCAGCTCGAGTAAAAGCGAAAAGGTTCGGTTAAGCACAATAAACCTACAATGACGGTAGCGGACGGTAGTATAAGATTTAAGTAACTAACTTATGGAGCAACATCATACAAATACAACGTTTCTAGATGCATCAGTGCTAATGATTTAATCTAATTTTGATACTATGAACGCTTTAATTACTTACCGCTAACACACGAACAACTCCAACTGTTGCTAGGCAACCGCAAACTTCCGTTAGAAGGCGAGGCGCAGCAGGCCATCGACAGAGCAGAGGGCGTGGTTAACACTGGCAGGGGATTCAGAAAAAGAGACGTTGCTTCTCTTTCTTCAGAAAGAACAGGTTTACCTTTTTATAATAGTTTAGTTAAGACTTGACCCTTTCCTGTTAAATATACAGCGATCAGCCAGAACCCACACAGACGAAACCTTTAACAGAGGATTAAATAAACAGTTATCTCCTGACTGAGCATGTCCAAAAAAGCTAAAAATATAGAAATTGTAAAGTTAAAATTTAAGGTAGAGCTCCATGGGTGTCCATGAAATTGTTTTAATCGTATTCAACCTTTGACAGAGCATTTTAACATTCAGATAAGTCACTGTCAGGGTTATCAGTCATCAACATTGGCAGGTAACTACTTTTAGCTCACAACACTACATTGGTGCAGTTGTGACCATTATCTACAAATACACTGGGTTATTTATGTTATCAACCAAGCAAGTGTTTTAACCCTGAGAAAATGAACCGAAGCACATACCATGTTTCCAGCCTGCAAACAAAATGAAAGAAAAACAAAGACAAAAGCTTGCACTGACAGTTTTATTTTGCTCTATTAATAAGGCATGGGCACAGAATCACTGAATTTGGCCTTAAAATATGATAATCTTAAAAAGTCATTTATCTTTCACAAATACAAATCGTGGCATGTCTTCATATATCCTTGAAAATCTTATTTAACTGTTTATCCCAAAACAGTAGACAAAAATACTACCATTACCCATCTTGTGTACTCATTTATAAACAAAAGGCAACCAAGGTATAAAGAGAGAGACAATCATACAGAAACAGATCTACCTTGTGGTGTAATGCTTTAGTATCCTAACAGAGCAAAACTTAAATTCATGTAAGAATCCCTGTGAAAATTTTAATGCCGGTGTTAATGCTGGTACTGTGGCACATGTATTTATATTACCTTACAAGGTAATATCATTTCTGGGTGTGTACCTTTGAGCAGAGAGAGATCTGAACCTCAAGGCCAAATTAAAGACTTCAGTTCAGGTTAAAACATGACACAGTTTAAATGGTATCTCCAGAGAAAGGACCAATAGATACATTCTTGGCAAAGTGGCTCTTCTATACAGTTTGTACCTTAACCCCAGAGAATAGTTTGACAAACAGTATGGAGTCTATTTAAAGCACTGTCACATATTAAAGTTGGTCTTCTAACAATTACCCTTGTTGAAAATGTTAACACCATAAGGTACAATGACACACAGATAATTACATCGTCTGCTACTCCCAAAATATAACGATTGCATGACATTTCTGGATATAAAAGATATGTGAGATGAGATAGTGTTTATCATAAACAAAGTGTAAAACTTGTACTTGTGCAATATTTCGTATTACAGTCAAAATGTGACTGGGTGAAGACTGATGTTGTACAATAACAATAGGAACCAAAAACTTGTCAAATATACATTCAATAGATGTAATTCAGGCATCGTATTTCTCACCAGACAAACATTTTATATTACATCCATACAAGATCAGACTGAAGCCTCTGCAGCCTTAATACCATTGCACTTGTGTTTGTGTATTTGTCATTAGTATGGTATCATTACACTGAATGACTCATCTCTTAGATCTTTTGTGTTAACGCTTAAGCAGTATTAAGCAGTATACTAGACATGGATAAGGGCATCACTGGTATAATAAAAAAGGGGTGTTGGAGAATGAAGGGAAGTGTTCAAGGTGTAGTAACAGCACCAATGAATACTGTTGACTGTTGACACCTGATCAAAAACCATTCATATAATGACACTTTCAGGATAAAGGTTTCTTATAGAAACTAAACCTCACATTAAGCATCAGAGTTTCATCCAATACAGTTTTTATAAAACCTGCTGACATTTGACACACTTTCTACAGTGGAGCGTCTCACCTTCAATCACAATTTAAATCCTTCACAATGAACCTTTCACTACACTTGCCGTTTTTCTCATACAGGGGCCACAGTGCTTTATTTCCCCCTCTAGCCTGACAAAAATTATAATCCACAGGCGTAAGGAATCTGGTGAATGCTAACACATTTACATGTTCATAAGACCTGATAAACTCAATATGCATTCCCCTTGTTAACTTCTGCAACCCAATTTGAGACACTAAACTCACTTCATATATCAGTCCCTATTTAATAGGTCCTTACTGTTACACAAATCCTTCACAGACAGAACACCTCATCTTCTGGCAAGATAAATACCATTAAACAGAGCAGCAGGCAACAGTTTGTCTTTAGTGTCTCCTTGGTCAGCTCGAACCTTGTCCTCTCTAACTCATCTGGTCTTTTCAATGTGGAAATATGTAGAAACCCGCTGACTAGAGGAATGTGTTTTTAAAGTAGCATCTGAGCCATCACCTTTGGCTTCAGTTCTCAGCTTTAGGAAATACTGTAAACAATCTTCATGTCTGGCTGGTGTTGTCCTTTTCTGGTTGGAAGGGCCCCAGGTCCACTGAGGGGCCAACCAAGGGTCCTCCGGCTGTGCGTGGATCCATGGCCGAATGCATGATAGTCAGCCACACATCATCCATGTTTGGCATGACAAATATTTTCTGATGAGAAAAGGAAAAAGGACGGACGATGAGTGGTGTGTTCAGTTTTAACTATTCTTGGCACGCTTTTGTCTCGAGTTTGAGCACATTCTGGGCCTGATTCACAGGACTGCATGGTTTCTGAGCCCACTACACCTGTGCAAATGAGCCAAAAAAGCCATCGTCAACTTTTACAGCTGGTGCAAAGGGTGAAATGCGCCTAAACAGCACTACGGAAATAGTGTCTGTGCGCCAGGGCTGTTTCCAGAAACTTAAAGAAGCCATCACACATGCATGTAGAGCAGAGCAGGTCCCTTTCTATGAAAATGAGTCTGAATGAATACAAAACTTGTTCCTTAACATCAGTGCATACAGCCATGGTAAAGTGACATTTTTCCTATTTACTGAAAGGAGATTGTAATTGTGCCCAAAATTAACCTCTGAATGAACTAGAAATTATATATTTGTGCGTTGAGTCTGTTAATATTACTTTGATGTAAGTAATCCTACAGTGGCTGCCTGTGGTGCAACTCTTGCACACAGGCTGTCATTATGCACAAAGTTATTTCTTTTTTCTTTTTTTTAATCTGAACTAGCTAAGTGTTGTTAAAATTCACCAGGATGACTCTGGATATAAACTAGGAAATTAGTATCACATCTGCCATGAACTGACAGTTTAATTAAGTGGTAAGGGAACGCTCGCTCTCTCAATTCATCATAGATGTGATGACCTGCTATCTGTTATCTTGAGACAGCAGATAGCGGGGGCAAATGATGTGAAACTCTTAGTGCTATTGATGGCAACAATTTATCGTCAGTGGTCCCCTCCCATTCATTTAATAAACAGAGACAAAACCAATATCTATTAGAGCTCACTGGGTCTGGATATTCAATAAAGTTAAATCATTTTATAATTTAATTCAATGACAATTTTGTCATAAAAAAATAGTACCAAACAATACCTGGAATTCCTGGTCCAGTTTTTTCTCTATCCAGTCCGTAACATGAGCCAGAGTGACTTCTCTTTCTCCCAGTTTAGGTCGGGCCTTCAGCTCCAGGTGAGGGGGTGTCCTGAAACCATACCTGCGAGAGAAGAATGCTAGGTGAAATGAAGTACTTATTCTCACTGTGAAATATTAAAAAATTAAGATCTGAAGTCAATATCATTAGCAATCAGCAGAGGGCAGTCATGCACTGCACACAGCCATACTTCAACTGTTTTTTTTAAATAAAACCTGCCATGACTGGATTGCAGCCGTTTTGCCGTTTTACATGCTTATAAATGTTCTTTGTCAGGTGTCCTCTATCAGTCTAACATACATTTCTTCAAGTATAGAATTTGTTGACTTGTAATTCTCAACTTAAGAGACAAGTGGCTGTGTAAGAGCAGTCTGGGAGCCACTGCTTTGAGCATAGTTGGGCTTTGTTTACAATCTGTGAGAAAGGGCTGACAGAGATGCCACTCTTTGTGGCTCTGAAAAACAGTGATGTCCACTCTACATTCCAAAGTGAAGGTAACAGAAAAACAAACCCTTCTCACGTACCATATCCTGTCAGTGGGTGGAGGGGGGATGTTGACAGCCAGAGTTCCTTGGAGTTCCTGTAGCTCCACTGTGAGTAAGAGAGGTGTGTTTGACACTTCCTCCATCTTCTTCTTGATGAACTCTGTTTCTGTGGCCTTCTGGAAATACTTGGACTTGGTGATCTTGTCCACAAAGCGCATTATTTTGCTAGGTTTGTGACCACCTACAAATCTTTATTCAAGAAGGTAAAGTGAAAGTCACAATTTAGATTCAGCGAAGCTGTACATAACATCACTTTACAGAAAATTTAACAGTTTTTTTAATTCTGTGAAATACACAAATGAAATGTCTTTGTTGTTAAGGCTGCCAACATATTGCTGAAGACAGTTTTATTTTCTGTGTTAAATCTGATTTGTTCTCAGCTTTTTTTGTGACTGGAGGACCTTTCCTTACAAGGTCTGTCTCATTATTTGTTACAGTTATACTTTTGTCCTCATTTTTAAAAAGGGATTTCAAAACTAAAAACTAAATCTAAAGTTTAGAGACCTTTAGAGCCTTACATGGCCAGGCCAGAATACCTCACAAAACTCACTAAACCTTACTCATTAGCCTGTTCATAAATATCCAGTTCACTGCACCAGTTAACAAACCCATAAACATAGTTGAAAACTGATTGAGCTTTTGAAGCCATAGCTCTAGACCCCTGAAACTCTCTGCATTTATCCCTGTGTTCTTTTTTCTCTGTGGAGGCTTTTCAAAAAACTTTGGTGAGCATGTCATTTTTTTTAGCCTTGTGAGTAATCATCCCCACTTGTCTTCTACAGTTGCTCCATGTGTCTTTTGTGCCTTTTTACAGTTTCTGACAATTGCTGCGCTGGTTTGTACTACATTCTTTTTTATTTCTGTGTGGTTTTTAATTTTTCATTGAATTATTTTAGATGTAAAGCACTTTGTGAAAGGTGCTATATAAATAAAAACTGCTTGCCTTCTTACAAATTTGTATGAAGGTTCTGCTATTAAATAAACAATATCACCGTTATGTTACCACAATTTCAGCAACAACATTTACTCTGTAGCTGCTCTTTTAATATTTTGAGAAATGAATTTGCAGAGTGATTACAGAAACTTTTCCCTACCCCTCTGCTCCAACAGAGTCATTTGAGAGCTCTGAGAAGTCTTCATCATCTGATGATCCTGCGCTGGATGACTCTTCATCACTATCAGCCAGACAGTAAGTTCTTGGCCTGTATCTGAACACACATACAGATCATAAAAAATGGTTGGAAGTAAGAAATTAAACACGGTACTCATACCCACACAAAAACACAAAGACACACCATCAAACACATCTACATCCATGCAATAACACATGCAGAAGGCTCTAGTGGTAGAGGTATGGGAGCACTAGCCCTTTTCATACTACACATTGTAGTATGAGCTTTGATATTTACACTTCTGTAATGTCTCACCTTGAACATGAATGTCTCAGAGGTGTTATGGTGGGACCGTGTGGTCCTGCCACTGTGCCGGCAGCAGAGGCAGTGACAGAGACAAGACTGGATCACTGTGAGCATGCTGCAGTCATGCTCTGTGTGTGTATGTCTAAGAGTGTGTACATATGGAGCTTCCACCATGTGTTTACCCCTCATGCTTACGAGATGTCATTAAACAATATGAGCTGACATTCTGAGACACAGCTATTGCAATGTTGTGGGTTTAAATGACAAAGGTATGATGGCAGCAGGGCAGCATTATGGTGCTGTTGCAGACTAATGATCTGAAAAGGGTTAATGAGAGTGAGATCTGAGAGTGAGATCTGAGTGTGCATATGGAGATAGCATTGTACCAAAAACTGCAGAATCTCCAGGTTTGGTATTTTGCACTGTAAAATGTTTTTTTTCTTTGCACTACAACTTCACTGTTCACATAGTGACTTCCTGTTTTTTTTACATGCTTTCTCCATCAGTGAATTGCTACAGATTGCATCCACCACCTGTACTTAAGGTCATGTATAAATATGTTCAGCAGAATCATTTTTTTTGGTGATTTGGTTTACCTGTGTGTGTATGTATAGGGTGCATGTGTATGGGAGGGTATATACTATATATGTAGACACAGTAGGCACAAAGGTAGATGTGGACACATGTGCCACTCTTCTATTGTGCTATACTTCTCTCTATTGTATTTTTGGGGGTATTTTTAATATACTCTCTGTGTTTTTGCATTGTGGGATGGAGAGAAACATTTTGTTTGATTCCTGTGCATGTACTGACATATGACAGAAACTGACATTAAAAGCTTGAATCTTGCTTCCTGGCTGAAGTCGGCTGTGTTATTGACAACCTTTGAGAGATTTTCAATGTACTCAGTTTGTGATTTATGGTTTCACCAAACTGCTAAAAAGATAGGTATGAACATATCAGCTGACTCATCTTGATGCAGTTTTAGAAAAGATGAATCTCTGCATCTCCACTCTACTTCTCAACTCCAACACTGCCACCACTTCCCTTAATTTTAATGGGGAGTAAAACACCAAAATTACGCATGACAGAACTGCGAAGATAAATGTGTTAACACTATATGAAATAAAGCATTGAGATGTTTCATGAAGGCAGAAAAACAAACTACAGAAATCTAAAAAAATGAGATGAAAAGAGGTAACTTTTAAACATCATGCAACACTCACCAAAACCAGAAATGCCCCCAATTAACAGTTGTATTAAAGCCAGAATCCAGATGGCAGAGAGAGAGAGAGAGAGAGAGAGAGAGAGAGAGAGAGAGAGAGAGAGAGAGAGAGAGAGAGAGAGAGAGAGAGAGAGAGAGAGAGAGAGAGAGAGAGAGAGAGAGAGAGAGAGAGAGAGAGAGAGAGAGAGAGAGAGAGAGAGAGAGAGAGAGAGAGAGAGAGAGAGAGAGAGAGAGAGAGAGAGAGAGAGAGAGAGAGAGAGAGAGAGAGAGAGAGAGAGAGAGAGAGAGAGAGAGAGAGAGAGAGAGAGAGAGAGAGAGAGAGAGAGAGAGAGAGAGAGGGAGAGGAGAGAGGAGGGAGAGAAAGCAGGGAGAGAAAAGAAGAGACAAGGTGTAAAAGACAGCAAAGATCAAGAACACGGAGTGTGAGGCAAAAAGAACATTTAGGCGCTTGACAGAGAAAGCTACATTTTTCAAGTAGAGGAGGGGAGACATATATAGGGACGTGTGTCTTTTTGCAAAGGACTTGATTGTCTCACCCATCTTTGCCAAACTCCCCAAAGCGGACACTCTCTCCCTCCTTGCCCAGGCGGATGAGGTTCATTTTTGTTTCCAAGGTCATCAGGAAAGAACCACTGTAGGAGAGCTCCAAGTCAAACCACAGGCCTGAGGGAACACAGTTATTAGAAACATGATCTGAGAGGAAATGAGAGAATTGAAACTATGGCTGTGGAGGGAAGATTTGAGGTTGTGAGCTAAACCTGTACTTAAGGAGATACTCTACACTCATGTCACACCATATACAGCACATAGAGCTGTACTACTTGAATGTTTATGAGGCACAACACTGTTGACAAATTAAATTTTTCTAATCATGACAGCACTTCAGGCCACCTTCCTTCTTCCACGTTATATCTCTCTCTTCTCGCTCCTTTGTTTTCACACTTCTCCAATTCTCCTGTTGCTGTGTCCCTCTCAAGCATCCCAGAAGTTGGGCCCCCAACAGATTTCATTTCTTGATCCCGCCGTCAAGATGAGAAACGCTCAGAAAAAGACTCTGTAGAAGGAGAAGATCTCAATGTCCTTTGAACAGAGGAGAAACAGTTGGGGAGCACACAGTCTCCCTCCCAGCCCCTTTTTGATATCAGCAGGAGGTGGACTGACAGCATAAATAGGGCACTCTCTCTCCTCCACTCTGTCTCTGTTTCTTTGTCCACTGCTCCACCAAATTCACTGTAATCTGCATTACACAAACTTCTCCAAGCCTCCGTCCAAATCATATCTTACATGAGGCAATTATAAAGGCTATAATGAAAAATGAACGAATAAAGTACTTGGTTGATAAGCAGACTCAATAATGGCATTAATACCAATAAAGCCCAACCTTAGTTGTGATGTGTCAGGTCTATTGTTTTCATTAAACTGATTAAAAACAGGATGTTGGGTAAACTTTTACAGGTGTTAGCTCAGACCTAACATTGTTGTCATTTTACAATGCCGTGTTTCACTTAGGTCAGTATGAACATTTGTAGTTGCTTGTTGGGCATGACTTTCTGATGTTACTCTCGCTGTTCCAATAATAATAAAACATTTGTATAAAGCCATCCTATTTTAAACTCCTATTTATAAGAGACAATTACAAACTCATTTCAATATCACTTAAGAAATATGCAAATTAATTTGTGATAGTTATTCTTATGGAAAATCATGAAATAATTACAACTAAAAAAAAAAAAAATCTTTGACAGCCTTACTTATAACTTTTCTCCACACTTGGTTCAGCATTTTACAGGGGACTCTGATACCAAGCCTGCAGTGATTAAAATAAAATCCCATGTGATGTGACATTGTCTAATATTGTGATATCAATGAAAGGTAGGGGTGGGAGAAAAAAATTGATACAGCATAGTAACACGATATTTTGTCTGGTGATATATTGTATCCACTCATATACCAAGTATTTCTCAATTTTTTTCAAATTAATTGTTAATATGAAGTCAAATCTGTGATAATGGAAAATTAAAATCAACTGTTTGTCCAGTGAGGTTGGCAGAGGTGACATCATAGAGCAGAAGAACGTTAGTACAACAAATACAGCGTCACCTGGGGAAAAACATTAAGAAAGCAAGCAGGGCACAAATGAGATTGACCTGACACAAAAGCCCCAACTACATGAATGCGGATATATTTCAAACTGTACATATTTATGTCCGATTAGGCCTCCCTACCACACCAAATTGGGAGTTTGGAGCACTCAAACCGGATACATCTGAATCCGAAAAAACAAGTGGAGAAATAAAAAAATATGCGTATAAGTGGATTCGTGTGGTTGAACTTTTACGGATCGATGACGTCAAACCGCAGCTCGCGCATGCGAATTAAAAAGAAAAATCACAACAACAATGGCGGACATACAGGGTATTCTTTACATTTGTTTTGCCCTTTTGGGGCTTATTTCAGCCTTGCAAGTGAACCTTGTTTTATACATTTACATCCACCAGTCAGCCAACTCACAGAGGTGTCTGCTGCGTCCAATACTTTTATTGGTCACATGGTCCGTCACATGGACCCGACGCACTAGCGTAGCTTCCGCAAACAATGCATGACGCATCACGCTGTTACGATTCATCGGCCAATCAGGTAGCTTTGTTCCTGAATTTTTTTTAAGCAGCACCAGATAGGATTGAGTTTGAAGGCTACGTGTGGACCCAGATATTTTTGAGAACTAACAAGTGTGGACAGATACATTTATTTAGACGAGAGTACAAAAATATCCTGATAAATAATTATCTATATATGTGTAGTCTGGGCCAAAGTTTGCAAGATGTGCTGCAAAAAAATAAAATACAGTGTTAATAAGACAAGCATAAAGGAAAGACAAATGCTAATTTAGCTAAACAGTTGTAAAAAAATATATAAATCTTGATATATTGCATTGCATACTCACTGTATCGCAAAATGTTAAAAATCGTAATAATGTCGTATCGTGGCCTAAGTATCGTGATAATATCATATCATGGGGCCACTGGTGATTCCCACCCCTAACGAAAGGTATGTAAATAAAGAAATATTAAAAAGTTAACTCAGTTTCCAGGTCTGCCAGTTGTTCTTCATATTATGCACATTACCTTTCTTTGCAACATGTTGTGCTCTAATCCAGGATCGACCAGTAATCTATTATTTTATCACTTCATCATCACAAATTAATCTGAGGTTTGCTGACGACTGGCTTACGCTTCATTTCATTGTACCTTAGTGGTGTGGAGGTATATTGTCTTCCGGGGAAGGGATGGTCAAATGTGAATGCTGAGTGAGAATATATTGCTGGCATACATCAATTACTTCCCTGTGTATTATGAGTGCTGATTACTGAGGCCTTAATAGTAGCTAGTTGTGAGAATGCGAAGAGGACTTCTGGTGGTGTGTAAAAGAGAAGAAAGAAAACATAGTTATGAGAAGTCAGAGGAAAACAAAGACGCTAAAAATGAAAGCAGATAAAAATAACAGAGCAAAAAATAATGAGGAAAAAAACTAAAGGCTATCCAGTCAGAAAGGCACAACATATAAATAGAAAGTTTGATAGTCAGACAAAGACATGGGGTGAGCTGGCTGAGCCTGCTAAACCTGATGGGCTTTGCTTTACTCTCCTCAGTCCCTGGTGGCGTGGTGGGTAATCAAGATGATGACAAACTGTTTGAGGTTTGTTCAAGGGAAGAACTGAATGTCCTTAGAACAAACTGCTGGGGGCAGCAGTGTCCTGTGGGCAAACTGGGGAGAACACACATAATCAAGATGTGTCCAACGAGCAAGGGCCAAAAAGCAGCAGGATGACTCCTTTTATGCATACCCACAAAAATGAGTGTATGCAGACACAAAAGAGCATGGACATAGGTATGTGAGTTTGCAGAGTTTATTCTCTGTTGTGATATGCTCACATACACACACAGCTGGAGAGGTTCATTGATCTACTGCTCTCAGCATGCTTATTCCAGGAAGGAGTGGGGTGAGACGAGGCAAAGGCAGAACTTGAGATGCTTGGGTGATACAACCTCTGTGCTATCGGTGCAAGATTAAAGAGGAACTAAACTGACCAGTTCCACTGGAACTTTTGGAAAAACTTATCCAGGTCAAAGGCTGTACCTGCTTGGAAACATGCAGCTCAAAAACAAAATAACAATGACTGCTCTCTTTTCTACAGATACATCAATTATGGATATTTACTCCTTTGTTTTAGATACAAATCCCTTTCCAGCATCCGTTCACTTCTCAGAACTATGTCTAAAGTAAGACACTTTGTTGTGGTCCATCAGCACTAGGTGATCTGGATCGAGTCCTCTGAATTCTGTCTGAAGAAATGAAAACATTTGGCATTATGATAGAGTTTCCAAATAATTATAGCAATTCATGCTGATGCCCCCTTTAACAACATTATCTCAGAGCTAGCTTCGTATGTACACAGACTTCAATTGAAGTGGTTGTAGAAGGGTGTTTTCCTTGAAACAGCTCCAACAAATGCCATCTCAGTCAGAGATGCAATCAATTCCTGCTCTGATTACAGGGTAATGTGAGTGCTGGGGTGATGAAAATGAGACAGTGACTCACAGCACTGCAGGGAGGAAGACAGGCACTGGGACTAAAGAGTGAGAGAGGACACAAAAATGAAAAGGAATGATAAAACGAAGAGGACAGTTTGAGACTGCACGCATGAAACAGATGAAGAGACAGATCTGTCAGGATGTAAGGGTGAATGAGAAAAAGCAATGTCACATAGAGAGGTGGAGAGCTCAGTGCTACCGAGGTGATCTTCAATAACATGCAAAGCTCCTACTGATCAAAAGTGCGCAGAGTTTTCAGGAAACTCCAGCTGAAACTTGCAGCAAACCTACAGTCCCTCACAAAACTGTGACCTCGCATAGCTAAGCCTCAATTTATCCAATCCACAGATAACCATAAGACCTGCTAAAGTGCTTAAGGACAGATTGTATTGTACTCAGCTTAGCTCACTTGCACCTCTGGAAACAAAGCTTTCAATTTTCCAGGGAACTTCATAACACCTTCAGTAGGTTTATTCTTCATTAATAAAAAAATGCCTTTTGTCACAACTGAGATTGTACAGCAAACACCACGCTTCTAACCTCTGAGCGAGCAGTGTTCGTTTTTTCAGACAGTCTAGCAGCAGCAGCTGTTAGAGTCAAAGGTTTTTGACTTTCTTTAAACAGAGTCTATTTAGAAACAAGCATGTCCCTCGAACCCTGAAGGCGGCACAGCCTAGAAAGCTGAGTGGGTGTGAGCGCATGTAATCATCCAGTGTGATGCACAGTCTTTATTTTGCATGTTCTGACTGAATGAAGCATTTTTTTGTTCAGGGCTAATAGAGAACATCATTGTGTGAGTATTTTCCTCATGGACTTTCAAGGTGGTTATATAACACTAATGCTTTTTCTCATGTATGTGAAATTTCACCACAGGCAATGAATCAGAACAGGATGATGACGTATCCTTCACAGTGGGTTATATGAGCACTAGAACACTATCATTGGTTGTTAGTGATGTCTGACAGTGTCCGAGCTGCTGCTTTGTTTCTGAAAGAAGTCATTTATTCAGACAGGAGCAGTAGTGCTGGGATCCTATCAGTCAGTTTTATCTGAAGACCACATGAAGAAGAATAACAGCTTTTACCAGATATTAAACTAAAGGCCACCTCTGTTTATGCCCAAGGATTGCAACAGTACTGACCTACTTTAATTTTCAATACTACATGTAGTGCTCAAAGATTTAGGAGTATAAAGAACTTACTGACCACGCTCTAATTCCTTTTATGAGCTTTACTTAAGTCAGTGGAAACAAACCTTTGGAGCTCAAAAAAGAGAATTTTTAAAAACTGTCCAGAAATGGAGACAGTGGTCAGGTTCCACCCCCTTGCTCTCCCCATCTGTCGGCAAAATGACAGTAGCCTTTGAGAACGAAAAGTTCCAACAAAGCATGTCAAGGAAGTATGATCTTCAATTTATCTAATTTTGCATCAGAAAACTTCCAGCAATACGTTTCCTTTAGTGCACAACAACAACAACAACAACCACTTTCTTCTGATGCATTTTCAGTGGCCATCCGCCAAATACAGAAACATGTCTGGCTCTTTTTGGTTTGTCTGGTCCGTGCTACGGTAAAAGAAACATGGCAGTGCAAGACCGCAGCTTCAGTGGATAGGGACATGCCCCTACGTAGCTGTAGAGGGCTTATGGTAAGTAAGCAAAATTTAAATCTTTTATACTACAGTGGTTACGCACAAACTGAAACTACTAATGTTGTAAATGTTACATTCCCTTTCCACCAAATCTGTTCTGCCACTTTAAGCTACTAACTTTCCTAATCAAACAATTTACTGGAAACATGTCCATCTCTATCTGATGAACGCATTTGCATATTGTCACACTTGTTTCAAGAGCAGCTTTCTCTAATCCTCTGCTCAAGAAGCTCTGTTTTGTTTACTTGCCATTTGTATTTAAAACTGCAGCCAAGATGCTTTTGCGGAGTTGGATCCATTTGATAATATATTACAAAAGACGATCGATTCCAACATGTAAGAACTGCACCCTTCAGAAACTGACACCATCTCTGTGCTAATGAGAACAAACATAATTTAACCATAGATTGCATATACTATGCACAACTTGGCCCCACCTTCCACCAGTATTTGGATTTGAAGCCAAAAAGCTCTTGGTATTTCAGTTTTTTTTCTCCACTTCCTGAAACCAACACTTTGTTGCATTGTATGCATTTGTCGGGAGAGTCGCCGAGTTGCTGTGTCGATGCTCAGCTAAAACAGCGTATACCCTGGGTGAGCTATGCAATCTTCATACACCCATAGGCTGTATCAAGTTTCAGTCATAGAAAACTTGAACCCCCTCATAACTTTTAAAAACTGAGCTGCACAGAAAAAAAGAGGACTTGAGCACAAACCAGTCTTACAATAACTACATGTCAACATTGCAACCGGGGGCGAAAAAAGATTTTATTGAGTGTAAATAATTTCTAAAGTTTGTCCACAACTCCATAAGGATTGCTGGAGGAGGTGGGATTTACGACCTATACTTGAGCCCGTCACCAGAAGGTGCTGTTCTCCAGTTGGCTTCACCCAGCGAGGAGGCAGACGGAGTCCATTCTCTATACAGTCTATCAATTTAACTCAGTATCAAGAATCTAAGTGGTGATTTGTACTATCTAGACAAAAGTCTTCAGTCTTATTATCACTTGTTTTTGTTTTATTTTTGGCAAAATTTAACTACAGCCCTCGGTGACACAATCTATCCAAAAGTCAGGCCCCTGTAAGCATGATGATATCCATGACTGCTTTCTATCCAAGCCTCTTTCCAAATGCACCAATTATCACTCTAATGTCCTGCTCGCTAAAGGTCACCTCAACACAGAAATGTGATGATCAAACAGCTCTTCCTCTTGAGATTTAGTCCTCTTTAATGTAGTGGTCTTTTTTAATGGAGCTCTGGAGTAAAGAAAATAACCTCACTGACATACATTACAAATTGTGTTTAAGTTGAAGTTCTTGGGATGAAGTCTTTGACATTTTTGTATCTACAAAGGAGCTCATAATTTTTGTACTGTATGTGTATATGTAAAACTATACATGCATAAGTGCTGTATCACAAATGAACTTAGGTGCAAGCTCATCACCTCAAAAACATGACTTCCCGAGGCAAAGTAAAGACTGGTTTCTAAAAGTCAGGGATAGACAAGACTAAAAACTCTGCTTACCATCTGTTTATCTTTGTTATTGCCAATGTGTACTCAGCTAACTCTCCAGCAGGCAATTGCTAGAGGGGTGTTGTACTTACAAACAAAAAGATCATTTAAATGTGCTCTGTGTATAGGCAAATACTGTACAGTTATCAGGGACAAGGACCTTCATGTGCCAAAGAGACAGTGAAACTAGCTAGACATGCAAGTGTTGCATACAGTTAAATCTGACTCTGAGTGTGTGTGTGTGTGCTCGATTTCTCTCTTGCCTCTGTAGTCAATGGAGGGTTTGGAAGCCCCTAGGATTCTGGGAGTGGCCAAGCCCATGTCCAGTTCTGTCAGGGTCAGCTCATTCATGAAATAGGGCAACTGAAACAGACAACAAACACACAACTGAGCCGAACATGTTGTGCTCATTTTACCTACAAATTATAAAACAATAAATAAAGAGAGACAAAAAACATAGTCTGGGAGAGTCGAGTATCTAGTATGCAGTATCCAGTAATAGGCTAAGGGCTCTATTTTCGTGTCTGCCGGTGACGCGGCGGACAGTAGCGGACCCCACGCAGTGGTATTTTTGTCTGGCGGAGCCTGGCGTACAGCCAGTTTGGTATTTTCGTAGACTGAGGCCCGCCAAGCTGGGCATGGATGCGCGACAGGGGGAGGTGTCGACAGAATCAGCTGGCGCAGTGACATTTTCGTGCTCGCTGGTGGCGTGAATTGTGCGCTGAAAGCTCGCCGATTCAAACCTGGTCAGCTTTCAGCGCTGGCGGAGCGCAGCTGGTCTAGTGGTATTTTGGTAGACCGGCGGCGTATTCCGCACACGTCACCGATGCCTCACCGGCAGGTTTTCACAGTGTCAGGCATATTACAGTGCAATAAATAATCATCAACAACCAATATTATGATTCAGCAGCAGCAGATCTCTATCGATATATTCTGATCTATATGTTATCTGATAAGCGTGTTTGGCGCGCGTTTGGACACTCCACCTGACCAAATCAACACAACTGAAACCTCATTAAATTAAATATCCAGTAAACAGTCACACATGATGAAGTACAAAATATTTAATTTGTCTCCCCGCTTATCCTCCTTCCTCCTCACGCAGCTCAATAGGTGTTGTGCTGTAGAATGCATCCCTGCCGTAGAATGCATTCCCTGCATCCCATCCACTCATTAGCATCTTAAAGTGGAAAAAATTATCTCATATTTAAAAAAAACACGAGTATTGGATCATGACAACATGTCAAATGGAGCAGCAAACTTTCATTCTGTTTTTAGGTATTTAAAAAGTGCACATACAGAGGTGTACTTGATTATATAAACTGTACAGTAAGCTGTTAAGGTAGAGAACATTATATTTTCAGGGCAGCAAATATTCCGAATCAGAGGGCTATTGTTTTCGGCATATCTGAATAGCCTGAATGAAATCATTAAAGGCACACGCTTTAGAATCAGTCCAACAGTAAGGAAAATTTGGATTGTTTCGCCTTGTTGTGTACTTTCAACCGCGCTCCCATCAGGGGGTGCATTCCATGGCACAACACCTGACATGTCTCCATGTCCTCTCTGCGTCCTGCTGCTGCTGCGGTGTCACGGCTGACCAGATGATTGATTTTAGTGATCAGATGAGTTATTTACTTCGAAAATTTGAACAATAAAAGAAAGAAAAGAAAAGAAAGTTTTACTCAAAATTACCTGTTTATCTGATTTCCTCACATCATTAAGATTCTATAAATATTCAATGCGGAGTTAGGCCCACATAGGAATATTATAATATTCAGTTTTGTGAGCCAAATTTATTTTATATACCAACATCTATGAAAGAAAGAGCCAGGCCATGGAGCATGATGCGTGATCCGTGCGCACAACCCACCTTTGTCATGTGGGGTTTAAATAAAAAATTTAAATGCAACTTTATGTGAGTGTCTTTATTTGTAGGAAAAGGGTGTTTGTCTGTCAAGTGGGTCCAACACCACACACCAAATCCATCTGCGCTTATATGAGACAGTGTGCAGGACCCCCTCTGCAGCACTTACAGTGACACTTGTTGAGGGGCTGCCTTCTGTCGCCATCGTGTGGCATTGCTGTCTTCAGCCATCTCTTCATCTCTTCGATTACTTCACGAAAATTGTAATACGCCTCGCCGGTGGCTGATTTAAAGGTGAGGAGAGGAGCTGATGTTATTGGTGAAAACAGGACTCGGCTGTGTTAAACCCACTCCACGCCTTCTCTCCACCCTCTCTACTACTTAAGCTGCTGGGAGGAGCCGAGTTAGGGAGGGGGATACTAACACCGGGCTGCACCGCTCACCAAAATACCAAATTGTGCTTGGGCACGCCTTGTCGGCACGGCGGACCTGACTTACACCGCGCCTGTGCCACGTCTCCGGCGAGGCACGAAAATAGAGCCTTAAGTGTCTATGACAGTAACAGAAATACTCAAGCATAAACGTCCACAACACTTAATCATAAGCTTTGTCTGTATGGTGAAATGATGTGAACATAACAATGGTTGTCATATTATAGAAAAGGACTTAGATCCAGTATATGAAAAAATAACTCATTATTTAAATACTCTTTCAAAAAGAGCACAATGACTCCCTGGCTTGGATTTTTTCACATTTATCAATGTTTATCAAAGTGTGTTTTCAGTGAGTTTGCCACATTTTGTGTTCAGCACAAGAGTGAGCTGCATTCATTTTTTGTCCATCTCTACACTCATTATTTTTGCAAGTTTGCATGTTAAAGTTGACATTTTTGGAGAGAAAGACTGCTGACAGTCTTGTGCTTCTCACCCGTATCTTGCTGAGCTTCATCTGAATCTTACTGGAGACCATCTCAGCCCAGTGTGGCTCACTTAGGAAGTCCCAGAAGACCCGACCAAGAGCTGCATTTACCCAGGCAACATTATCGTCTTCCTCTATGCTGGGTGGTACTGGAACTGAGGCAGTAGGCTGAAGCTACAAACACAACATTTCAAACAAACAAAGGTCGAACAAATAGGAAAAGGATTTCATTTCTCAGTCAAGATTTCAGGAACATTTATTCCCCACACCATACAGCCATTTTATCACTTTACATCTTGATAATAAACAACACTGGATGTTTGCTGATTGCAGAGAGCCAGCTTGCAACAAAACAAGATTAAACACAATAGATGACATGTTGGCCACCAACATGAGGAGTGTAAAAAAATGTTACTGGTGTGAAGAGTGGATGAGTGTATGTTACCTTCTTGTCAGACCCAGGGCTGCTCTGTGGACTCTGGGGAGCAGGGCTGGCAGCTGCAGGGCTGACTGCTGCCTGTTTTGGCAGTATGGAGGCCATGTATACACTGTATTCCAAGAGTGGCTTAGTTTTGGCACTGCCTGCTGTTGTTGAGGAGGCTGAGGAGTCCTTTGACCTGGGCTGTGATGACAGTTCATCCAAACTACTGCGGCTGGCACTCCGACTGTGAGAGCTCAGAGCTGTTGGCACTACAAACAGCACAAAGAGATGATCATTTTAGCGCTTCAACACCAAAGAAATCTTTAGGGATATTGACCTGAACTGGATACTGGAAAACAGTGAAGGGAGATTTCCCAGAGCTATGGAGGAATGAAAAGAAACAGAATGTAATATATAAGACATCTTTAAATAAATACTTAAATTTGTCAATAATTAATTAAAATGGGAATTAAATCAATAAATGTGCCATTAAATCAAAGTCATTGGGCAGATCCTAACACCTGATTGGCACATCAAGTCAAGACAGATCAACTCCAGATAATGGATTGATGCAGCAACTCTGTGGTCAATATCTTGGTTGGAGAGTACGGGAATGACTCCAAAAATGTCCCTTAATTCCTCTGGTGTTCATACTACATGCTCAAGGTCAGCAGGTCCCGCTTCCACATACTCTGCAAGGTCAAAATATGTATAACCAACTCCTGAGAAAGTTGGAGCATATCCTCCATAGCTGCTATGTTTTGAAAGACTTCAGGCTTCAGACCAAAGCAATGGATCACACTAGATCAGCATTAGTCCTGACAACTGACTTTGATTAGTGAGTTTGCCAGATAAAATAAATTCATGAAGCACTGCAACACAGGTCCATGAAATAATTAATAAAAAAGTGAGATAATTATATATTTTTTTACATTGAATAAACTGGTATTTTATCATATTAATGACACATTTTATGTAACATTTATGTATTTTATTCCCATTTTAAATAATTAATGACACTATTTATTTATTTAAAAATGTATTTATATATTTCATTCTGTCTCCTTCTGTCCTCTATACACAGCAGTTATAGAGGACAGAAGGACAGTTATATGTCCTAAATTAAGAAAAAATGCATTTGATCAAAAGTCAGATCTCTTATGAGGAGACTTCAAAGTCACCCTAGACTGGGCATATTTGATTTCATCAGGATGTTGGGTTTATCTGGTAGCAAAGCACAAGCTTGGTGCTTAGTTTGCTTTACTCTGAGTGACTTGTTCACTGCTTTCTAAAATTAAAAGGGCCCAATTGGCTTGATTTCCTGAGCTTGAAAGCCTCCAAAATCTCAGATTTGATAACTGTGGTGGTATAGTTCATGAATAAAACTCCTATTTATTTAACTGATGCTTTGAGAAAAAAATCAAAGTAGAGTAAGATTAAAAGAAAAAAAAAAGATATGTTCCAATATTACTGTCGCTTTAATCTGTAGGAGAAACATGTCTTGCTGACACAAACATCAGTTTTGCTTACCACTCTTGCACGTCCCCAAGCCTGTTGCTTTCTTCATATCCACCTTGAGCTTGGAAGCTGATAGAATCCGCTGAAACCACTCCTCCTTCTCCCTGCCAGTCCTTCCAAACAGGTAGAGAGTCAGGTCTTTACTGGATGAAGACCGTCGATCCTGTGTTCCTCCTGTGCCTTCCCCTTTCTCACTGGGCTCCCACTTTTCACCCTCAGCCTTTGACATGAAGTCATCCTGTTTGCCAAGTTCAATGCAGATGGGGTATTTTTTGTTCCATAATCGCTTCCTGGCCAGGCTTTGAGGCATTAAAAATACCTTTGAGAGGATTATAGAAGAAAGACTCTATCAAAATAAGTTTGAAAATTATACATATTTTTCATGACTTTTTAAGACTACTAAGAGAGCTAGAGGACAATATCCAAATGTGTACAACCTAAAAACACAACTGCTGATGACAGATTATGCGCTGAATGAAAATTGAGTAAAAGGCTCTCAGATATTACTTAGTGAATCATATTACATACTCTGCTGTTGGTGAGATCGTAGATCTTCTGACTGATATAGGTAACATCAGGTTTTGGTTCATTATGACTTGCACGGCGTGCAATGTTGTGATTAGGTTTGGACAGACGGATGATGGAGCCCTCCAACCGGACAAAAACAGACTGAGTCAGTGTGGCATGGTATGTCTCAGGGTCATAGTTGGAAATCTCATTCATCCAGCCCTAGAGGGTAAACAGAAATATTATTTTACATGACATAGATTGAGATCACAGGGCTCAAAAAATCAGTTTTAATCTAAAATTGCAAAGCTGGGCATGTATCAGGTTCATTTTTTAACACCCTAAAAACAAAAAATAATTTAAAACATGAGGACACTGAGAATATAATTTTACAGCATTTGATTTTTCCAGAAAAATGACCTCCGTAGAAATGTTATGTGCATTATGTAATTCCTTATCTATGGTAAATATGCCAGCAAGCATGATCCTTTGACTTGACTATTTTGCATCCGAGTGTCACAGCAAAACATAAACTAGATTTGACTTAAACTTAGTGAGAGGAACTTCAAGTTTGCATCAGGACGACCCTTTCTTATCATAGACCACAACATTTGCAAAGAAACCCTGATAAATAAGTTACTGATAAATAAATCAATGCTCACAAATCATCACCCAGGTCTGAATGATAAGGGGGAAGTTATCACAGAATTATGTTCTTCTTCTGTATTTCTCTGGAAAACTAGCATTGTGAAATTATGAGCATAGCAGCAGATAAATTATTGAACTGATTCAAACTGAAATGGTGCTGCAGTGTTCCTCTTTTCCACAATGAGATTTGACTAAAGCCTCTTTAACATGTGGAGGATTGTTTGTATCAGACGGCTGCCGCTCTGCCACTGAGATTAACACAGAGATCAAATCCAGAAAATGAAATTTGTGCAAGTTTTAATTTATTTTTCAAGATCAATGAATGTTTTTTTTTTTTGTGTTATTGTTTAAATTATTGACTCTCTACTAGGGTTGGGTATCGTTTGATTTTGAACGATTCCGATTCCAATTTCGATTCCTCATTTCGATTTCGATTCCGATTCCTATCGATTCTCTAATTCGATTCTTTTAAAAGGCAGGATATCAAAAAGAAAAAAGAAAAAAGAATAAAAAAAAGCATGGTTTGAATGAGGTTGCTAACCGGGGCTCTTCTTTTTGGATGAAATTTCTGAACTTCTCCATGAATTTTTAAATCCTATTAACTTTTTAAGAACTTTACTATGAATTTCTCACAGAGCTATTTTCAACCAGTATATAAATATCAATTTTTGTTTTCAGGTCGTTTGTCTATGAAAAAGTACAAGGGCTAACGTTAGGTGGATATTTAAGTTTACTCACCGTACACAGTTCAATTTCTTTACCGTTTCAAAGTTAGCAGAGGACAGAAGTAATTTATTGTTTCACTTATCTGATCCTGACTGGTTAGCGGGAGACAGGTGTTGTGCTGTAGAATGCACCCCTGCCGTAGAATGCCTCCCCTCCACTGATCATGAAAACGTGTCAAATGGAGCAGTAAACTTTCGTTTTGTTTGTATGTGTCTCAAAAATGCACACATAAAGGTGTACTTGGGTATATAAACTGTAGAGTAAGCTGTTAATGTAGAGAACATAATATTTTCAGGACAGTAAATATTCCGAATCAGAGGGCTATTGTTTTCGGCATATCTGAATAGCCTGAATGAAATCATTAAAGGCAAACGCTTTAGATTCCGTCAAACGGTAAGAAAAACTTGGATTGTTTCGCCTTGTTGTGTACTTTCAACCGCGCTCCCGTCAGGGGTGCATTCAACGACACAACACCGGTGAAGCGCGTCAAAGACGAGCACTCGGGTATTTCTCCTCCATGAATCCTGAGGTGTTTAATCATGTTGGTCGTTTACCCTCCTTTGCATGATATAACTGTATTGCTAATGTTGCATTGAGATAAGAGTTCATTCTTCCTGCTAAAGTTAGCCAAACTTTTGACCAACGAGGAAGAAGCTGCCGAACACCAACGAGGACGGAGCGTATGAGACGAAGCCACACAGAGAGAGGAGAGAGACAGAGAGAAATTGTAACCCACAGCAGCTGCATTGCTGTGGGTTGCAATGTACTTTCTCTCTCTGTCTCTCTCCTCTCTCTGTGTGGCTTTGTCTCATACGCTCCGTCCTCATTGGTGTTAAGCGGCTTCTTCTTCGTTGATTTTCGGCGGCTATTTCTTCCGGTCGGCGGACTCTGGCATCGAAACTTGGAATCGAAATTTTAATATTTGAACGATACCGGAAGAATAGAAGTTTTAGTCCCGATTCCCATCGATTCTCGATTCTCGATTCCCAACCCTACTCTCTACCAAAAACTGCTGCATTAACATTGACTTTTCTTTGACTCCTACTCTTTGAGACATTATTCCAATCCTGTAATCTTTGGGCTATCTAGAGTTAAAATGACCCACATTCATTCACAACTCTCTTATTTTGAGGGCTAGATTTGTGCTGGAAAAAAGCCTAATTGTTCATTAAATGAATAGAAGTTTAAAAACTAACCTTGTTAAATACGTGAAGGTAATAATAACTTAAAGGTGGGGCTGGCAGGATTCCATTAAAGAAGCATCTTTTTTGTGGCGTATATAAAAAAAAGCTTTTAATATCAGTCAATAGCTATTAGTTATTGATAACATTTGGTAATATCACAATATCCCTGCGTTCTCATATGCCTGTATAGTCAACATTTAAAAATGTTTGAGCGGCCTGCTCTTTTTAAATGTAAACAAAGCCATTCTCCACCTCCCCAACCTGATTGGTTGTGAGGCAGATGCTGCTCCCTCATGTTGTGAGGCATGCCCCACATCATCAAATAACGTGCATGAGACCAAACAAAGTTATGTATGCCCTTTCAAAACAACATAAAAACACACACAGCTAAATGTTGAATTCTAACACGTTAACTGACCTTATAGATCTCTGGTTCCTTAATGTCCAATTTGGCAACATTCCACAACCTCCCAAGTCGTCTGAAACGTCTGAAACCACTGTCAGAAGGTTTTGGTCCCGTCAACCATACAACACCAATGGCTAAAAGAAATCCCAGCCCAACCCCAAGCAGCACTCCTCCTACATAAGTAGGCAGAGGTAAAACAAAGCATCCATAGACCATCACAGTGAGGATAATGAGAGTATATTGTGGAACACTTGGTGCCGGCTCAATACTTTCAGACTCATCTTCACTGCATGGTTCAGTACTACCACTAAGTGGCACTTTAGTTTGGCTCCCAGTGTCGTCCGTTTTGTTACAGCCATAACTGTCTGTGTCAGTGCAAGTCTCAAAGTCTCCATTATAAAGAATGCAGTAGTCCTCATCCTCCTGTTTAGCAAGAGCAGACATGGAGCATTTGTCCAATGACATGGACAGTGAGGATGACTTGTTGGGGCACTTGGTTTCGGCAGAAGGAGGGTTAGACTGAGCTTCAGCTGAACCTGGAGCGTCACTATTTGGGCACTCAGCCTCCCATTCACCTCCCTCTTCCTCCTTGATGCAGTAGTTGTTGTTGCTCTCCAGGTGACCATTGACTGATATGCTGGAAAGTTCTGTCGCACTAGCAGAGAGGACCTTAGGCCGATACATGCTGCCGCTACCCAGGCTGGCACCCTTTTCATCCATGATCTTGCTCAGCAGCTGGAGTGGTTCAGAGATCGCCTCAGAGAGACGCCGTTTGGTGTCTTCAATTTTCGCCTCAACCTCTGAGACCTTGAAGAAGCTGCGGCTATCGGGTGAGGTTAATGGAGAACACGGGGCTGTTTTAGAATCATTTGTTGATGACATTACTCCAGATGGAGCCCGGGACTGTGTGAATTGCTTGAAGAGCTGCAGGTTAAGGCGGGATTCTGGAAGACGATAAGGTGTGGAAGAGGAGGAGGTGGATGTGTCCTGGGATGTATCTGAAGATAAAGATTTGACAAAATTCTTCATTAGATGTCTGTGCCTCACTGTGGGAGTGGGAGTAGCAGGGGTCCCCTCACGAGTCTCCATGTCGGAGAGAGACTTCACCAAATTGAGAAAAGGTTTATCACTGGTGGGAAAGCTTGACGATTTGGTGGGAGAGGAGCTGGATGTAGAGCCTTTTTTGTCAGGAACATGAGATGATGGAGTGTCTGTGGGTGAACTGTTTGCATGACGTCTAGGAATTCGAGAAACTCTGGATGATGCAGGACTAACAGTAGCCTCAGCTTCAGAGTCCGGTGCCACTGCGTCGAACATCTCCTCACTAGCTTCTAAGGCAGTCATGATGTTTGAGTCATCCTGAGCAGATGGGGTAGCAGAAACAGTTGTCATGTAAAGCTCCTCTTCCTCCTCCTCTTCCTCCTTCCCAAGAGCTGAGAAGTGGATGGTGATGTTCTCCTTAGACTGTGATCGCTGGACATGGAGCTTGGGGGACACGGTGAGTGGCTTTTTTTCTGTGGAGTGAGCGCTCTCTGCATGGCTACGATGCTTGCTGGTCATTGCAGTACTCCAACTGAGTCACAGTCTGCGAAGAAGACAGACGTAAAATGATAAGTTAGTGACAAATGTACTTAAGTTGACCAAGTCATCCATAACTCTTTATGATAAGGTGATTATCAGAAATTCTCTACATCTAATACTTATACTCCTCAAATAGCTCAGCATTTTCAAAGTCAGAATGACAAGCTGTTCCTTTACGTATGTGAACATATTTGGCATATTTTAGGGGGCTCTGGACTGTTGGTTAGAAACTTCGGTTTGTTCCTTTGGATGAATAAACTAGCTATTGATTTATTTGTAGCATTTCAGACAATTACTATTTTACAGGAATATACATTTCATAAATATTTGATGTTTGAACCACTTTCAAGTGGCTCACTATAACCATTGTAAGACCACAGACAAGCATATCTAGGTAGAAAGTTGGGGGGGGGGGGTCCTCTTCACTAAATAAGAAAAAGAGATTGGGCAAAGTCCCTGCAGAGGGGGATCCAAGTATTGTTATGGTGATGCTTTTTTCTAGCAGGTCGAAAAAGAGACTATTAAGTGTCAAAATATGTCTAATACTGGGGTTAGGTCTCCTGACTCCATTTTAAAAAAAAGGAAAGATGAGGCATTAAATACGAACTTTCCGTGTCAATATATTTTAGTGTCTCTAAACACCTCTAGCCAAGCAGATCATTGTGCTTTTTCAGGACAGAAACGCACACTTACATGTGTGCCTGAAAAAGGCCACCACTTACAATCCCACTCACCAGCTGTGACAAGTAACTACCAGAAACTGTTTTTTTTTTTCTCCAGTACAAAGCCTAATGTTAAAAGATGATCAGAATAAGCTTACAAGAATAAAGAGCTTATATTTTGATGATACAAAACTTGTGTTGTATTTGCTGTGGTTTAATACCAGTCACTGATCATTACAGGTCAGGTTGGGTGATGGCCAAGACTTTAGCCTCCTCTAAAACAGAGTACCTGATTTTTTGACTATCTGACCTGTCAGCTAGACCCCTTAACTTGCAAAACTCTTAACTTTGAAATATCCTCTAAACTGAAAAGTTATGAAAAGTTAGACAAAAACTGAATTTTCTTCTGGGCTGTCGAGATTTCAAGTTTAAGATTATCCTCAGAATATTTTGCCTTTATTGAAGAGGACAGGACAGTGAACAGAGCAGGAGATAGAGCAGGGAGTGACATGTGGCAGAGGAGCGTCAGCCAAGAAGCAAATCAGTTTTGAGGCACAACCTGCATAAACGGGCTGTGCACGTTGACCAACTGCCTCCTAACAAATCAGAGTTTAAAACTATATTCATAAACAGCCTCAACTTAAAACTGACCAATAATAAAATCAGGTTATAACTAGTATTTCTGTGAAGCCATTTTTAATGCCTGTCACTGCTGCCACCTGACCAGATGGGAATGGTGGATGATGGGAATTAGAACCTGCCCACTGGAAGAGACCTAGTTTCAAACCTTCACAGTGACTTGTACTTAAAAGTAGGTTGAAAACATTTCTGGGATGGGAATTTACTGAGAACACAAGTACAGGGTAGGATCATCAAAGGATAGAAAGCAAATTGTCTATGAGGACTGAAGGAACATCACAAAGTTAAAGCCCTTCATGGTTGTTTTGTTATTTTTCTAAAAAGAAGAGCTCAAGATGAGAACCAACCTACAGATCCAGACTAGGAAGGGTGAAAAAAAAGACACAGAAATATTCAAAAATGTCTTTTTGACTTCAACTCAAATATCATCTAACTTCACCTATGAGTTGTTTTCTGGTTTGTTTTGTTGTTGTTGAGCGAATAACTAGGCTCAAAGACTAAAGGCCACATGAAGCTGCCATGAGGATGTGGTTGGATGAGTACAGTATGTGCTGTGGCTCCATTTGTCTCTTCTTATTACTGATGTGTGCTAATTGATTCTGAAGAAGCCAGCTGTGAACATGCCTCTAATTTGTGCAAAGCATGAGTGTTAATGAAGTTGGATTATTTTAGTAATTAGATTCATCAGTCTCAATGGCCAGGTTTTATCCTGTGCTGTATTCCTCACTCTGGAAAAGGCACTAAACAGACGACAAACCAGGACTTTGTAGTTAATGTGTGCATACACATTTAGACGAATGGCTGAAGAAATATGCCGATTCATGCCCAGTGTTACTCTCTATTTGTTCCATTTCTCAACTTCTCAAGTGTTGACATGGCCGGTAGCTGACAGGCCCTGCAAACAAACAAATACATGCACCCTCCTCCACATTATCTCTAATCTCAATGTGGCATTTGCAAATAAATCTCAATTCTCTGAGCTGAATATCTTTTAACAAAATCCATGTCTAACTTGTGAGGGAGAATAGGCTCATTGTGTTGCTGACCAAGCACTGGCTAGCTAGGAACAGAGGTGGTTGGCAGTCTGCCTGGCTGGGTAACAAGCTCACTCGTGACCCATGTGACAATCAGTGGCCAAGTTGAGCCTGTGTACGAGTGAGGCAGCATGACCTCATGCCACCTCCGATGTCCAGTCAAGGTGGAAGGATGCCTGAGCCAAATGTCAACAAGACATCAGCATGAATTTCTTTCACAAAAATGTCAATGACAGAGTCCAGAGGATCGAACAGATCCATGGAGGTCCAACAACATCCATCAAACTTTAAATGTGTGTGTTTTGTTGATGTCATTTCAAAATGCCACTTCCCAAGTGTTAAGAGGTGAAGTGGAAATATTTCTCTGAGCGAAAGTACAGCTCAAGAATGAATTCCTTTCCATCATAAGCTCATTGTAAAGCTTTATACTGGAAAGCTTAGAAACACACTACATTCATAGTTATGAATCTTGTACATTTAATTATGTCTGGACATCTGGACTCTGACTTATGATAACTGAAAACCTTTCCTTAGCACAAGAAAATTGCCAGACCAAAAATGAAGGTTTTGACTCATTTAAAATTTAAACTCCTGAAAAGGTTGCATTATCAATGCTGGACTGACCTAAAGGAAGCTGTTGGAGGCGTCAGTTTAGCTCAGCAGGTACACAGTACTCTGTCTTACCCCACTTTCTTTCCACATTTCCTGTTTTTCTAAATCTTTTCTACCAAATAAAGGCCAAACACACCCCCAAAATAACACTCTCTTCAGTGCTTTCACTGCAAGGAGGTTGTTTCTGATCTTTATGGAAGCCATGTAATGATGTTTCCAATTAGTTTGGTGTTAAAGTAGCTTTGAAGAATAAAGTACTAAATCTGTAACACCAGTAACACAGTTATAAGGCTATGAGTGCATGCCACAAATTTAGCAGTGCACACTTCAATGGATTGTTTCAAAAGTAACGTTGTCAGCAGGACCACAGCTGTGCTCTACCTTATCTCACACAATCTTAAATCATGTCATCACACAGTGCCTACATTATCCACAGAACCCACACTGAAACCAACCACTAGTTTCTTCAGCCCCAACAAACATTGGCTCAAGTGATAGTCAAAGCTTTTGGGGACTTCTTACAGCTCTGATTACTTCATGTGAAAATGATTTGACCAAAAGGTGTCACATATTTTGGAAAAGTATGCATCAGATTTACATTGAAAGAAAGTAAATTCTTCTACTTTGAACAAATTCATGTGCCATCAGAAAAAAAATGCAATAAGGCTTCAAAAAAGTGCAAATTTTCCTAAAAGACAAGAAAAGGACAGATGTTGTTAGGGTTTAGTAAAAGCATGAGCATGAATATACTTTTTTCATGTACACAATTTTATTGAGATAAAATTTCGAATGAATAAATAAATAAAATCCTCACAGCTTCATGTAGCCTTTTTGTCTATTTGAGCCCATCCTAATGTTTTGATTTACATCAGTCTACTGGTCATAGTGTGGTGTGAATTCATCAGTTCTCTGAATATTTTTGAATGCATTTTCTCATTATAAAAAAAGTAAAAGTAAAGTTGATCAAAAGTTAGTAGCTGTTTTTCTGATGTTTATTGAATTTAACAGTGAATTTGTTTAATTTAAAAAAGTCGTTATTAATGTCAACTATACAGGGCAAGGAACACAAAGGCAGGATCTCAACCAACAGATCCACATGCTTGCTGACCCTTTGTTCTTTTATCATCAGTAGTTTTTTCTGAGAAAGTGACCTTTAACATTGGTCCTCCAGTAAACAAAAACAAATCTCAGAACTTACAAAGAGGCACTTTACTCAGTTACTTGTGTTTTCTGGAAAATGATCTATTTTACTTGTTTTCTCTTGAGTTGTCTAAACTAGTTGCAAGTGACTCAGCTCGAAACTGCTTCATATTTGATTGTCCATGCTCAAAAGTGTTTACAGATTCATGTAATAATGAAGAGCTAGCTATCTCAATACTGAGAATTCTTCTGAGGAGAGGGACTACTAAGAGAGTGATTTCTATCAGGACGTTTAACAAGCATTACTGCTTTGTCTGTGTATTATTTCATTGATAGAAAGAAAACAACCAAATATCAGAACACAACTCAGTTTGCCTGCTAAGTAAACACAAACATAAAAGGAGATCATGGCAAGATCACACATCTTTTGATGGAGGTGTTCCATCCTGAGGGTGCAGCTGGTAGGTACCTGGATTTTTTACATGAGCATGGATAACAAAGGTTATATGAACACCTGATGTAAAGCAATGCAGGGCAATGCAATGGCTGGATAATCAAATGCTCTATGGAAGGTTAGACTGCTGGACGTGAGTTTAACAATATGAAAAGTAGGGGTGTACCGATACATTTTAACAACAATTCAATTCATATCATGATTCATGGTTGCCGACTCGATTCAAGGACAATATTGGTTCATTAAGACAATGCGATCCAAAATAGTTCAATAACTTGAAATTGATTCAGTAACTTTTTAGCCAACAATTCAACCAGTGGGACTGTGAAACAAATACCTGGATACTGGACAGTGCTGGAGTTCCTAGATTCCTGTTGTTTCTTCAGGAAATCAGGTATAAAGTAATTATGGTTATAAACAAAGAAGAAGACCACAATTGATAGCAAATGCATTCACATTTTATTTGAAAAAAGTGCAACCTCCTTTCCAGGTTGAATTGACAGATTAACAGATTTTCTGTTTGCAATTTGAATATTCAATACATTTTCAATGAAAGTACGGTAAGTGCATCCAATATTTCTGCTACTTCTGCTGTTGTTTTTCAACACAAAAATGATACAGTTTAAATGTAAAAAATAAAGTGCGACCAACATATCCTGAGGTTGAATTAACAGCAGATTTTCCTGCTTCTTCTGTTGCTGTTTTTCAGCATACAAATAAAATAAATAAAGCATAAACTGGACCGCAATGGTCACTTAATAATTTCTCGCTCACCGACTTCTCCTCCACCATCTGCCATGCCTATGTTTTGTTGTCTGCTGGCACGTGGCGATGAGGTCACAGATAGACAGACTGAATCGAGTAACGCTTAACACCTTTATCATTTAAAGTGAATAAAACCTCACAGCCATGTACAGTCTGCTGTGCTTAAAACTCTTGGGTTATTTCCTAGTATTGGTAAAATCAATTTATTACATTTTAAAACAATTTTAGATCAATATATATCATCCAGAAGGCCGACTTGCCGAGCACAGATTGATGTAGTTGGATCACAGGAATATAAATCGATACACTGATGTTGTAGATGAATCGTTACACGCCTAATGAGAAGTGTTTTCCAAAGCATAAAGAGAATTTGGGGGTTTCATCATCTTCATAAAACCATTAACAGAATCAGACTATGGGGAAATCTCCAAAAGAGATAAAGCTGAAAACCAACATTGAGGCCATAATCATGGTCCTAAACTGACAAAGCATTAAAAACTGGCATGACTTCGAGAAATCACAGCATGGGTTAAAAAAAAAAAAAACATTATCATACCATGCAACACTACAAGAAAAAACATCTGGGAATTTTATTTTCCCATCACACTCAGCTGTGTCTGTGGAATAGGTCTTTTAAAATGTACTTTAGTATGTTTGATTATGTTTTCATTAAAGAAATTAAGTGTTTGAAGCTTTAAATCCAGGGGGAACAAAGCCTTATGCCCTATGATGACATTTCTTGTTCTGCTGCATAATGTATGAGCAATCAGTTATTATTCTTGAACCACATAATCCACAATGAAATGCTAACTACCTAAAAAGCCTATGGCCAGTTAGGAATCACAGATTTGTCAACAACTCTTGGCAGCTGTCTGACAGTGAGCCTGAATTATTCAGGAAAATGCTGCTATGGGACTCTGGTAAAAGACGTTCATCCGGAGAACACTACTCACCTTCAGACTCAACAACAATAGACAATTACCATGCATATTGTGTTTGTTTCCCATAAGCACAAAAATTTCCACACATAGACATGGGGGTCGCTCTAGTTGCAGGTCAGGAAGTAAATTAACAAATCAAGTATGGATTTCAAAGTCAGCTTCCTCATATTACTGTCCCCATCTCCTGAACGCATCTGGGCTTAAAATATCAGTACAAATAGAGCAGAGTATTTCCGCCGTTGCAGCTAAGTAACCACACTCTAAGGGTATTTTTGCAAGTCATCCTGCTTCCTGCTAATACAACACCACACGCCAGGCCCCTTGTTGCATCTCAAATGTCACACACAGGTTGCATCACTGATAATAAGAGGATGCTCATAAAGCACAGATCATAAGCTATGAGAGAAAAACACCCCAAATAAAACATGACAAACACAACTCACACAAACCCCCATGGAAGACATAATGAAATCCCAGACCGCTTCATGTTTTCCAGGTTGCCTGGTGGGGGAATAGTGGAAGTCACACTTTCAATCCTGCTATTTATTTGCAGTAGTAATGGCTTTCCCTGAGCTTAAAGTGACAGTCCAGCTATTGACTTGCAAAGTGTCTCACAGTCCAGTGCTCACATCAACACCACTGCCCACAACGTAACTTCAGTATCTAACAGTTAATGGCCCCACAGACATGGCAGTTTGCAGGTATCCAATAGCTGCACAAGGATTAAGAGCCACATTGTCTGAGGCTGTAATTAAAAAGTAAGTGCTGATGTGGGGAAAGCTTTTCATGTTGTAAAACATTGATTGAGAATGGCTTTTTGTGTCATGGTGCTTTCCTGTTATATGAACTATTAAAGGCCCCTTGAGTGTTTTTTATTCGCTCATATTCAATATACCTCCATGCTTAATTACCTTTAGCCCTTTTATTCTTTTTTAGCTGTAACATAAATAGGCCAGTATGTAGCTGTTGGACTTGATTTCAGATAAAAGTGTGTGGGAGTGCTTGTGTGTGTAGACGTGAATGTCTGAGTGACTAAGAGGCTGTGGTTAAATGGCAAATGCATTTCACAGAGTCATTTAAGATTCCATGTTCTGGAGACAAATAAACAAATACAGACCAACAGAACTGAAACTGTTCTTGGGAATGCTGACTAACTGGTGAAACAGGTGGGGATTGAAATGTCAGGAGGCAAGATAATTATGGGCAAGGCCTATCTCTCAGGCTGCCAACTTACGCACACTTTGCCATGAACAAGTTAGTGTACTGACAACATTCTTTTGGTAGATCTGTTTGCTATTGTTACCCTGCAGAGCCGCAGTTTAAACACAAGCGAGCAGTATTCAGTTTGTCCCTGCCCTCACTCATAAGGGCACAGACACACTGATGATTTAAATGGTTACAAAAAAAATATATATTGCAATTCATGAGAACCAAAAACAGCAAGTACATGAAGTATTAACAAAGACCACAAATACGTGTGAAGTTTGAGCTTTTTTCCATTTCTACTGGAAAAATAAGCAAAATCACTGATGTATTTGATAACCTGATCATTTTTGTGTTAAGTATTTCATTTGATTTCATTTTAAAATGTCCCTATCATGAAGTGCCACTTACTCGTGTAAGAAACAAACAAAAAAAAAAAAATGACATTTGAATTCCTGTGACAGGAACATCCAGATGTAACACAATGACAATATGACTCCATTATGTGTGAATTGCAAGCAGCTATTTCACTGCACAGCTTTATCACAGCTTCCCTTCCTCACTCCGTCATAATGATGCATGAAAGTAAACAGTGGTACATAAGTGCTCTTCTTATTGCTAGACAGCAAGTGACTTGTATCACCACGGTGTGGACAGCAAGTCAGTGCCTAACAAGGATCTATTCTAAAATAGACAAAGCTCAACCCCTGTACTGTACTGTACTAGCAGCTCACAGGATTGGAAACTGCATAATATTCAGTTGAAAATAGAGAAAAGAAAACATATTAAATGTTTTATGAAAACAATGTGCATCATGCTGCAACCCTTCCACTTATAACAACACTGTTTGGGAGCAGAGGAGACCAGTTCATGGAGTCTGAAATGTGAAAAAGTGAAAATGTTGTCTCATTCTTGCCTAATGTTTGATTACAGCTGCTCAACCATTCAGGGTTTTCTTTGGTGATTTCCACAATAAGCCAATAGTCTTGGATGATGATGAGTAGAGTTATGAGTAAGTTATGCACTCTGTCTTAGGATTTATTAATGAGTATCATGTAACTGTTTGTCAAAAGAGTACCTTTCATTTTTATGTCTGATTTCTTTTTTTATCAGAGATAATCAACATGTGGTCTTATATTAAATTCAGTTATTCGGGTGGGAGTTTGAGCTTCAGCTGGCCAAAGATGCTGCACACAGCAAAGACAATCTGCAAGGGGCTGCATCCAAAGATCAGGTTCGTACGTAGGGGTGTCCAGATCGTCTGTTTTACTTTCGATACAATACCGATATGTAAGCCTTAAGTATTGGCAGATAGTGATATTGATCCGATATTGGCACATAATTGTACATGACAAGTTTTGCACTCAGCTGCAACGTCCTTTTCAGACTTCAACCAAAAATACTACAACACGGCCGACATCACTCCTGCTCCTTCCTCCTTTGTTAGTATCTTAGTACACACTGTTGTTGTGATCATGTGGGCTCTACATGCTGGATCTGGGTGCTGGTAGATAAAGATTTAAGATGCAGGTTGATAGCCGATATTCATTTTTTTGCTGATATCGGACTGATATCCGACATCAACATCATTTTGGGACATCCCTATCCATACATGCTCCTATTGGGGGAAGTATACACTACAGCCACCAAAAACTACATGGATACAAAAGCTGGGAACTTTTTGCTAGGAGCTTACCCCACTCTTTCAACAGAACATTGACAGATCTGTGGAAAGTCAGTGTGGCACCTGCAAACCAGCAACATCAGTGCCTTCCATGAGCCTGCTCTGAATGTTGCTATCAAGCATGTCAAAATATTTATGATTCTCCATATACTCTGCCTGTTGTTTTGTTATTAAAAATTTTTTAAAAATGTTTTCTTATAAGTTGTTGATCAATGATAATTAGGGCTGCAAATAACTATTTTAATAGTTGACCAGTCACCGTCTATTGAAATGATTAGTGGACTAATTGGTTATGTTTGTTTATCACCGACATGTTGCCATGATATGTGAGGTCTGCTTTGCAAACCTTGCAGGTTTATTTTTTTTTCCACCTTATCTAGGCTAAAGTGCTCCCAAACTTTGGAGGTTTTTAAGCGTGTACTCATGGCTGCTGTATGGGACGCCGGCGCCGCCATGTTTGAATACCCTACTGTTTGGCGGAGACGCTATTGCGCATGTGTGACTCTAGGCAGAGATTGTAATAAGGTAAGATGCCTCACTCCACTGGTAAAACACATCTGGCAACAATAGTTGACAATGGAATTCATTGTCGACTTTTTTCATTATCGATTTTTGTTGGCAATGTCGACTAATCGTTGCAGTCATAATGATGATAAATACACTCAAAGACTGATTATGGAAAATGCTTTGAATTTGCCTCCCTAACCTGGACTCCTCTACTACAGAGCCAAGCTGTTGTAATATGTCCAGCCTTTTCAGATGTGTCATAAACACCAGTGTATCCCCATACATCACAAAAGTGTGTCCTGAAATCATAAACTGTATATACTATGGACAACTTGGTTCCGCCTCCCGCCTGTATACGGATTTGAAGCCGAAAAGCTCTCGGTATTTCCGGGATTTTTCTTCATTTCCTGAAACCAGCGCTGCGCATTAGCGTTGTGCGCATTCGGCAGGAGAGTCGCAGAGAGTTGCTGTGATGACGCTCGGCCCAAACAGCGTATCCCCCGAGTGAGCTACGCAATCCCTGAATGCCAATAGGCTGTATCAGGTGTCAATCATAGCAAACATGAACCCCCTAATAACTTTTAAAAAAAGGGCTCCACAGAAAAAGAGGACTTGAGCACAAACCAGTCTTACTGTAACTACATGTCAACATCGCAAGCAGGGGGGATAAAAATGTATATTCTCCGTAATAAATTTCTAAAGTTTGTCCACAGCTCCATAAGTTTTGCTGGCGGAGGTGTGATTTATGACCTATACTGCAGCCCATCAACAGAGGGTGCTATTCTCCGAGTGGCTTCACCCAGCAAGGAGGCAGACGCCGACCATTCATTATACTGTCTATGTCTGAAAGTAAACCAAGTGGTCCCTCTGCTCTCTAGAGCAGAGGACTATTTTTTTGCCCCCCCCCAATCCCCCCGTCTACACACATGTACACATAATTTCCTTGCTGTATGGTTCAGTTGTTCTGATGTTTATGGATGTAGTAGTGACTTGTGCTCATAGACACTAATTTTAAGAGAAATTCTGAGCTTTGGCTGAGGGACCTTGTAATGATTTTGGTGTTCAAAGGTTTTGTTTTATTTCCCCAGGAGCTTGTTTGTCTTTATCTGGTAATTTTAGAATAACACAACTTTTTCTGTGTTATGTGTCCCTGTCACAACTTTTTGAAATGTGTTGCCGCCACAAAATTTTAAGTGAGCATCTATTTTCATACAAAAGTAAAGATTTGTAACAACTGAGATGTTGTTGTATCCTTACCATTTCTTTTTTCAAATAAGGTTTGTACAAGACAGATCATTTCTCATGACAGATTAATGAGATTTAATCTTTTTTTCTGCTTTAAGCTGATAAACATATGTATGGCTAAGGTGTTATGAAAGATTTAAGAGAGTTTTAACATTTGTTCTGAAATAGCTATTGGGATAGATGGATTGCTCACTTTTAGCCTGCAATAGCTCAGCTGTTGTGGATGAAAACAGTGGGAACACACTGGCTCGTGGAGAGCATGTGACAGAGTGACCACCGAGGCTAGGAAGTGAAAAATAACCTCTCAGTTAACAGAGAACATAACAGGCAAGAGCCTCTAACAGTGAACTTTCATAACACTGGGACTCTGTCTTCACACAAGACCAACCACTCAGACCCTAAACAATAAAATCTGCCTTTACTTATGAAGAACAGAAAGGAGCCTCGTTTTCTGTATGTAGTTTCACACTTAAAAGGTTCTGCTTATATAAAACCCTTTCAGTTCACTCACTCAGACCCTGTTCGTGTTAAATAATGCACTCTTCACTTAACTGCTTAACTCTGTCAACAGGCTATCATTATTTATGAATGAAGTCTTTGGCTGCTGCAGTGACAAACCTGTGACATAGATCAAGTTCAGTGATCTGCCTCTCTGCTTTTACAGCTACTAACTCAGTCAACTTTAAAACCTGTCCGAAGAGAGACATGACTCTTTTTTTAACAGAAAATAAAGTCACTCTGACGGTCCAACTGCGGTTTCAAATCATCAGCTTCAGTTCAATCACTGTTCTCTAAGCTTCAGGCAGCTGGTCCTGTGAACACCTCTCAAAATATGAATCAACTATCCAAGAAATGATCACTTTAGATCTCTGTTTTAATTACTGCTGGAGGTCAATTCTGAAATTGAGTTAGCACACAAGCTATCCAAACACAACAGGCCTCTTTTCATGCCTCCTTCTCAGGCCATAGCTTAGTAAGCTGTTGGTTGTTGTGTATATTTCCATGAAAGTGTTGAAAGATATGAAGGAGTGAAACAGTCAGCCCCACAGTTGATCTGGATCCCCAGGGCACCAATTATGAAATAAACTGAATTGTGAAAAAATGGAATCAAAATAGTCGTCTGGCACAAAAGACAGAGATAAAATCCTTTCAACAAGCATAAGGATGTGGCAATGGACTTGGGACTGTTGTCTGCCCAGCTGGCTAAACTTAGAGGAGGGCCTGACTAACTTCCTGTCACTTTGTCTCTACAAAGACGCTTCTGTTTTAGAAATCAGATCCCAAGTCTTGACAAAGGTCAACAGACAATTTGTTACCACCCTAAAATTCATAATGGAAAACAGGCAAAGGCAAATAATCATGTTTTTTCTGACTCTGCCATAGCACAGGGAATCTCAAAATTTCTTTTTATATGGTTTCTAAAGATCTTAAATCGCACTCGTGAATTTCTACATTTTGTGTCTGCATTATTGTACGTCTTTGTCCTCAATACAGATATTCTTCAGTGACTTAAGAGCGGGGGGGGGGGGGGGGGGGGGGGGGTCGGGCATATGTGAGTAAAGCAGAGGGACAGAGTGAGCATGGAAGCTGCAGGGTTAAGAATTGTTATTGAGGTAACAACTGCATGACTCTATGTTGTCTCTATGTTGTAGCTATGCTGAAGCAAAATGCATCATGACCACTCCATATTTGTGCACTAGCTTTAGGTTCAACTACATTTTCTGCCTATTTTTCACAAGAAGAAAAAAGAAAATAAGAGCTGTTGGAGGCAATAGAACATGCTGGTGCTAAATCGATGCAGGAAGTGATACTCAAAATGTTGTAAATAAAGGGAATACTGATGCTACCCAGTGGACCAGTTGTAGGGCTTGTGGTCTGCAATGCATTGACACACAGTTACTTTTGAGGAATTGCATGTCAGAATTATTTACTCTTGATAAAACATGTAATGATCAAATATGCTGTACTATTAAGCAAAAAACATCCGACAAGAGTCTTGCTAAGAGATGTGTTGGTAGAAAATATTTGGCATACAAAGAGCCTGTCAGAAAAAACTCAGAAATCATAATACCATATATGTTTTCTACCATGTACTGAACATACAATGCAGCCAACACTGATTTTTTAGAGATAATGCCATCACATAGATCGTCTAGACACTGCTTCCTACTCTGTGAGCACTGTCTGTAGCAGAGCTTTACTGAGCAGGCAGTGGGCAGCACTTGAGCTGACTGGCAACATAAAGTAGTTCTCCATAGCCAGTGATAAAGTTACTTCCCAAGAAAGTCTTTGGTGCACCTTAGCAGAACTGTGGCCCAAAATCAGTGCACAAATTATAAAGAAATGCTCTTCTGATTTGATAACAGTGTAAAATTGGCAAAGTTTGTCATAAACGCATCTGTGAATTGTCCCTGTTAACAACATAAACGGTGTCTGTCTCAAAAATCCTACATTCACAGGATCAACAGTAGGGAAAGACACATAACTTCAAGACTGGAATGCAGTAATCCTACATTTATTGTTATGAGTGTTGGACAAAGTGAAAGAATTGGGGTAAGTATTTCTCAGCCAAACTGTGAAGACAAAAGACGACATTGTTACTGAGAGTGAGAGCAGCCCATGGGAGACTGAACTGGTCTGTGTTTTGTCTGTACAGATCACCAAGTGTGGCTGCTGTATATTCAAAAGGAGTGGCTTTATCTTATAAAAATCTGTAGGAGCTCAAATTAAGAGGGAATATTGATCCACTAAAGCTTAGACATCTTTGTTGTTTTTTTCTTACAGCATTTTCAGCCTCATACTTGTACACCCTGTGAATGCATAGTGGCTTTGTGGATAACAACTCAGTTTCCAGAGAGAAACTCTGAGGTTTTATTTTTAGAGCAGCTATTTTTGTACATCTTACCACCTCCCACCTTGCCTCTGTCTCTTTCCTCAGATAGCAAGTGATTATTATGATGGTAGAAAGATGAATAGCACTTTCAGCGAACAATGCAGACAGCACCTGAAGAAGGGCAAATGAATGTTGACTGCTGGCAGGTTGACAGATAGTCTACCTCAGGGGTTGGATGAGCAAGGGAGCTGCACCTGTTTATAACACCAGTTATGCTGGCACCTGCATGACTGAGGAGATATTGTTGCTGTAATACCACAACCTTAGAAGAAGCCTGGGCACTGTGTGACAGTGCCGACTTTCGGTATAGAGATATCCTCCTGAGACCCAGGGAAAAAAAAGTATTTTGATTTTAAATTTTTTCAGATAAATTAAGAGTTGGGGTGGTAAAAAACACAGTGCAAAGGCTATTTTGTTTTTAACTAATTTCATTTAAATTCTACAACATGTGCACCTTAGTACACAACAGGATTTTATTGATCGAATGTCTGGCACTTTAACAAAATTCATAAACTGATTATGAAAATAGAAATCTCACCTGAAATATTTTTATAAGTAGTATATCAAAACATATTGAACATATTTACATAAAAAACATCCAAGAAAAGTAGGTCCTGGGTCAACTTAGAACTTATTGACTTTTCACTAGACACCGACCTTTCCATTTGACAAACGTCGATTCATTTATGATACCCAAGAAAGCACTAGGATTTTTTGGAGACACAGAGGAAAATTTGGCACTTCACACATCTTACATATATTTTACTATTGAACCTGGGGTATTCTGCACCTGAAAGGACTTGGACTGTTGACCATTTCAGGCCTTTTAGTAAAGATCTGATCTTGTAAAACGATCACAGGTCATGGAATCAGCTATAACTGGGACTCTTGTTTTAGCAGCCCAATACATTCTTGAATAGCTTAGACATGCCATGTACACAGAGATTCCTATGAAGGTGTTGATAAGTCTCCCTCAGTGATTCTGAAAAGAATCCTCCCTGCATCTGTCAAAGACCTGTCCACTAGTGAAATAAACTGAAGTACAAAGTCCTGATGTGCACTACAGTATACATTAATAAATTAGTCATTTTCCCTGTAAAACTAAATAAACTTAGCTCTGAAAACTCACTCAAACTGTATTGTGTGAGAGATACAAGCAAAAACGCAGTGTGCACTACAGTGCACAAAAGTGAATGACTGGGTCTCAGGAGGTCTATAGAGATTTAAGCTTGCTAACGAGTACAAAAAATATATATATGACACTGGCAGATTTCAGACAGACAACACAAATATCTATAGAGATGTAGAAAGATACATTCTCTACATGCTCATGCTCCACATGCTCCAATAAAAGGCTGAGTTTCCTCCCAAGCACACACTTTCATGACAATAGGCAAGGCTTTCTGCCTTTGCATTGTTGTCAAGATTTTTGACTCAGTTAGGGGTGTGAGGGTTATCATGCTGACAAACAAGCCAAAGTTACAAAGTTTGGTGTCCATATTACATGTAGGCAAAAATTCAAATCACAAGGTAAGCATATTTTGTCATAATCTTAGAAAATAAATGTAAATAATCAAATCTCGGACAACCACGAGAAAATGACAGCCGGCTTGGGAAAGCCTCCAGAGAGCCAAACAGAAGAAAGTAGGTTTGTGGAGGGGGGGGGCCTTTAAGAAACAGCAGCTAAAATGAAGCGTTTCATTAGGAGGCTGAAATTGGTTAGACCTGGTGAGAACTTGGACGGCCATAAAATGAGTCAAAGCTGAGAGCAGGTGCACAGTCAACAGGGGTGTACGCTAATTCCTACTCAGAGTATAATAAGAAGCACAAGCTGTTTGTGTAAATGTGGGAGTTTAATATGACGCACTCATTTTGTTGGAAAAAAAACCACTAGTGAAAGGTCATTGCACCTGCTGCTCAGATCCTAAACCTCTTTCTCAGAGGTGTTAAAATCCTGTTCTTGTTTTCCCTTTCACTGACAAACTGACACCTTCTGGTCTCACTCCTCTCTTCTAACGCGACACCTTCGCTCATTATGTCAAACAGAGTTGCCTCTACTCTTTCATTGATGTCTGTCTGTCTTTTTATTCCCAATAAACCCCATTATGCTCTCACTTTTAAAAGCGAAAAATGTATTCCAATGACCAGCAGTATATTCAGAGCCAAACATAGACACCTTAAGCTTGCCGATAATAAGAACCTATATTGATACAAAGTCAAGTTTAAAGGGTAACACATAGTAGCTGCTTATAGATGTATTTAATGTCAGCTTAACTTGGAGCTACTGTATCTACCCAGACCAAAAGCACATGAACAGATGCGTGTTGTCAATCTGCTGTTGAACAAATCCTTTATTAGACTATTTTTGTCTGTATGTTGGTTTGTGGAGCATACAAGTTTGACACTTGCCTTAGTCTAGAGTTAAAGGTGCAGTGCGCAGTCTTTGGCACAATTTAGCAGAACAGACTCAATAGAAATGAAGTAATATATTCACAAGCAAATTCACATAAGTGTGTATAGTAACCATCTGAATATCTACATAAGAATGAAGCCAGCCTCCAAAACACACAACAGACAAGCTAGCAACATACACCTTTTTGTGGCACCAAGCACACTGGGTGGTAGATGAGAAAACAAGAGCAGTTGGTTTTGGCAAAAGAATTTGTATGGTAAGATGTTTTTGATGGTAAAAACTTTGGAGGATCAAACTTGACATGCTTTGTTGGGGCTTTTTGTCCTCAGGGGCCACTGTAACTTTACCAACAGGAGGGATGAGCAAAGGAGCGTTCTATTTATGAATTTGGCAAAAAAATGACCCTTAATTTTCCAGTTACAAAATATGTTGTTGTTTTTTAATATAGTGGTTTAGCAGTTTATTTATATACAACATGAGACCAAACTTTTCCTGAGCTTAACAAAACTTTGACCTCAAATTGTGTTCGTAAGTGGAAATACATTTTAGGACAAAAGTTTGAGTAAGATTACATAAGATACCACATAACAGCACTGCTAAGTGTGAATACAAACAAGTTACTTAACAATGTGGTTGAACTTAATGTTAGTCTTAGAATCAGGAATACATTGCTGAACTTGCTGCCTCTCCAAAATAAACAAACAGAGGAGCTACAGCTATTACTATATTATCTTTGATATGACGTTCCCTGAACAGAGTCTTTCATCCCAGGTTTGAATAGGACTGTAAGAATTGTTACTTGAGAAAATAAGTAATGATGGGCTTGTGAATTTTTCAGTATGGTCAGTGACTTATCACCATTTATGCAAGACCTCATAGACAATGCAAATCTAAATGGTCAAAACTACCACATACCAAGTACTAAGCAAGATAGGGACTAATATTCCAAGCCAGACTTAAATATCTATGATTGTTCTTGGCAGATAAATAGGGAGAGGCTGCAATAAAGCTTTAAAAACAGACCTGTATAAGATCAAAGGTCAGAACCATTATAATTTAGGACTATGCGGTATACCAGATATCTGCAAGTGATCACACGATCAATAACAGGGCCAAGGCTCAGACGGTAATTTTAGAAACTTAATCGCATTCAATAGATAAAGTCTCCTGTGCTGGACTAGAATGTAGGTAGTGTGTCTGCAGATGGATACCTGCAGATATATTTAGCCCAGAAGTCAGTCTTATATGACTTAGCCCTTAAGATATTGAGGCCTGTTTATCAATCCAAAATATTTAGTCCATAACAACATGCCGGTAGGCAACTATCAAAGCTCTATCCCTGTAACATTACTGGGAAATAACGCTGAGAGGATAAATCTACAAGGGTCTCTACAGATATCAGCGTATAACACTAAAAAGAGAGACTGCTGTAAACACTTAAAATGGAAGTAGGTCGCTGTGTATGGGAACCTTGCAAAGCTAGTTATTTTACATTTCAACATACCTTGAGGTCATTGTGTGCAAAGAAACCAGTAAAACACCTTGCTGTTATTGACTTTAACCATCCATACATCAGGACTTTTACCTGAAGGTCCTGTGACTATAGGTCTCTGTGAAGGACAGCCTAAAGGTTGTAAACAGTCTGAATGCAAATTAAACCTCTTAATGCCTTGAGGTCTGTGTTATTTCTGAAAACTGGTGGAAAGTCGGTAATCTAGTGGCCGGAGCTTATCAGACTAATACATGTTAAATCTCTCATACACGTCAGACATTCCTAAACCCGTGTGATTAATAACAAGAAAGCGAACTTGATATTTGCATCTTTGTCTTTGTATGAAAAGACATACACAGAAAATCATAAAACTCCCATTGTCCATCCGTGTTCCTTAATTTCAAAATTATCACTTGATATGGACTTGATAGCATTTATGTAAACTGCTTTATGTATCTTCTAACTCTCCGGTTTTCCTCCCTACTTTCTCCATCTGTCTATCTAGACTTTGCCCTCACAGAGGAACCGGATCAATAATGAGTTCAAATTTACTGCAAAGTGCTTACCTTGTATCCTCAGTGCCATTCAGTCCAGCCTGGGACTTGCATCTGCCTGCTGGAGAGTCGGGTTTCACATTTCCATGATGCTCAGGGGCTTCTGGAGAAAAGTGATTCAATATTTCATGTAAAAATAGATCAAGACAGACATATTTGCTATTCCAGAAGAACATTAGTTATCCTGGACACCTTTGTGGACAATGAATGCAGACTGTGACTTCGCCATATGGCAGTGAAGTCATTTCCTTAGACAAATAACAGGCGTTTTCTGCGAGGAATTTTAGCCTTACTGCTAACAAACATGCTAAGTGGTCTCAGTCAAACTGAGTTTTGTCAAACTTTGGAAACAAAACCCAGTAAGGGCTAGTGAAACCAGCCGGACTTGTGATGCAGGTAAGGTATCAAGTCAACAACAACGTCAATGGGAGGACTTTTCACGCCTTTAACAGTTCAAATATGGGACAAATGGCAAGTGTCACATGGAAATTATCACACAGAAATCCCTGAACGATTACAATGGCTTCATTTTGACATGATATTTAAGTCGTTGTTGGTCGAGGTCGTCTAACCAAACTCAGAAAATGTTCAAAAAGAGACAAATGAAAAATGTCTTACCGTGTCAAGGGGACTACATTTTTGTCCGAACACAGCAAACAAACCGGAAGAAGCCAAACAGTTCTCCTCAGCACGGTAAAGGACAGTAATGTTCGTGTTATCAGCTCCACGTACCAAGTTATTTCAGCGGCTCGTTTCTCGCTCAGCCTGTTGACAACTGGCTAACTGGACCCAGTTCCTTAAAGAAAAAACGCTACAGCCTAACCAGGCCAGAGTAATCGAGTCAGAGAACTTGGATTACTTGTCTGCCGTCTGGTTGAGGATTGATGATCGATTTTTGGGCGTATCTTCTCAGATGCCTTGGATCAGATGAGGCAGATGTGAGAAGGTAAACATTGTAAATGTAAATAAGTTATTACTGTGTTTCACTGTCCTTTTCTGCTTATCAATGTCCTAGGCACAAAAAAAGAAAGTGTTTCATTAAGTTTATATAAGTGTGTTGATTGTTTGCATATGACGCTTTTTCGTTTAGGAGAATTTACACTTCTACAGAAAACTTCGCAATGGTCAAACTTTAAACGATTTAGATTTTTCCCATGAAAGAGGAAAAACTAGGTTTATGTTTTTGTGCAAATCATAAAAGAAAAAAAAAGTTTGGCTCTCTATCAACATGTTTATTGAAAACATGTCCCAAATTCGTTTTTACCCTTTAAGATACTGATTTTTTTTTTTTTACCTTTCTTTTTATTAATCTCTCTCTTTTTTTTTTTACATTTTACCATCAACGTGGAAGTTTGGGGGAAAATGTACATACAAGCAATTATTTATGTCATTGAAAAAAAGCAGCAACAATTTTTTAGAACATGAATCTTGTAGGATGCACTTACATACTGTTTATGAAGGTGTCATCATTTAAACTATGAGATTAAGTCGATTTAAACAGTTTCAGTCGAGGTACAAAAGCAGAGTAAAACTTGTCCATCTGAAGGAGCTATTTTTGTTGAGGAAAACAGTATAAGATAAGTTAAGAAGAACTTTATTGATTCCCAAAGGGAAAATTAATTTTCATTTGAAGGGTCGGTGACAACACAGACAACTTAAAAGCAGATGTGTCTGTCTGTGGGAGTCTTCACAGAATAATTTCAAGGGTTGTATGTATGAATATGTTGCACCTAAAATAATAAAATGCAACATGTCAGACTTGATTAAGCTGGCTGTGAGTTTTCTTTTTTATTGTCAAAGACACTGTACCTGCTTACTGTTTCTCTCATTTATCTTATACTATTTTGTTAGACGTCATTCTAATTGGACAGACCATTTGAGAAGGGGGCATACAAAATAAGTATATGTATACTGCCATGACTGGTAAAATTAAAATTAAATGAAATATCACAAACAACCAATAACTATTAGTTAATCACTTAGCCTTGCTTTAAAATATATTGCTTTCTTTCAGGACCTATTTCTTAATCGAAGATTTTAAGGTTCTCTTATTAGTTTTTAGATGTATTAATGGTCCTGGCCCCTCCTATTTATCTGACTTAATTTTATCATATCAACCCTTGCGGACCCTGAGGTCCTCCAGCACAGGCCTTTTAACCATATCCAAAGATAAAACATAGATACATAGGGAGGCAGCTTTTAGTTTATATGGTCCCAGGTTGTGGAACAGCCTGCCGTAGAGCCTCAGGGCCGCAGGGACTGTTAATGTTTTTAGTAAGAGGCTCAAGGCTCCTATGTAACCAGGCTTTTTACTGATTGCCTTTTTATATTTCTCTTATTACAAATGTTCATTTTAATCGAAGTTCTTAATGTTTCTTTTATGTCATTTTATTAATTATCTCTGTTCTTAGTCTTTTTCTTAATTCCCGTCATAGAGGTTTTTACTTCTTTTACCCCTTTTACATGGTAAAGAGCTTATTTGTTCATTTTATATTATTTTCTTGTTTTGGTCCATCATGTTTTAGTCTTTCATTTTACCATTTTTATCTTTATTTCCAGTCTTTCTCAAAGGTAGCTCTTTCCTCACGTAATGCCTCGGTGTCAGGCCATGTCTCTTTAACAATGTATCTTAAATTCTCACTTTGTGTGCGCTTGTGTGTGTACGTGTGGGTGAGTGAGCGAGTGAGGGTGGATGTGTGTCTGTGTGTCTTTAGGTCCATGGGTGGGTGTGTGGGTGAGAGGGTCGGTTTTTATTGTTGTTTAATTGTTATTTTTAGCCTCTGTTAGGCACTTTGGACGACATTGTTTGTCTGAAAAGTTCCATAAAAATAAAGTTGAATTTAAATTTGAATTTGAATTTCCAAGTGTATTAAGTGGCTTTCTAATGTTTGGTGACACTGAACAATAAGTGTACAAATTTCTCTATAGGGTGGGCAATGTAATTAACAATACTGCAGAATATACAGTGCCTTGAAAAAGTATTCATACCCCTTGAACTTTTTCACATTTTGTCACTCTACAACCACAAACTGAAAATTATTTTATTGAGATTTTTAGTCATTGACCAACACAAAGTAGCACATAATTGTGAAGTGGAACGAAAATGATACATGGTTTTCAATAATGTAAACAAATAAAAATCTGAAAAGTGTGGTGTGCATTTGTATTCAGCCCCCTGTACTCAGATACCCCTAAATAAAATGCAGTGCAATCAATTGCCTTCAGAAGTTTCCTAGTTAGTTGATAGAGTCCACCTGTGTGTAATTTAGTATCAGCATAAATACAACTGTTCTGTGAAGACCTCAGTGCTTTGTTAGAGAACACTATTTAACAAAGAGCATCATGAAGACCAAGGAACTCACCAGACAGGTCAGGGGAAAAGATGTGGAGAAGTTTAAAGCAGGGTTAGGTTATATATGTAAAGTGCTTTGAGGGTCTCTGATAAAGCGCTATATGAAATCTGATGCATTATTATTATTATTATTATATATATATATACAAAGCTTTGAACATCTCAAGGAGCAATGTTCTATCCATCATCCAAAAAAGGAAGAAGTATGCCACAACTGCTAACCTACCAAGACATGGCCGTCCACCTAAACTAACAGACCGAGACCAAGGAGAGTCCTGGTGAGAGAAGCAGCCAAGAGGCCCATGGTCACTCTGGAGGAGCTGTGGAAGTCCACAGCTCAGGTGGGAGAATCTGTCCAAAGGACAACTATAAGTCGTGTACTCCACAAATCTGGCCTCGATGGAAGAGTGGCAAGAAGAAAGCCATTGTTGACAGAAAGGCATAAAAAGTCCAGTTTGCAGTTTGCCACAAGCCATGTAGGGGACACAGCAAACATGTGGAAGAAGGTCCTCTGGTCAAATGAGACCAAAGTTGAACTTTTTGGCCTGAATGCAAAGCACTATGTGTGGCGGAAAAGTAACACTGCTCATCACCCTGAGCACACCATCACCACTGTGAAACATGGTGGTGGCAGCCTCATGCTGTGAGGATGCTTTACTTCAGCAGGGACAGGGAAGCTGGTCAGAGTTGATGGGAGGATGGATGAAGCTAAATACAGGGCAATCCTGGAAGAAAACCTGTTGGAGGCTGCAAAAGACTTGAGACTGGGAAAGAGATTCAAATTTCAGCAAGACACAACCCTAAACATACAGCCAGAGCTACAATGGAATGGTTTAGATCAAAGAATATTCATGTGTTAGAATGGCCAAGTCAAAGTCCAGACCTAAATCCCATTGAGCATCTGTGACAAGACTTGAAATTTGCTGTTCACAGACGCTCTTCATCCAATCTGGCTGAGCTTGAGATATTTTGCAAAGAAGAATGGGCAAAAATTTCAGTCTCTAGATGTGCAAAGCTTGTAGAGATATACCCCAAAAGACTTGCAGCTGTAATTGCAGCGAAAGGTGGCTCTACAAAGTATTGACACAGGGGGCTGAATACAAATGCACACCACACTTTTCAGATTTTTATTTGTTTAAATTATTGAAAACCATGAATCATTTTCGTTCCACTTCACAATTATGTGCTACTTTGTGTTGGTCTATGACAAAAAATCTCAATAAAATACTTTGAAGTTTGTGTTTGTAGAGTGACAAAATGTGAAAAGTTCAAGGGGTATGAATACTTTTTCAAGGCACTGTAAGTTGCTTTAAGCTTCAATACTGATGGCAGGACTGTATCTAATTTCTGTTGTTTTTTCAATACTGTAAAAATGCGTTGTTCATTTTATAGGACTATGTTTTTTTGTTTGTTTGTTTTTTTTCAGAGGCCAAACAAAGTTAAAGTTCCTTAACTGATGAACTTCTTCAGAAAAGTCACAGTGATGTTATCATTAGTCAGTGCTGAGGAACAGACACTAATGATACATCCTGGATTAATTCATGAATTAAATAATCACGATGAATGCATCACTCAAGAGTAAATTCAGGATAAAATTTGCATGCTTGTTTTTAAGTCTTACTGCCAACACATTGTTCCTCTGAGTCAAACTATTTCCTGTTCCTGGGCTATGTTTACCACGTGCCTTGAGGTCAAACACCTTCACAGTAAAATATAGTAAAGATCAGTATGTTTCTGACGTAGGAAGACACTCAGTAAAGCCCACAATTCAGGTCAGTTCCTGTGAATCTATGAGTAAAGATACTTACACAGTATTGCCACCTAGTGTCATTAAATAGAAACTGTTCTCATTCAACCAGTGATACTGCAGGCTTATTTGAAGGCAACAAATTGAAACTCTATCAACGGTGACTGCTGTTTGGCTTCCACTAAATGGATTACTGTTATGTCCAAGGAGGAAGCGCTGTGTTTATGAGTTTGTGCAGCTGACACATAACCCTGGTTTAGTGGTTTTACTGTATGTGTGTGACAGTGAACTGAGCCATAAATGTCACACGGCTTTTTTACAGTCAGATAAACCAATACCAATTTGTGGAATCCAACAAAAAATACTCTGCCATTGTTGTAAAATGTGTCATACTTATTTTGCTGTGGGTTTAATTTGTAAAGAAATACACAGCATTTGTCTTTTGAATTAGCGATTCATCAGTCTAGAGAAAGTTTGATTAGACAGCAGTAGTTAATGGTTAAAACATCCTTTTGTAGGGTGTTGTTGTGACTAAACATTTTAATTAAACCCATGTTTTATGTTCAGAGGCCACAGCTCTTGAGGCAATAGTCACAAGTTCAACTGCTAGCTGCATTCATTCCACACTTGATCCTCCCTTGTTTACTTCTCCTTCCACTGTCCATCCTGTCCAGAGGGGGATGCAAATAGGCCTCAAAAATTAAAAATAACACTAATAGTGATCATTAAGTTTGCCTGTTACAGACTTCCCAAGGACATTATATCTTTATATGTTCCTGCAAAGACATGAGACACTTAAATCCATTCCTGTTAAAGTCATACTTCATGCGTGACCTCTGTCACACAAAAGTTTGATGGAGAAGGCGAGGTCCACCGTATAGGCCAGTAGTGTGATACTAGCAACCACTGTTTCCATGATAACCAGCCCAGTACTTTCATGGGAAATTTGTTGTCCAAGTTCTCTCAGCTGCAGTATCTTGGTAAAACAAATCACAGTGGCCACCATGTAGAGCAAAACTCCCATTAGACTGAAGCCAGCCAAAAATCTGTCAAAAGGAAGAAGACAGCGCCCAGCAAAGTCACAGATTATCACCACCAGTGTGACTAATGACATGAGGACACAGACACTGTACGACACACTGGTGACCCACATCTGCCACATGTACACTCCACTAGGCAGTTCACGAATCACCTCTACAACCAGGGGTATCATCTGACAGCCTCCCGACATCTGAAACATTTTAAGGAGACCAGGCATGCTGCCCATGTAGCCTCTTTGCTCATGAGTTTGGGTGCAAAGAACAAAAGACTCTGAGGCGTAGGCCAGGAAGGTGAGACAGGAGGCCACAGCAGCCACCACAGGGCGCGGTGATACTGTTTTGTCCATGATGAGCCAAGGGAAAAGCACAGAGGCAGCGCAACACATCAATGCACCCAAAACCGCCACAGTCATTGTTAGGTTCTTCCAGGATATTGGGATGAGGCTGTGAAACTGGATGACACTGAGGATGTGCATGAGGAGTGAAAGGGTGAAGAAGAAGCACCAGGTAAACATGCAGAAGATCCTAAAAGTGTCAAAGTGGAGGTTTGATGGATTGTTGTTCAATTCAGAATCTTCCAGTGAGGCCACAAGACTGAACGTGATGCAGCTGGACAAGATCTCCAAAGTCCGCACCAAAAATAGAGGACTGGTAAAGTCGCTAGCTTCAAGCACGATCACAGGCATTGTCAAATATGTTGAATCTAAATAATCCAGTGTCCAAGAGAGCAGATATCCTTATGAAAGTCCAAGTATTCCTGTCCAGGTTCCTCCTCCTTAAGAAATATGTCTTTGTGAAAATTTGAAGCTTTGTCAACGAGTACTGTTCCCAAAATAACTACTGAATGTAGAGTTCAGAGGATTAGTCCATTAAAGTCCACAGAAACAGTCACACTGAGCAAATCTTTATCCAACCATCAGGTGTCATTGAAAAAAACGCATGCTTCCCCTCAGTTCAGTTCAGCAGTGCTTCATCCTGTTTACACAGTGAATAAAACTTCTAAATAGTATCTTTTACATTATATTTTGCAGCTCTGCAAAAAAGGCCTCGCCTACTTCCTTTTTGGGGTTGCAGCAGTGCTTTCAGTCTCACTTGAGGTAGGAACAAATGGCCACAATAAAAAACATATGCAAACAAAGCTATCTACCTCCCACCTGTGATTCTCATGAAATGTTGTTCCCTTTTTCTGATGTGAGAGTACACACTAATGCTTCTTCTTCTTATTAGCTTCATCTGACTTAAGAGGCATCACTTTGCCAACAAATAGCTTCTTGACCACAATCACAGGTGACAGTCTGAATAGTTAAGAGTTTCTGAACTGCCTTAGGAATTTGTATTAGAATTGGATTTCTTGTTAAATGTTGAAGACAATATGAGTGAAGTATGTGGGTGTGGCTCTGCCTTACCTTCAGCAGAGAAGAAGCTTATATTGTGAAAAGCTTCTTTTCTCTCTTTTAGTTTGAAAACACTTAGTTTGAAACGTCTGAGCCACTTGAATTGAAACAAGTGTTTGGATATCTGTGGGGGTGCTAACAGTTTGTCAGCATAAATGTATGCATGCAGTCAGGGAAATCTTTGTGGGTGCACATACATGCATCTGCACTCCAAAGAATTCTTCAATGAAAGATAGATGAAAGACATGTAATTGTATGTGCATTATTTTGCAGGCATGCAAGTTACTGGTGTGCAACGTATGCATATATGAATGTGTTTTTTATTTACACAAGCACAAAAAACCTTAAGATCTTAAGATCCCAGCCAATCATTTCCTCTGTGCACCAGCACACCTGCTCTTCCTGTTATAAATAGACGGTGGAAACATCAATTCCCTTGTGTCACGCAGCTTCACTTCAAGAACTTCAGTTTTGACAGAAGGGAGGAGACGCACTCCACAAAGACAAACCAGAGCTGATAAACAGAGCTGAAAAATGGCTGGAGTAAGCCTAACTGTGTCATCTGTAACCTGGGCTGATTTTTTGTTCCACAATCAATTTACTGTATCACTCGTGCAGTTTATCTTAATCAACTCACAAAACAAGTTTTTTTTTTTTTTTTTTTAATTTTTTTGGACACATATTCAAGCAAACACATTTGTTACCACACACTCAGTTATTTTTTCCAAAATGAATCACAGTGTTGATGACTAACCAGCCCTTGTAGAGAAAAGGTAGATGTTTCTTCTACATTACAGAGTTTGAGTAAATACCTATCGAAACTGAAAAAAGTTACTTTGAGCTTCTCAAATATCTTGACATTTCTGTGTTAAACTAGGGCCCCTCTGTGGGACCAGAATAAATCACAGTTGATTCTGATGGATTTTATTACAGTTAAGTGCACTAAACGAGAGGCAGCAGTGGGGGGACATTTTCTTGTTATAACCACAGATGAAAAAAGAGAAAATGTTTGTACTCACCAAAGTAAAGAGTAAACTGTAGAATATAAACAAACTAAACAACCAATTCTGACAAAAAACTGAACTATGTTTGTCGATACATGAGGCTTTGTCTGATACTTTGCTGCAGAAAAATACTTTAAACCTGAGGCTGTTTCAACATGCTAATTGAAAAGAGAGTATTTTCCAGATTAAAAAGTGTTTTTTTTTTTTTCAGTTGGTTTTTATAGTTTTTCTTTTGTGAAAGGTGTCACTGGTAGTTGTGATGTATGTAGCTTGAAGTTTTCAGACCCACTGACATTGGGAGAAGGGCTCCGGATGTACTTTAGCTCAGTGGATCATTAGAGAGCTATTAACAGACTGGTCTCCTTAGACATATAAAGGCACACATTACACATGCATTTAAACAAACTAGAATATCACAGAATATTTCATATTTCTATTAGACTCTTAAGACAGTGATTTGTGGTACAGGGTCATGGCTGGGAATCAAACCGGTGACTACTCCAATGGGAACTACAGCCTTGATAGGTGGAAGTCTTGGATCCCTAGGCCATCCACACCTCAAAGATTTACCTTTTGAAAGCTCCTGTGAGAGACTTTCAATTTGTGTCAATTTTAGTGCCCCTGTGAACAAAACTGTTTTGATCCCTATTTGTCCTCCATATACCTACATAGTATCCTCTGACATAAAATCCTGCTGATGAGACTCGGCTCCTGTTTTAGTGTTTTATGGTTTGTTTTTAGTTATTTGTTTCAATGTTTCTAAATTAGTTTTTAAAAACATTGAAACTATATTTTACTTTTAATTCTGCTTTTTGTTGTTTTAATTGTTTTTTTGATTGTTTTTTATCTTGTTGTTTTGTCTAGTTATGTACAGCACTTTGTTCAGCTGTGGTTGTTTTAAAATGCTTAACAAATAAAGTTGAGTTGAGTTGAGTTGACTTGAAATTAATAATCTATTTGGAATATTTTATGCGAAAAATGTAAAAACAGGGCTGTTCTTCAGCTGATCTGCTTATACCTACACCTTACACTAGTTTCTGGCATTAAAAATTCTAACATGAAAATAGTAAATCTTGTTATTAAAAATATCCAAAAGCTTTCAACTTGAAAATAAAAAAGATGGTGTTTTTCCATAATATTCAAACTTGTTAGGATGCATCTGTACAGTGCTATCCTCTTGACATCAAATGCATTGAAAAATGATTTTTGAATGTATTTTATCTACTCAGCAATGTATCTTGTATTTTTATCTCATTATTGCTGCACATTAATATCCATAACATTATCAGAAGCAAACACAAAAGTGCATTCACACGCAATATGACACAATTATAGAGGAAATCAATTTCAAAGTGTGGCGTAAACTCATGTAAAAACCATAGACTGTATATAGAATGGACAGAGTCTGGCTCTTCGCTGGGTGAAGCCACTCCGAGAACAGCACCCTCTGTTGATGGGCTGCAGTATAGGTCATAAATCCCGCCTCCGCCAGCAAAGCTTTTGTAGCTGTGGACAAACTTTAGAAATTTATTACACAGAACATAAATTTTTCTCCCCTCAGGTTGTGATGTTGACATGTAGTTATTGTAAGACTGGTTTGTGCTCAAGTCCTCTTTTTTCTGTGAAGCTCCAAAAGTTATGAGGGGGTTCATGTTTTCTATGATTGACACTTGATACAGCCTGATACAGCCTATGGGCGTTCAGGGATTGCGTAGCTCTCCTGGGGATACGCTGTTTGAGCTGAGCATCATCGCAGCGACTCTCGGTGACTGTGCGGTCGAATGCACGCATCGCTACTGCACATCGCTGGTTTCAGGAAATGAAGAAAAATCCCAGAAAAAATCTGTATACAGGTGGTAGGCAGAACCAAGTTGTCCATAGTATATACAGGCTGTGTCTCATTTCAGAGACTGCATCAGGCTGAGCACGCTTAACCCTCACATACTGTTCAAATCCTGTACCCTCACAGAATGTTCCGGGTCAAAATTGCCCCTTCAAAGAGTTCAAAGAGCAGCTTTCTGTCACAGAAAGTTCTCTTGACTAGTTAGGTCATTTTGACCTCTGTCTAGGTGTGTCTGTGTGTCTGTGTGACTGTATGTCTGTGTGTGTGTGTGTGTGTGTGTGTGTGTGTGTGTGTGTGTGTGTGTGTGTGTGTGTGTGTGTGTGTTTCTGTCAAGGTAATGATAGTTTCATAATGATTTGAATATATATCTTTTTGAACAACAAACCTTATATTGAACACTGTTGTTACTGTTTGTCACTTGTCCCACACTGCTAGATCTAAAATCCATCTAAATATAGATACAGGTCAAATTTGACCTGTAACAGCCTTAGGCTGTACATAGCTGTGAATGACATTGAGCTTTAGTTTATGATATGAATCCATATGCCATAATAAGGCGTTGGTGTCTCTGCAGGTGTAGGTTACCGCCGGTGTCAGAGACGTGGTGCTCGTCGGAGCTCGACTTCCTCTAGATCACAAATGTTGATCATCAGTTGGTTGGTTGGTTGGTTGGTTGGTTGGTTGGTTCGTTCGTTCGTTTGGGGCAGCAGCTTCAGGAGGGAAGCCCAGACGGCCCTCACCCCGGCCACTTAAGCCAGCTCCTATGGGAGGACTCTCAGGCGCTCCCAGGCCAGGCGAGAGATATCATCCCTCCACCTGGTCCTGGGCCGGCCATGAGGTCTCCTCCCGGTGGGACATGTCTGGAAAACCTCTAATGGGAGGCGTCCAGAAAGCATCCTAACCAGATGCCAGAGCCACCTCAGCTGACTCCTCTCGCCGTGGAGTAGTAGCGGTTCAACTCTGAGTGCCTCCCAAGTGTCCGAGCTCCTTACCCTATCTCTAAGGCTGAGCCTGGCCACCCTGCAAAGGAAACCCATTTCGGCCGCTTGTATCCGCGATCTTGTTCTTTCGGTCATTACCCACAGTTCATGGCCATAGGTGAGAGTCAGGACGTAGATCGACCGGTGAATCGAGAGTTTCGCCTTACGGCTCAGCTCTTTCTTCACCACGACTGATCGTTTAAGCGTCCGCATCACTGCTGACGCCGCTCCGATCCACCTGGCGATCTCCCGTTCCATCCTACCCTCACTCGTGAACAAGATCCCGAGATACTTGAACTCCTCCACTTGAGGCAGGACCGCTCCTCCGACCTGGAGAAGGCAATCTACCTTTTTCCGACTGAGGACCATGGCCTCGGACTTGGAGGTGCTAAATCACATCCCAGCCACTTCACATTCGGCCGCGAACCGCACCAACAAGAGCTGAAGGTCACCGCTAAAAGCACC